TATATATATATATATACCTATATTTTATCAGACAGTTCAATTCTTAATATGGAACCCTTAACCGTGTGTATCGACAAATCCTTAGCGATTTACATAAAGCATAATATTAGTATTTTTATATAGACTCCGATCCCCTCCTCCAACACCCACCCATTTGATCGCAGCCTAATATTGTAATAATACCAGACAAAATAAAAAATAAAACTTTTTTTTTCAAAAAATTAACTCACTTAACGATGTTTTTAAGATAAATTGGTTTTAAACTTAGCTTAAAGGAGGTCATACCCTCTCCACTCGTCTCCCCCTCCCCCACCCCACACGGTACAGGTGCACCCATGTACGATCTCACGTAGCTTAGGTCAACCAACCAAGTACAACAACTGAAAACGTCGGGGATTAACTGGGTCATACAAACATCACTTCACACACAATAACCCCACCATTCACAAGTTTTTGTCCAAGTCCAAGGAGAAGTCAAGGTTACATGGGTACTAAAGTACTTTTCGTGTTCGTTTTGTACTAAATTCTGATGTTGTTTACATTTTATTTTTGCTGACACGAGCTAGTTAAATACTTTATTGACATACAGAACAAAGTATGTTAAAGTAAAGTCAGAGAGTTAAAAATATCAAGTCAATGTCTTTGGGAGCTACTTAGAATACTCAAAATATTTGGTAGTTCATTTGAAGTTAGGGAAAGTAAATGCTGAGCATTGTACACTAAAATAAGCAACTAAACAAACCTGTTTTAGACTAAGGCTGAAAAATGAGATTTTCTTGTGTTGTCATCGGCGATGCACTTATCTGCAAACTTGTTTAAAAAGTCATTATCAATGGGTCAAAACTGAATTACAAGATTAGACCATCACCAGACAAACCAGACAAAAAAGCTCACAAATTATTATTTTTACCGTAAAAAAATCTTTTGTAATTAATTAGTAATGTATTTACATTTTCTTATCTTAACTGCGTTTTAAACGATTATTAAAGATGCCATACTTGTTTATTTTCTACTTTTTAGCATTTAGATATTGTAAAGATAAAAAAAAAGTATTCGATATTTCAATTATAAAACAATTAAAAACCATATTTATTTGATCTTTCGATTCGGTCAGTTTTAAATTAACAGACACACCTTACGATTAATAATATTTGCTTCAAAACTCCATCAGTAACTCTAAAATGTAGTTAATTATGGTACGCTTTAGAAGCAGAGCAGAGTTTCTTCTAGGTATCTCTTCGAAGCCCCCCCCCCCCCCCCCCCCCGAAATTTTTTACCGCCCCCCGAACGAAATGAAATTTATATAATTTATATAGAAAATATATACTTTTAACAGTGTCCGCCCCCCCCCCCAAAGAAAGTCTACCGCCCCCCCCCCCCCCCCGAAAATTTCCAGTGCCCCCCTGAGAAAAAAGTCTGGAAGAAACACTGAAGCAGAGTTTCTTTCAGGCATCTCTTCGATTGATGTGCTTCCAGGAAGTGGAGGGGGGAGGGCAGAACGTCGACCGTCCCTTGAACGTAAAGAATTTATATTCAAAATATATACTCTTGACCAGTGTCAAGTGCCCCCCCCCCCCCCCCCTCTCCCGAAAGTTTCTAGTGACCCCCTCCCCCAGAGAAAAAAATCTGAAAGAAACATGCTTAGTAAGCGGTGTGTTCTCGGCTTGAAAACTTGAATACAGCTTGTCCGACTGATCCCCAAACGCTACTACTAGTTACCTCCCCTTTTGTTATTAAATCTAGCTATCTTTAATTTCGGATTCAATACTGAGTTCTACTGAAAGCTACATATTATTGCCTTGTCGCCGTAAACGAATTTATCTGGAAAGTTACAAAGAAGTCGCTCAAACAGAAATAGGTTCAAATTTATATTTTACCACAAACCCACAGATAGGCAAATATGATGGACCCAGTGACCTAAGTAAAAAGCATTCGAAAAGATAAAAGTCCATTTGTAGACTCTCCTCTATATCTCACCACACAAGCATAACTCTCTCAGTTTATCCTTCACACACCAGGTGTAGGTAACAGTGTTTCTTCCAGATTTTTTTCACGGGGGGGGGGGGGGGAGGGGACTTGATATTTTAAGGGGGGGGGGGGGGCGGTCTGCATTTTCCGGACACTAGAAAAAGTATGTTTACTTTATATGTTCCATTTCGTTCGTTCGTTCGGGGGGGGGGGGGGGGGGTAGACTTTCCTCGGGGGGCTCAGTCCGGAGTTGATTTTTGTTTGTTTGTTTGTGTATCAACATAAATACATAGCATGAGTGTTCGGAGTCAACCTTGACCTTCATTACACTACATGACCTTTACGAGCCGAGCTCACTGCCGCATCCCGTGAATGCCGTCTGATTAGTGATCGAACTATCGATCTACATACTGTGGGAGACTCGGGTCCGACCTGTCGGGACTTGAAACAGGTTATCTTCTTAAAACACCATGTCACAGAATTGGTCCACATCGGTGGTGAGATCTATTTTAGGTAGGAAGACTTGAAATGGTGACAAATAGGGGTAGAGGATGATAAAGCAGATTGGGGTGGGGGGGGGGGGGGGGTAGAGTACCTAGTTTGGTCACATAAAACTACAGTCTATTAATTTTAGAATTTCTATAAAAAGAGATTTTTGGCGAAGGGGTGGGGGTGAAGGGCGTGGGGGGAGAAGGAAAAGTGGTACAGATTGGACTAGCGGGGTGGGGAGGAGGGGGTGGCGTGAAAATAACCTTGGTCCACCTGCCAGTCACGTTCGTTATCTGACCACGTGACCCACCTGTTATTGTCACGGATCATTTCCCAGCTCTTGTCTTCGAGGGTATAAAATCCCGTGGTGTGAGACAGACGCTGCAAGTCCCGAGTTGATCCACGAGAAGCGGATAACTCGGCATCTATCTACCACCATGGCGCGGCTAGAGTTCCTGCTCCTGGTCTTTGGTGGGCGACATTTTCAATTCAATTTCATTTAAATATCGCGTTTTTAATATTTTGTTTTCAGCGTGTTCCTTTTTATTTTATTTTTTTTATAATGTTCTAAGATTCAATTCTCTTTGCTTATAAATATTATTTGATGTTCAACTCTGTTTGCTAATGAATATTGTTTGCTGATGAATATTGTTTCAAATGAACTATGTTAATGATATCTTGTTTACTGTTCAACTCTGCTAACGAATATTATTTGATGTTAAACTCTGCTAATGAATATAGATTAATATTCACCTCTGTTTGCTAACAAATATTGTATCTTTTAGTCAAATGCTTGACCGCTCAAGTCCACGTTTTACCTGCCGAAGAAATGAGCGCCAAAATTGCTCTTTTGGAAGGAATCGTGGACTCGTTAGGAAAGCAATTAATACAGAATCAGCTCTTTGTGGAAGAAAGGTTAGTTTCTACAACAAGTCGGTCTCTAATAAATTCTGATCATTCATTTAATACATTTGAAAGAATATTTTTTCTACACAAATTCTAATTCGTTCGGGAGGGGGGTAAGACGTTTTTTTTTTTGGGGGGGGGGGGGGGAGTGTTGGGGGAGTAAAAGGCTGTGAATTTTAAAAATTCCCTGCACTATAAGCGTGTTTCTAATTGTGATTTACCGTTCGTCTATTTAAATTCGTCTTTTTTTCCCCCTTTTCACCAGGATTCGTTCTGACGGAGAGTCTGGGGTCAAGAAAGTTCGCCTTTACAACGAGGGCACGAGCCCATACCACGCGGACACCCACGTAGCCCAGTCCGCCATCGCCATACACGACCACGCTAACTACGACAGGACACTTGGCATCGGTCTGTGGTTCTCCATATTTTAAAATAAATAAATTCTTCTACCTTATGCCGTTTCCACAAACTTTAACTGTTCCAACGAATTAAATCATTATTATTTGTTTTGTTTTTGCCTTGTAGGGGAGTTCATAGGTGTTCTGAACGGGGTTGAGTTTCGAACCCGACACAACGATTACAAGCTGAAAATGCCGTCCACAACGAGCACCAGCTACCACGAGATCGAGGACATCACATTCCCCACTGTGCCTCCAGAGGTGTTACACAAAACTACCCTCCAGGTATCTATCGCATTCCCCAACATCCTGATGTTTTACACAAAACTACCCTCAAGGTATCTATCGTATTCCCCAACATCCTAATGCTTTACGCAGAACTACCCTCCAGATATCTATCGCATTCCCCAGTCTTTTGCTCCTAAAGCATTACACACATTTTTCCCTATGCCTCATGAGTCTTCACATAAAGCTACCTTCCAGGTATGGTTCACATTTCTAAAGCTCCGAGACTTTACACAAACATTTCACATTTCAAACAGCTCCTCGTGTATTAAGTAATTAGCGCTTGTTAAATGCTGTTTTAAAATCTCTGGTAATGGCAGGAGCAAGTCGTAGAGATGAGAGAATGGTTCCGTGCCTTCAAAGAACAAAACTACACCGTCCGCGACTATAGACCTTACTTCAAGCCTGTGTTGTGTTCGCTAGAGGGCGCCTGGACGCTTGCTAAAGACTTAGAGGAATCTTTCCCTAGTGATCGACATCACCTAGATGCCACTAGCTGGGCGGACTTGGCTGAAAAGGTAGCACATAATCTCATCGTGTTTGTAGCACATGATCTGATTGTGTTTGTAGCACATAATCTCATCGTGTTTGTAGGACACAATCTCATATTGTTTGTAGCACATAATCTCATCGTGTTTGTAGCACATAATCTCATAATATTGTTATCGCGTTTCTTCTATTCCAGTTCATTCTAAACGCATATCTTTTGTCTATGAATTGAAATATCACTAAGTCTAATCCGGTTATATAACTTTAGATCAGCTTCACGTCCTACACCGGAGCCAAGCACAATCTTGAGAATTTCGCCTTTCTACCATCCAAGATGTACGCTATAGAGAACGGTGTACCCCAGTTCGCACAATGGAACTACAGAGTCATCTGTAACCCCCTCAGGTAGCTGATGTAGAATTGACTTTAAAATAAAGAAAATGTTCGCACTCAAACAAGATGATAACAAACACATGTAAAATACGCAAAGGGAACTGCCGAGAAATTTGACAGCTTATGATATATTTGCCGATACCGTGATTTTGGTGTACAGCGAGGCTTGGTTTACAACAAAGCACATAAGTAAACTGCAAGAACTACCTTAAAGGGATACTCTTATTAGTAAACTACAAGAACTACCTTTAACTGATAAGTTTCTCCTCAATAAACTGTAAGAACTACCTTTAACTGATAAAAAGTATCATTTGTTTTTGTATCCAGTCCGATGAAAAAAATCAAATATACTTGGGAACTTCATTTCTTTTTTAGTTATATTGAAAAAAAACCACCTTTATGTGTTTTGAATATTTAACCCCCTTGTGCCTTGTTGCCAACTTTTGGATTACTGATTTTTAAAAATCTGTCATCACTTGTAATTGACCGTTGCACAAATTTGATATTTCCACCAGTTTCGACCTACCAACATCTTACCTAAAGATGGAGGACGACATTGCCCACAGATTAGCAACCGACATGACGTTGAAAAGGGCGCCTAACGCCAGATCTGCAAGGTTCACAGTCAACGAGCTCGAAAAAGAGGGGTAGGTTCAGACACGATTAGATACATCGTCTACTGTTTATTATTAATAGAAGGGCTTACCCATCAATGAACAAGATATTTGAAGTTCGGGACGGCAGGGGCGAGAGGTAGAACGCACAACTGCAAAACCGGGATTATCGAACTTGAATCCTTAAGCAGTGTTTCTTCCAGACACTGGTAAAATTTCGTTCATGGGGGGTGGGGCGATCAGTGTTTCTTCCAGAGTTTTTTCTCCGGGGGGGGGGGGCACTTGATATTTTCGGGGGGGGGGGGGGCGGACACTGGTAAAAGTATATGTTGCTATATAAATTCCATTTCGTTCGGGGGGGGGGGGGTGCGGGAGCGGGCGGTAGGTAAACTTTCTTGGGGGGGGGGGGGCGGTAAACTTTCTTCGGGGGGGGGATGCATGGAAAAAGCACTGTCCGTAAGTTGTCACTGAGTACACAGTGCGATGATATGGGTAGCCTACTTGACTCGAGTTATGGAAAATAACGCGTCCGAGCAGAGAAAAGACTATATAAATGTATACCTATTTATTTACTTAATAACTGGTATTAACAACTGACTAAATACCGAAACAATCATATACTGTTTCGTCACACTCATGGTGGTAAATGTAACAGATCAGTTAAAAGTACTTTCTAATCAATCAATCGTCCCTTAACCCTTAACCCCTGGGGTCGTTGGGGCACAAAAGTTGACTTTTTAAAATAATAAAGTACTTTGCAAAGTTCAGAAAGTGGACTACTTTTGGTTGGGTTTGATAACAAGGTTATTTCATCATGCAGATAATACTTTGGTACATCCCAACTACTGACATTGTCGAACTGTGGTCTAAAACTTTCCTCAATTTGCACAATTTAAGATGCCCCGGGTTGAGATTGAGGGCAAGGCTATTTATGATTATATAAATTTGTTTATTATGTGGTACAGTGATTTGAACTTTGACCCAAAGAGTGATGTCAAACATTAATTATAAGAACCTTGAATCTTCACTATATTATAAGGTTAATTTTATTTGCCTTCTCTGAAGATGTCCATTTTATTATTGTCCAAAATTCTTTACGTTTGGTTACTTTGGTGTGGGGTGGGACTTAAAAAACTGTTTTAAGACGTTATGTTTTTTAGTTTTTAAAATCACACATGAACATAGTATGTATTAACTGCAATGTCTAAACTGCAATGATAACAGGAAAACTACCTATACGATGCTGGACCGTATGATGCATGAGTTGCCTGGCCTGAACAACTACAAGGCAAACATTACTGACACGACCTATGGTCTCCTAGCAACGGACATTGGTCAGCCCGGTCAACTGCCACTGAATGCAGGGTACTATCACAGATGGTACCAATACAGCGTCAAGGGTGCCATGGGTGATTCTGTAAACATGATTTTTTTCTAATAACTCTCTGGTACTTAGATGAGTTAGTTCTTATAACTCTCTGATACTTAGAACATATGAAGGGTGCAATGGGTGATTCTGTAAACGTGATTGTTTTTTTTTTATAACTCTCTGATAATTAGAACATATGAACAGTGGCGTAGCTAGGATTTTTGGGCCCCTATGCAAAAAGTGTTAGTGGGCCCCTCAGAGGCGTAGCGACCCTTCCCGGCGACCGGGGACAAACTTTCGATTTGCACTCCCCCCCCCCCCCCCCCAGACTTTCGATTTTAATTTTTCAAAGATGAAAAAGGGCCCCTATTTGCCTTGGGCCCCTATGCCTTGCTTACGCTAGCTTTACGGTAGCTACGCCACTGCATATGAAGGGGACCATGGGCGATTCTGTAAACATGAGTTTTTTTTTTCTTATAACGTTCTGACACTTAGAACTTGAATTTTTTTTATAACTCTCTGATACTTAGAACATATGTAAGGTGCAATGGGCGAGTCTGTAAACATGATTTTTTTTTCTTATAGCTCTCTGATACTTAGGGCATTTGAATAGGGCCATGGACGATTGTGTAAACATGAGCTGTTTTTTTCTTAGAACTCTAATATTTAGAAAGCATGACACATTCTGTTTACACGAATGTTAATTAAAACTGTTTCTGTTAGAACAAAACAAACAATAATTTCAATTACAAAATCGATGTGACAAAAATATAATTAATTTGAAAACATTTCAAGAAAATCTCGATTTTTTAATTATTATTTTTTTTGCACGATTACAATACTTTCTATATATTTCGTATACGAGACAGTAAAAAAGAAAATGAAAGTAAAATAAATTAACACAATAATCTCTTTTGATTGTAAGGTATCAGAATGTAACATAAAAAAAACACCATTTTTTGTTTACCACAAAACCAGGTTAACCACAGGGGATTCAATGACGAGACACTATGGGTCGCCATGAACACCCAACCTAACATAATGCCCTTATCGACCACTTATTGTGACGGGACCAATTGTGTGCGTGACACTAGGAGGTAAGTTAATTTTTAACTGCTGATTTATGGACTTTTGCATTGTCCTTTTATCCAAGAAGGTATACATAACTTATATCTGAAACTGCCGCATCTTTTCTCAATCAAGTTCGATGTTTCGTTTACAGTTCCGTTTGCAATTTATAAAAAAGGTCCATAGTTTATTAAACATAGACCAGTTTTATTGAAACGTATGATTATTGTGTGTACCTTCATTAAGGACATTTTTAAATCGCAGACTGAATGACAGTTGATAATTGTCTAGTGATACTCCTATGTCCTTATGCCTTATACGTTGATAGATGTTTTGTGAGATATTTTTAACCTAGAAGTTGATAAATATCTTATGATACTCGTATATCTGTGTACGTTGATAATTATTTTTTAGAAATGTATCATCTAGACCGTTGATGAATCTATATATATAAAGCAAAGTGGTCAAGTGCCCGATAGGGCACTTCCCGGCGCCGCAGGCGCGTCAAATTTGGCACGATGGTGCCTTCGGGCGATAGAACATGAAAGCCGGTGACGGTTGGCCGAAAAATATACGGAGAGGGGGTCAAAACTGACCTCGACTGACCGGCGCCTTATATGGGCTATATTAAGGAAAAAAAATTCCTCCGACGACCCCCCATGATATTTTGTGAGGTGGTAGGAGAACACCTAGGGGTGTCACAAAAAACTCGGCATATCTGGGAAAACTTCGTAAAGCGGTCAAAACTGACCAGTTGTATTTCCCTATATAATCTTTGTATTTTATGGGAAAAACAGAGGGTCATTTCAACGCAGACTTTAGGGTACTTATACTCAGTATATCTGGCTAATTTTTTGCATGCTCCTAGATCAATGGTTTGACCTTTAGGGAAAACTGTCGGTTACACTCAAAGCCCTTGACGAGGGCTAAAAAGTGACCGCGAGTGAAATTCTCTTTATATGAGCTCTATTACGAAAAAAAATTTCCTCCGACGACCCCCCATGATATTTTGTGAGGTGGTAGAATAACACCTAGGGGTGTCACAAAAAACTCGGCATATCTGGGAAAACTTCGTAAAGCGGTCAAAACTGACCAGTTGTATTTCCCTATATAATCTTTGTATTTTATGGGAAAAACAGAGGGTCATTTCAACGCAGTCTTTAGGGTACTTAAGCTCAGTATAGCTGGCTAATTTTTTGCATGCTCCTAGGTCAATGGCTTGACCTTTAGGGAAAACTGTCGGTTACACTCAAAGCCCTCGACGAGGGCTAAAAAGTGACCGCGAGTGAAATTCTCTTTATATGAGCTTTATTACGAAAAAAAATTTCCTCCGACGACCCCCCTTGATATTTTGTGAGGTGGTAGAAGAACACCTAGGGGTGTCACAAAAAACTCGGCATATCTGGGAAAACTTCGTAAAGCGGTCAAAACTGACCAGTTGTATTTCCCTATATAATCTTTGTATTTTATGGGAAAAACAGAGGGTAATTTCAACGCAGACTTTAGGGTACTTAAGCTCAGTATATCTGGCTAATTTTTTGCATGCTCCTAGATCAATGGCTTGACCGTTAGGGAAAACTGTCGGTTACACTCAAAGCCCTCGACGAGGGCTAAAAATTGACCGCGAGTGAAATTCTCTTTATATGAGCTCTATTACGAAAAAAACTTTCCTCCGACGACCCCCCTTGATATTTTGTGAGATGGTAGGAGAACACCTAGGGGTGTCACAAAAAACTCGGCATATCTGGGAAAACTTCGTAAAGCGGTCAAAACTGACCAGTTGTATTTCCCTATATAATCTTTGTATTTTATGGGAAAAACAGAGGGTCATTTCAACGCAGACTTTAGGGTACTTAAGCTCAGTATATCTGGCTAATTTTTTGCATGCTCCTAGATCAATGGCTTGACCGTTAGGGAAAACTGTCGGTTACACTCAAAGCCCTCGACGAGGGCTAAAAAGTGACCGCGAGTGAAATTCTCTTTATATGAGCTCTATTACGAAAAAAAATTTCCTCCGACGACCCCCCTTGAAATTTTGTGAGGTGGTAGGAGAACACCTAGGGGTGTCACAAAAAACTCGGCATATCTGGGAAAACTTCGTAAAGCGGTCAAAACTGAACAGTTGTATTTCCCTATATAATCTTTGTATTTTATGGGAAAAACAGAGGGTAATTTCAACGCAGACTTTAGGGTACTTATGCTCAGTATATCTGGCTAATTTTTTGCATGCTCCTAGATCAATGGCTTGACCTTTAGGGAAAACTGTCGGTTACACTCAAAGCCCTTGACGAGGGCTAAAAAGTGACCGCGAGTGAAATTCTCTTTATATGAGCTCTATTACGAAAAAAAATTTCCTCCGACGACCCCACTTGATATTTTGTGAGGTGGTAGAATAACACCTAGGGGTGTCACAAAAAACTCGGCATATCTGGGAAAACTTCGTAAAGCGGTCAAAACTGACCAGTTGTATTTCCCTATATAATCTTTGTATTTTATGGGAAAAACAGAGGGTCATTTCAACGCAGTCTTTAGGGTACTTAAGCTCAGTATAGCTGGCTAATGTTTTGCATGCTCCTAGGTCAATGGCTTGAACTTTAGGGAAAACTGTCGGTTACACTCAAAGCCCTCGACGAGGGCTAAAAAGTGACCGCGAGTGAAATTCTCTTTATATGAGCTTTATTACGAAAAAAAATTTCCTCCGACGACCCCCCTTGATATTTTGTGAGGTGGTAGAAGAACACCTAGGGGTGTCACAAAAAACTCGGCATATCTGGGAAAACTTCGTAAAGCGGTCAAAACTGACCAGTTGTATTTCCCTATATAATCTTTGTATTTTATGGGAAAAACAGAGGGTCATTTCAACGCAGACTTTAGGGTACTTAAACTCAGCATATCTGGCTAATTTTTTGCATGCTCCTAGGTCAATGGCTTGACCTTTAGGGAAAACTGTCGGTTACACTCAAAGCCCTCGACGAGGGCTAAAAAGTGACCGCGAGTGAAATTCTCTTTATATGAGCTCTATTACGAAAAAAAATTTCCTCCGACGACCCCCCTTGATATTTTGTGAGGTGGTAGAAGAACACCTAGGGGTGTCATAAAAAACTCGGCATATCTGGGAAAACTTCGTAAAGCGGTCAAAACTGACCAGTTGTATTTCCCTATATAATCTTTGTATTTTATGGGAAAAACAGAGGGTCATTTCAACGCAGACTTTAGGGTACTTAAGCTCAGTATAGCTGGCTAATTTTTTGCATGCTCCTAGGTCAATGGATTGACCTTTAGGGAAAACTGTCGGTTACACTCAAAGCCCTCGACGAGGGCTAAAAAGTGACCGCGAGTGAAATTCTCTTTATATGAGCTCTATTACGAAAAAAAATTTCCTCCGACGACCCCCCTTGATATTTTGTGAGGTGGTAGAAGAACACCTAGGGGTGTCACAAAAAACTCGGCATATCTGGGAAAACTTCGTAAAGCGGTCAAAACTGACCAGTTGTATTTCCCTATATAATCTTTGTATTTTATGGGAAAAACAGAGGGTCATTTCAACGCAGACTTTAGGGTACTTAAGCTCAGTATATCTGGCTAATTTTTTGCATGCTCCTAGGTCAATGGCTTGACCTTTAGGGAAAACTGTCGGTTACACTCAAAGCCCTCGACGAGGGCTAAAAAGTGACCGCGAGTGAAATTCTCTTTATATGAGCTCTATTACGAAAAAAATTTTCCTCCGACGACCCCCCTTGATATTTTGTGAGGTGGTAGAAGAACACCTAGGGGTGTCATAAAAAACTCGGCATATCTGGGAAAACTTCGTAAAGCGGTCAAAACTGACCAGTTGTATTTCCCTATATAATCTTTGTATTTTATGGGAAAAACAGAGGGTCATTTCAACGCAGACTTTAGGGTACTTAAGCTCAGTATAGCTGGCTAATTTTTTGCATGCTCCTAGGTCAATGGATTGACCTTTAGGGAAAACTGTCGGTTACACTCAAAGCCCTCGACGAGGGCTAAAAAGTGACCGCGAGTGAAATTCTCTTTATATGAGCTCTATTACGAAAAAAAATTTCCTCCGACGACCCCCCTTGATATTTTGTGAGGTGGTAGAAGAACACCTAGGGGTGTCACAAAAAACTCGGCATATCTGGGAAAACTTCGTAAAGCGGTCAAAACTGACCAGTTGTATTTCCCTATATAATCTTTGTATTTTATGGGAAAAACAGAGGGTCATTTCAACGCAGACTTTAGGGTACTTAAGCTCAGTATATCTGGCTAATTTTTTGCATGCTCCTAGGTCAATGGCTTGACCTTTAGGGAAAACTGTCGGTTACACTCAAAGCCCTCGACGAGGGCTAAAAAGTGACCGCGAGTGAAATTCTCTTTATATGAGCTCTATTACGAAAAAAAATTTCCTCCGACGACCCCCCTTGATATTTTGTGAGGTGGTAGGAGAACACCTAGGGGTGTCACAAAAAACTCGGCATATCTGGGAAAACTTCGTAAAGCGGTCAAAACTGACCAGTTGTATTTCCTTATATAATCTTTGTATTTTATGGGAAAAACAGAGGGTCATTTCAACGCAGACTTAAGGGTACTTAAGCTCAGTATATCTGGCTAATTTTTTGCATGCTCCTAGGTCAATGGCTTGACCTTTAGGGAAAACTGTCGGTTACACTCAAAACCCTCGACGAGGGCTAAAAAGTGACCGCGAGTGAAATTCTCTTTATATGAGCTATATTACGAAAAAAAAATTTCCTCCGACGACCCCCCTTGATATTTTGTGAGGTGGTAGAAGAACACCTAGGGGTGTCACAAAAAACTCGGCATATCTGGGAAAACTTCGTAAAGCGGTCAAAACTGACCAGTTGTATTTCCCTATATAATCTTTGTATTTTATGGGAAAAACAGAGGGTCATTTCAACGCAGACTTTAGGGTACTCAAGCTCAGTATATCTGGCTAATTTTTTGCATACACTACTATAGATGACTATGGAAAACTGTTGGACAGACTTAAAGCCCTCGACGAGGGCTAAAAGATGATCGTGAGTGAAGTTCTCCTTCTATGAGATATAAATATAAATAAATTGACGAACGATCCCCTTAATATTATATGACGTCGTAGACCAACCCTGGAGGGTAACAAAAAAATGTATTCCCGTCGGAAACAGCCATTATAGTCGTTAAATATGTTCATATACCGTAATTTCTTATATAAGCATAGCAACTGTAAAAAAAAAGTAAACAAAGACATACGTCATACGTTCAGTTTTCAAGGGAGGTAACGTTTTTTAAATTATTATTTTTCAAATAATTATATACTATTTTAAACAGAAACAGAAAATGACGAAGTATAGCATTTGCTTTAGTACAAAATTAAGTTGTTAATTCAGTTACTTATCCTAATTAAATAAACAAATACATTTCAAAAGGCAATGTAATATAAACTATTAGATATACTGTTCATGGAACCTGTGTAGTTCTAATTCCATTTTAGTTATACATTGCGTACTTTCCAATATTTCTCTGAAAACGGACTTTAAATGACAAACAAAAACATTTTTTCTAAAGTTGGCATTACTGTTTAAATTAATCCACCCCCACCCAATCCATCGCTAAATAATTAAGTATTCAAATTCTCATGTTTTTTAAAAACCTAAGCGAAGCTAGGCAGTATGCCTAGTATCTTATAAGGCGCGTATGTCCTGGGCTGTTAATACCTGTCTTGTTAACTGTGCTACAAATGCTATAGATATAACTTTACACTACCAATCGCTTCCCTCCCCAGGGTAAGCTTTGCCATCCCCCTTGAGGTCATCTACCTGACCCCGGTACTATCGTGGAACCCACACAATGTAGCCCTCTATCCGGTAAGTTTTTAGTACTCTCATGGAACCTACACAATGTAGCCTTCTATCCTGTAAGTTTTTAGTACTCTCATGGAACCTACACAATGTAGCCTTCTATCCTGTAAGTTTTTAGTACTCTCATGGAACCTACACAATGTAGCCTTCTATCCGGTAAGTTTTTAGTACTCTCATGGAACCTACACAATGTAGCCTTCTATCCTGTAAGTTTTTAGTACTCTCATGGAACCCACACAATGTAGCCTTCTATTCGGTAAGTTTTTAGTACTCTCAGGCAACCCACACAATGTAGCCTTCTATTCGGTAAGTTTTTAGTACTCTCATAGAACCCACACAATGTAGCTTTCTATCCGGTGAGTTTTTAGTACTCTCATGGAACCCACACAATGTAGCTTTCTATCCTGTAAGTTTTTTAGTGATATTGTGGAACCCACACAATGTAGCTTTCTATCCGGTAAGTTTTTTAGTGATATTGTGGAACCCACACAATGTAGCTTTCTATCCGGTAAGTTTTTTAGTGATATTGTGGAACCCACACAATGTAGCTTTCTATCCGGTAAGTTTTTTAGTGATATTGTGGAACCCACACAATGTAGCTTTCTATCCGGTAAGTTTTCGTCTTTGTGACTGTAGTGAGTAGTGCATTGATTGCGCCAATGCAGATACACCAGTTATTGAACGAAAGAATTAGAAACCCTGTTAAAAATAAATTTGGATTGTTTTGATTTAACGTAGACCCTAAGTCAAACGTTATTTATTTGATTCGATAGTAGCGTACTTTTGTTGTAGAATGCAATAAATTATAACTATAGGTAGGACTTTGCGTTGGAAATTACATTGGCTTCATGGAGCAAAAATACATATTTTTTTGCAGGGGGATCCTAAAACTGATTTGCTAGCACAAAGCGTTGTGGCCAATGGACGTAACGGAGGAACCACCAAAGAGACAGCCTTCAATGGAACCAACAGAGAAACCTATTACAGGTGAGACTCCAGACAGAAAAGCCCACACCATACCAGTGTCGCTGACATTTAAAATCTAAGATCAATCTCCCCCAGAAAACTCACATAGTTTAATCTCGCACTGCCCCCTCCCCCCCCCCCCCCCCCACAAAACTCAAATGGTTTAATCTGATCCCGTAATCTCTTGCCTCCCCCCCCCCCACCCACAGAACTCCCATAGTTTAATCTCATCCCGTACTCTCTTGCCCCCACCCTCACACACGAAACTCTCATTGTTTAATCTCATCCCGTCCTTTCTTGTGTCCCCCCCCCCCACAGCTGCCATCGTTTAATCACACACTGCCCCATCCCGACTCTCCCCCCACTCGCAGAACTCCCATCATTTAATCTGATCCCGTCCTCTCTTGTGTCTATCCCCCCCCCCCCCCCCCACAGAACACCCGTCAGCTTCTATGCCAGCAGCGACGTGGAGGCCGACTCAGCCGACACAGCTCAAGGATCTGTTGGTGTCCTGGACAAGAACGGCAACGTCCAGCTAATGGCCGCTTCCGGTCCACGCATCATCACCCCAGACATTCAAGGCGTTGGTACCATCAGACTGCGATACCCCATCTTCCCCGTCCACGAGGAAGGCAGCACAGTGGGCAGAGAACTATCGGTAAAAATTGATTTGGGTTTCTACTTTCTTCAAAAGAAAACGCATTTTTCGTTAAATAGAAATAAAAAATTGACTTGAAAAATACTTAAAAGTTATAGACGGTTAAACAATACCACAGCAAATGTGTGGTGGGCAAGATACTGCGTCATGTTGCGTCAAAATTGTTCCCGACAAATCCATTCCTGATAGACCTACCAAAAAGGTCCAGTACGACTTCTGTTAATACGGAAATTCTGTTTTTGAGCATTTAAAAACAAATATTACGCTCATCATTCGACACGTAGTTTATAAATTTTATTATTTATGTGAAGTAGAGCTCATCTAAATTATGGTAGTATACGACGACCAAATCCTTACTGATCAAATACACAGATCCGTTATAATTCAAGGTACCCAAACAAAGTCAAATACTTTCTATAACACTCGTAACAGCATAGCAGCGTACACGGTGTTACCTCACAACAGCGAACTAAAATATTTGGTCTAAGAAAAGGAAACTTGTCGTTAAGTTGTCCACGTTAACCTCTACAGGCACTGAAAGAGATAGTGACCAGAATGTCCAAGTACGCGTATTTACTTGACGACCAACAAGGAGGGTCACTTCCGGTCAACGCAGACGAATACTTCTCAATGTCGGAAACTAATCAGTAAGTTTAATTTTGATGGGTTTGTTGCAACATAATCCAGTCCTTTACGATTGGGAAACTGCTAAACTACGTAAACTTTTTTCCCAATCGTCTTGTGGCATACAATCCAAATTTCCACTAATCGAGACCAAAATATAACTGTTTACTTGTAGATGTTAACGGACTCTGTTCTATTCACAGGAATCCTCCAGGCTTACACACTCACACGTTCGTGCTGTCCGCTGCCGATTATGCCAGTCTGCTGTCCGGCACCGACGCGACTGTCAAGACATCAACTGACCTGGGTCACTACCACGAGCTGAAGGTCCACTACGACAGCTCCAAAGGTACCTACGCCTACGTGACGTGTGACGGCCTTGCCACTTGTTGGGACGGTCACGGTCAACGAATCATCAAGGAACAGTAAACCTAATGGAGCTCGTCTTCTCGCAGACGACAATATCTCCGTTCATGCTAGAGAAATTAGGTTTCAAAAACAATCATTTTTTTTCTTTAAAACGTTGAGGAGTAAAATTAAATATGCTCTTGTAGTTATTATATTATCCTACCTCCACCCCCCTCCCCGCCCCCACAACTCTATATGTATTACCTCATACTTCCAAAATACTAGATAATAACAAAACTGACCTCGATTTTTATTTCGTGTGCTCAAGTTGTGTTTACATTGTTTATGCTGGCTCCTGTTGCAGCATCGTTTTCTAATCTGTAAACTATTCCTGCAGCAATATATTATTTTCCATTATATATGTGTTCTTATTTTAAGCTACTAGATTGTAAGCAAAATACTTTGTTAACTGTACGATCTGATAGGCTATATATGCAACTATATGTGTGTGTTTTTTTAAATTAAATTTATAGGCCTATGTATAAACAGGAAAATAAAAATGTTAATTCTGCATTAATGTTTCACGTTTCTTATTTAAAAGACGGGGGATGATATCAATTGATAAATTTTAAAACAAATTCCTTTAATTTATGTGAGGGGATGGGTAAATCGTAGTCCCTAATGGCAAAAAAAAAAAACACCAAAAAAACAAAAACAAAAGCAAAAACAAAAGCAAAAAAAAAAACAAAAAAAAAAAAACAAGCTAATAAAAAGTCTAGTGACAATTTAAGCGCAATTTCCTTACGTTATCTAAAAATAGCTCTGTCGTAGCGTAAAGCACACACAGGGACAAAACACAAGACTTATAATGCTGGGGTGCGTTCAAGCTAGGAGAACGATCGGTTTGTAATTTTTTTTTAATTTTGTGACCGAACGAAAGGATATTTTTGAAAACTTTCTTCGGCAATATTGTTCTAAATTATGGCAGGAATCGATTGGTAAATGTTTCAAGTCGCTAAGTGGTCTGGTTGCCGAGATATGGGAAAAAAACTGCATTTTTTCGAGACTTTTTGGCTTTTCCGGGAAATCCAGGAAGGAATTCCGGGATTTTTTTTTTGCCCACAATCATCCTTGGAACTTGCTTAACATATTTGCTTTGGAACTAGTCCTCGATATTGCTTCGTTGAGGAGGAGATACGACTTAAAGCTGCGGACACACATCCATACATCCACACATCCATCCAGAAATGACGCATTATTAAACGCAATTTTTCTTTTTTGAAATTCCGCTAAAAAAAACCCCAGTGCAATGGACTTAATTTTTGGCTTCAGTAGAGCTGTCTTGTGCAAACCCAGATTTGTTTTATTGTATGTCGCAGATGCCTAAGTTAGGGGAGGGGCGGATCAACATACTGCCAACAACCTGGATAGCTTCCTTAAAAAGATGATCTAGATCTGCTGGCCTTCAAGTGACCCGTCCATTTCCTGTTAGAAATGTATTTCAAATTAGAAGCATCATAACAGTAAACATTGTCAGACACCGTCATAAAGAGCCAGGACGTCAAACCTCAGCCTACCACCCCCAAAAAGTGTAATTTAAAAAAAAAATTCATAAAAAACGTTTTGATAACAAGCTTTTATGTAATAATGCACTAAAAGGTAGAACATAAATTATACACTACTATTTAAATAACTATAAAGAAAAGCGGCGGTCTCTTCCAAAATATTAGACACTACTAGTTAAAAACCATAAAGAAAAGCGTGGGTCACTTCCTAAATATTAGTAAAGGTATCCAATAGATACTAAAGTGACCCACGCTTTTCTTTATACTTTATAGTGAGGCTGACATCACAGTGGCTACATTGGTAATACAATGGAGAGAATTCCCAAGCACAGTGGACACCTGAGGTTGGCTGTCAATCCTAAACAAGTAGTAGTTGAAATATAAGAGATAAAAATATAATAAAGCGGGTCGACATGACAGAATCGTGTCTCATTAGGGTGCTGAGCTCGCAAAGAATTCATGCGGTGCAGCAGAGAATACAGGATATATAACATAGCAAAACATCTACACGGAGGATTTGTTTTTCCTTACAGGCAAAAAGTGTGGACAACCTCATGTAGAAAAGAAAACGAGTTGTCCTACTAGACACAGCGGAGCCCCCCCCCCCCCCCCCCCCGAAAAAAGTGTACCGCCCCCCCCCCCCCCCCCGAACGAAATTGAATTTATATTGAAAAATAGAAAATATATACTTTTAACACGCCGAAAATTTCAAGTGCCCCCCCCCCCCCCGGAGAAAAAAGTCTGGAAGAAACACTGCTAGTTATATCTTCAGCAGAGGCCAATTTCTATACCCACGCTTCATCAGACATTAATGGCCGTGGCTTGCCTTTACTTTCTAGGAAGTAACCTATTTCCTTTCTTAACTTAAATACTCTGCACAGAACTGTATCGCAAGTTAGCCATCTTACTGCTGTGAAATATGGTACATCTTGCGATTCTGTGTTTGTATCTTTCAACAGGTCTCTGAACTATCTATGGTTAGATATCCTCTCCGGTAACAGTGCCATACATTCTATGTAGGGAAGCCAGCTCTTTTATTATGTTTATGTCTTCATCCACACCTCTGATGAACACAAGTTGAGGTGGAACAGCTGTCCAGCGACTCATCCATTGCGATTGAAAAAAATGGAGAAACTTGCTTGCATTTTTTTCTATTTGAGTCACGATGTTTTCACCAACGTCTGCAACACGGTGGGCAATGGTATTTGGAGACCCCTGGGTTAGACCATTGCTTTTTAGGATTAGTATTTTGTTTATTTGTTACCAGCAGAGGCGTAGCGAGGGCGGGGGGGGGGGGTGCGGACCGCACCGGGTGACACCAGGGTAAAAAATTGCAAAATGTGCAGACAAGAATGCCTTTTGCCAGTTCCATTAATTAAAGTTAAATAGTCTTTTAAGTACAAATCGACAATTAATACAAGACGGAATGGGTGACATCATGACGCAAGAGAATTCTAACGATATAGTAACCAATTCTACATCCAACTGTATTATAAACAACCTATAGATAAACATCGTTACTATTAAGTCTTCAGTAATTAAAGCTTATACACATACATGTGCGCGTATGCGGCATATATTTAAATTATAAGCCAACATACACATATAGTATATATATATATATATATATATATATATATATATATATATATATATATATATATATATATATATATACTTTGTTTCTTGATGGGGGGGGGGGGCGACACCACGAAGTGCCGCACCGGGTGACACCCGACCTAGCTACGCCACTGGTTACCAGTTTACACCAATTTTTTGTTTTTAAAGATTCCACGATTCCAATACTGATATCCCATCCCCCGCATCAGATCTTCAAAGTATAAAAGCTAATTCAAATAATTATTAATTAAAAAATACAGGCAAATGGAATAATACACGACTAATCAAATATGGGAGGGGTGGAAGCTTATGGAACCACCGCTTTCTACCTCTTTCGTAACAGAAATCAATAAACATAAAGGAAAAATTTTAAACTATTCAAAAGAAGAGCTCTCCAAAGTCAAAAGTTGACAACCTCATGTAGAAAAGAAAACGAGTTGTCCTACTAGACACAGCTCAATAGTAAAAATTAGAATGCAATCAGCCACTTTAATTTTCCGTTATTCCCCAGCTTTGCGATGTTGTAAGAGGTACATTTATTAATTATTTCATATTTGCCAGATCAAACAGTTATTTCATCAATTTGGCTCATGATAACGGAACAGGTTACTCCTGAGTTCCTGAGACCACTTCTTCCACTCATGACATGAAATATTATTACAAATAAAAAAAAGTAAAAGTAGCGTAGTAAAACTAAAATAAAAAGCAGCCTAAAATCTCTAAAAGGGTCCGTTGTAATTATTTCAATTCCTAATTCAACCTTGATCTAGATTCTAGAATTAGAATAGATCTTGACTCCTTGAGTATTCTTGAGCTGATCCATTAAAATTTTAAAATTAAATTCAAATTGATTCAAAGATATACTTTAAAACAAACTGAAAGAAAATTAATGGGGTCAATTCACTTTCAAAATTAGGCCTATCAATTAATTACTAACATTTAAATATAGTAGCCTACTAATAGTTTTAATTCACCCACTAAAATAATTAGGGTAAGCGTTGGTAATTTGCTAGTTGCGAAATGGCGAGTCTGTGAATTATAAGAAGGTTGAACTTCAAAGGCACTTCGTTTGTATTGTCATAACCTCAGATTTTTCCATCGCTAGATGTGCTGATGGTTTTTCAACTTCTTTCTTTTGTTTGGAGCACCAAAGCCACCTGATTTATCACCTTAAAATCACTTTGATCAAAGCTGTTGCAGTCTCAAACATATAGCTTCCAAAGAAATTTTAGTAATATTACTGCAGCCTACAGTTTATGTTTTCATTGTATAAATATCTATTTTGTTGATTTTTAACAGTGTTTATAACTAAATTACTTGATTTAAAAAATTACACTTTTTAAATTCCTTACTTATACCAGTAGATCTACTCTTTCTACAAATATAACAATACCATTTTAAAGATGGGAATGTATTGGCCTTACAATACATGAACAATGTGGCTGAATATTTCTCCAGCTGACAAGATTATGTGAACTCAGAATGACCCCCAGCATGTTGATCATAATGCTATTGCTCAGGCTCTGACCTAATATAAAGTTTTTATATGCATTGACTGTGACCTCTCAAACTGCAGTATTTTTCTCCTGCTGTCAAGAAAACATGAGCTGCGATATAATGAGCAACAGTGTTAAAAATATTTAGTATTTAAAGCTATGGAAACTAGATCAAGAAAAACAGTAAAAAAAAAACAACAGCATACAACACTCATTATATATGTAGATCTACTTGTTTAGTTTATAACTTTTCTTCTTGCACAACTGGATAAAAAACAAACCACCCATTTTCTCGCATTTTCTTCTAGCAATTTACCACCTTGCCATTTTGCGTCTCACAATTTACCAACACCCAAAATAATTTAGTTTCTTAAAAACTAAATTCATGGCTGCCAAACAACAAAAAATTTACTTTAAACTCTACTCAGTTTACTGTAAAATGTCACTTTATAAATCTTGTATGCAGGTCAATAATATATAAGGAGTACATTATTTACTAAATGGCTGTACATAATAAAATGCCTCTTGCTAGCCTGCCCTTAGTTGGGTGGGACACAATATATCTGTGTATGTGCACCAGACCAAGCAACACATAAGGAGTGCACTTGTAAAGTATAAATAGATTGACAAATAGGTCTAATGGACGTGGAAATTTCTTCATTAAAACTGCATGCTCACTGAAATAACTTACAGTAACATTTCAAATTATAGTTAAGTACTGGAATCTAATATAAGTTAGGATATTTAGGCTAATATAATTTGCTATTTGATTTTAATTAGGCCATTGTTAGTTTGATGAAATTTTGTTAAAATAATATATTTTATAATGATCTAATTCTGTTGTCTTGTGGTTAACATAGGCATGTGGCAAAGCTGAAATTGATTCCAATCACACATGGTCATGGAGCTGCCATTCAAGTTTCTTCACAAAAATACAAATCAACAGCTGCAGATGTAATTCCGCCACCTCCTGTAGATATTTCTTCCAAAATATATGCTCCCAAAATAGAACAACTTGTTAAAGATATTGGTCAACTTACTTTATTAGAAGTTTCTGACTTAAATGAGCTTTTAAAGGTAAGTTAACAAAAAACATTCTTTTAAATTTATTAGCAGTAAAAATCGCAAAAGACTAAACATTTTTACATTATGTACCTGAAAGTTATTTAGTATTTTACATTAGCCCACTTCTAAATGTATGTTAGAAAATTTAAATATAAAATAGGCCACTAATCTTGGGAGTTGTACATAGCATCAGACTCAAAGGTGGATTGTGTTCAAAAAGGTGACATCAAACCTTGGCATCATAAAACTACTGTTAGAAATTAATTTCAGCCATTATTTTATGTTTTTAAAAGATTTTTCTATTGGTTGTAAATAAAATAAAAGAATTGATCACAATACTCTGTGTATTTTATTGTTATTTAGTATTTGTTTGTAGATTGATTATTCATGTTGTTTCACTTACTTTTCAAGAAAACCTTAAACATTCGAGATGCACCAATGATGCCAATGGGAGGAGCAATGCCAGTTGTTGCACAAAAGGTAAAATTATTTTCCTAAACTCAATTATCAATTGACTTGTTTAGGGGTGCCACTTCTCCGGGATATCCCGGATTTCCGGATTTGAGAATCATATTTTTTTTGTCCTAGGTGCTTTGACCGTAGGGGGTTTGACCATAGGGGCTTGACCACAGAAGAGGGGGGGGGAGCATAATTTATATTTTAAAATAGAAATAATAAACTGCTTTTTTAATTTATGATACAATTAAATTAATACCATTTTTACATGTTTCCTGACAGTCAATTAATAGAAATTAACATGTACTAAAATAGTCAAGAACAATATTTTAGTCTCCACATAAAGGCTGGTACTAGACCTCATAGATTTATTTTAATTATAAAAGGAACACAAAAAATGTGACATATAACATGTTTAACAAATAAATAATGTAGATGTATTTGAAAATACAAAGCATATATAAAGGATAAAAAACATGCCAACAGAATAGTCAAAGAGGTAATACTTGTATGATTAACTAAATGGAAGATGAATTAACATACTATTACATCCTGCCGCAATTTAAAATTAATCCTTGTTATCAAACGCCAGCATTGGACAAACCACCTGTGATCAAAGACCCTCTGCTGAGAAAACACCTGTGGTCAAATTCCTATGGTCAAAGCCCCGCTGTGATCAAAACCCCAATATGGTCAAAGCCCCCCTGTGGTCAAACCACCTATGGTCAAAGCACCTGTGGTCAAAGGTCCGCGTACCATTTTTTTCCCTTTCCGGATTCGCAAGATTTGAGTTTGAACGTTTCTGGGTTTGCAGTTTAAAAAAAAAAACTTAAGATCGTTTTTAACATTGATAATTTTGGCATTGTAAAAATCGTTTTTATCATCAAGACTCCCTCTAATGGCCCTTTCCACCTTTCGCCCATGCGTTGACGGTAAAAATCCATTTCTGTATAAACCTAGAGTTAACATTGTTACTAATGTTACGCCTTCACTTTCGTGGCCTTTGTCTACCCGACATCAGCAGACTTTTCGGTCACTGCGACCTTAGATTGTCTTCTAGGTCTATCCTAACTTACTGTGACCTTGCAGTATAGAGTCCTTTCATATGACGTCACATCCGTTCGTGATACCTACGCCCGCCGCCACAGTGGTGTACACCAGACGTAAACACAATCAGCTGTTCACCAGCGCTGGACGTGTTCACCAGCGCTGGACGCGTTCACTGTATGTAAAGAACCGCACCCGCGGAAAAGGAAAAATACGTTAAAAAACTCTTATACTGTTATTGACAGTTTCGTATAAATAAATATGTGGACAAAATTTCTAAATAAAAATACTGTTATTAATACTGTTTGCGTTTAGAGTTAAAGTAGCCGAAATCTGATCAAATGCAGTTCTCGATACTTTGTTTCAGGTAAGGACAGTAAAATAATAAACTTCATTTTAATTATAAAAGATAACTATTAATAAAACAAATATGCTCGACCTTCACAAATACTAATAGTAAAAGACAAAGTCAAAAGTAATAATAAGAATAATAAGATCTAATAGTAGGCCTAATACCTGGCTCCACTGGGTAGACATAGAATCTAGAATCTACTTCTTTACTTAAATTTAATTACTTTAGATCTACATTCGATTCAAAATACACCCATAATAAATCAAAAGTAGTCATAATAGGCCTAATAAAGCATTTAATTGTCTCTATGATCTAAAATCTCGCTCTATAATCTAATCATTTTTTTAGCAAACGAAATTTTCTGAAATTGAAATAGATTGTATGACTAGACTTAGATCTAGAATCTGCTACTTAAATTAAATTGTAAAAACTTTATACAAGCATGTAGTTGATATTATTGTTGTAGAAGGCTTTAATAAATTACTAAGGCCTACCTACTTTGTTGTCTTTTTACAGCAATATGTATCTGATACTGGACTGAGTTTAATTAAATTCAAATTCATATCTAGTAATTGGTCTACTAAGTTTTTGTAGCCTAGTAGTACAATCTAGATCATACCAGCCAACAACAAATAACCACATTATTATTATTTGGTTAATGATTAGGCTAATTTTTTTTTTAAATCCACTGTTTATAAAAGAAACAAATCAAGCTACAAACATTATAAGTGAGATGGTTTAGAATAATAACAATGGACCCAGTCTACAATTGATACAATTGCAGGTCTACATAGGGCCTACAGTCTAGTAGTTTACAGTAGGCACCTAGTGTGTAGCTAGTATACTAGTGTGTAGCTGTCCAGAGTTAAGATTCTTAATGCCTTAATGCTTTCCCCTGATAAGCCGTGTGTGCTATAAATGACATAACATGACACCGAGGTGAGAAGTGTTGAGGGGAGAGCAGTGGGACTTTCCCCTTTGTTCTCCCTGCTGGGCCCTGAGGGTCAAAATTATATAAGAAATACTATCTCTGTGGGGCTGGGTATCACGGAGGTGAGACATTTTCAGGGGAGGGCAGGGCAGACTCCTCTTTGGTTTTATTGTGGGCTAGATACAGGTGGGGGCAGCCATCATGAGGGTTGAACGTCAGTATTAATGTGTCTGATTACTTCCCTGCTGGATTATAAGGGTCTTAAATTGTATAACATGCTACCCAGATTGGTTATTACCCATGGATTATATTAGCCGTTGTAGTGTGGGTTTTGTAGGAGTTAAGTGGTCTCACGTTTGCTACAGTAGATAACCTATAATATATTACTGCATTTGATCAGCTTCGTCTACTTAAACTCTAAACGCAAACGGTATTACTAACAGTATTTTTATTTAGAAATTTCGTCCACATATTTACATTATCCACGAAACTGTCAATAACTGTATAAGGATCTTCAATTCCTAAGAGTTCAAGTTTTTTAACATATTTTTCCTTTTCCGCGGGCGCGATTCTTTACATACGGTGAACACATCCAGCGCTGGTGAACAGCTGATTGTGTTTACGTCTGATGTACACCACTGTGGCGGCGGGCGTAGGTATCACGTGATTTAGGTCACGTGTTTGCAAGGACTCTATAGTATAGTGATGGATCTAGATCTGTAACTATTAACCAAGATTTCCTATTGCCAGTAGGCCTATTTATTGCGTTCGTGAAAAAACTAATAGAAAATGACGTCACCGACAATCTCACGCCTGCGCCATGGACCAAATACAAATCTGCTGTATCAGATGGGTGAGGCTGTAGACGGAACTTTTTGATGTCATTTGGGGTGTGGCTGTCTGGCTATTTATCGGTTGGGGGTAAAATGTGCATTTTTTACGTGACGTCATCAATGGGCTACCGCTAGGCTGTGTAATAAAAATAACTGAATCCTACCATTACTAGCTCACTAGCATCGCCGATCGTCTTTTATTTTGCGTTTTAGAATACTGTTTTAATAAATTGTGATAGGAATTGATTAAAATACTCTATGTTGTCATAGTTCATACAAGATTTTGGAAAAATATCGTATTTTAAGACAAATTGAACTGCAATTTTTAGGGAGAGGGGGGGCTGGTAGGCTGAGGTGTGGCGTCATTTTAGAGGGCGGGGTCTGGATTTTGTGATGAAATGTGACCGAGGGGAGGGGGAGGTAGAAATCGTCAAAAATGCGTGACATCATTTATTGATGACCCAGTTGGTGGTTAATTGGGAAAACAGGGTTTTAGGTTTTTGTTGTGGCTGTTAATAATTAAAGCCTTGAATAGCTACAGTAAGTCAACCCTGTATTTAATGCAGTGACAATCTTATTAGAGGTCTGCATCATCATCATCACTCCTTTATGGCCCCTGGGGAGCAAAGGGCTGCAACCACACATCTCCAGCGGACTCGGTTTTGGGCTGCTCCTCTAATCTGTGCCCATGAGAGCCCAGCTGTTTTTGCCTCTTCCTCAACCGTTCTCATCCATGTTTTCCTTGGCCGGCCTACCCTCCTTTTCCCCTGGGGATTCCAGTCCAATGCATGTTTTGCGATGTTTTCTTTTTCTTTTCTTAACGTGTGTCCGATCCATCCCCATTTACGGGCCTTAATATCTTTCTCAATTGGCTGTTGCTTTAAAATTTGCCACACGTCTTTGTTTGATATTTTGTCTGGCCATCTTATTTTGAGTATATGTTGTAGGCATTTGTTTACAAACGTAGAGGTCTGCATATAGTGGGCTTATTATTCAATAACAAGACATAGAGGTTAGCAAAATATTTGTTACTTAACAGTTGGCTGACTACACACTTTAAATCAAGCTCGGAAGTTCTAAAAAATTAAATACTTGGGTATGTTATAAAAGCAGGCATACAACAGTATACATTTGTATTGTAGGCCTACTGCTTGTTGAAGTTCAGGCCTACTAAAATAGTTCTTAAATATTTCTACACATTTCTGTATTACCAACAGAAAACAAAGTGTGACTACTGTCACTATAAACAAAGTATTAGTAACATATACAGTTGTTTTGTATTGTGACTTACATGCGTGTGGGGGGGGGGGGGGAAGGGGAGTTCTACAATAACACATTATGGGGTAGGCCTAGAGATGGGACTAACATTGTAAACTAATTTTGTTGTATGCACAATTCTTTAAAGATTAATTTTTATTTAAAGCTTGTTGCAAAGAAAATAAATCCATTTTAAAGGAATGTAGATTAAACATAATATGAATCAAATGTCTCAAAAAATAATGAAATAATAGTTCATCTTATTTTGAAAATCCGCGCGAAATTAAGTTTCAGGGTTTCAAAGATTTCAAATTTTAGTTTCAGGATTGGTAAAATTTTGGGATTGATTTTCAAGATTCACTTAAAACATGAGTGGCAAGTTGTTCTCATTTGTTTAAACAGAGATCACATTATACTGAACAATACTCAATATGTTTAACAGGCTCCAGAAGATGACGAAGAAGCAGCACCAAAAAGAGAGAAAGTTATCTTCACAGTGAAACTAATTCGGTTTGATGCTGGAAAGAAAGTCCAGCTTATTAAAGAAATAAAAAATTTAGTGTCAGGACTTAATCTTGTTCAGGTATGTAGTCTAATAATTTAGAGTATCAAACATGATTTCTACTTGTTTCTTGTTTCTTACAAAAACTAATCAGAAGATATGCAACATAACATTTCTTGTAATTGAAAACAACTTTTGATGTTTAGTTTTCATTATGTGTGGTTTTATTTTATATACTTATTATTTGTGGGAACAATTATTTGAACAGTATCACAATGGTTGATAGATTTTAAACATTTTTCCCATGTACATTAATATATAACATTAAAAACTGAGTAGTCTACAATGGGTTTATCAACAATCATGCTTTTGTCTACGTTTCTTTTACTCATGACATTCATCATGTTGTGAGGTTGGAAAGAATTTTGTAGATATTTTCAAAGACAATGTTATTCTATATCGCAGGCAAAGAAGTTTGTTGAATCTGTGCCCCAAATTGTAAAGGCTGATGTTTCTAAAGAAGAGGCTGAGAAATTAAAAACAGCTTTGGCGGCAGTCGGAGCTGAAGTAGATATTGAATAGTCTTTAACTGACAATGGATGAGGTGCATTTGTAGAATGATTGTGTTGAAGGTATATGTGATAAATGAGTATTTTTGATCAATGCATGAAATTTCTTCATAGTCTGTTATAATTTAGCCAAAAATCAAATATCGATTATCATTCTATGCTAATGAGATATACAATTTGGTGTTTTTTGGCAGTAGTTGTCCTGACAATTTTGTTAATTACCAATGAAACAATTTAAGAAAATTTTTTGCCACTTCTTAAGTTCATATCATGGTCATTAAACTTTTTTTAAATAAAACATTTTTGTTTTTTGTTGTTGATGCAACTGAACTGTGTTGATAATTTGGGACTCAATAAAACAGAACTATTAGGGCTAAACTGGATACCCAATCTTGCTTATTATAATAGTTATAAATACTTTGATAACTAATAATTTACATTATAGTGAACATCAAACTAGTGCAAGTTGTCGCTGTTGCCTAAACTAGACAAAATTTTAATATTTTTAATATATTCTTTTGATGGAACACACAGAAATTACTTAGCAAGGAAAGTTTTGAGTAGTATAGAAATATTCTCCGAACCCTGCAATTTTGTTTAAAAAAATAATGTCCCCTATCATCTGTATATGGGCATGTCAAGTTAATGGTTGACATTGTGCAAAGTCTGCACATTTATTTGTAATGCTCTTAGACATTGCACCTTCAAGTGCAATGTTATAGTGAATAAGTTAAAATGGAACTGTATATCATAATAAAAGCAATCACTTTACCAAGCTCTATTTTTTATATTTAAAAAAAATAACAAATGATACTACTTCAAAGATTGTTTTTAACACGCAAAAAAAGCATAACCGTAGTTATACTTAGTACGGAACAAATTTAAAAATTGAATTTATTATTTCAAAAACATTAAATGTTCCTATGGTCATTTCATTATAGTTTGACTTTATTGCCCCTAAAAACACTAACCAAATTCAAAGTGCAATGGAATACATTATCTTTTTACAAGCTTTTATTTAGTTTGCAACGTCAGTTGGTTTGTTTGTAGTAAATCTTGCAACTCGATTTTGAACCACTTCTAAAGAAAAGATTTCGTTCAAACTTTTCTGATAATTAGAGAAAGATTTTAAGTAGGTACCTAAAGGAGGCTGGGCATAGTGCTGACCACACTATCAATTCATATGCCGAGGTCACAGAAACAAGTGAACTCTACTTTACTTGCCCCATAGATCGTCAGGTTTGAAAGGGAAACCTTTTCTACCTAAATCTCATGTTTTTTAAATACTTTACACCACTATTTATTGAATTAAGTCATTTTTTTTGTAAATGTAAGCATGGGTCACATCTTGAATTCAAGTAAAGGCATTCAATACACTTATTTTTACTTTAGTTATATATTTAATATATTTACGGCTTATTTAAATTATAAGTCTATATTTGTTTTTATCTTTTTTAAGACTTGTGCAAGGATCAAGTAACATATTTGGTTTATTTTCATTTTTTTGAGCTTCAAAAATTGATCTGAGTAATGACAATTATCCTCCTTTTATTTAAGTCTGGTTGGTCTTGGTGTGAAAAATAGTCAATGTAGGTCTCATGACCTGTTAAGTACTTATGTTAACTACCATTTTGTTACTTTTATTTACTTAAGACATACAAGAAAAAGTAAAGCTTATCATTTTAGCATCATTGTTTATTAACAGTTGATAGACTTTACACTACTTGGACCACACAATACAGCTATTAATACTATAATCAAGTTAAGTAACTTGTCATGGAATATAATGTCTTTCAGCCACATATCAATGTGTCATAGATTTCTGGATCAATGTACAAGCAAAAACAAATTCTTAAAAGCAAAGAACTAAAAATCCTGCTTTCACTGAATAAAAAAATGCATTGACACTTATTTTCAACAAGATCTTTTTGTCAAAAAATGATATGAATTGAAACTAGGAAAAAAAATTTCCAGTATCATAAAAAAGCTCATATTTATTCAGTTAAAATTGTAAAACAAAGATCAGGCAAAAGCAAAATAATTATGCATGTCTTTGAATTATATCACTCAATAGTTCATTTGTTTGTTCTGAGAAATTATAATATCATTTTTAATTGTTATTAAACTTTCCTTGACAGCAAAAGTATATAACAAATTCCTTTAAAAAAAAAAAGAAAAAAATACCTAATCCCAATATTAGTCTTAGTACAATCTACCAATCTTCAAAGCCTGGTAGGGGAAAAGAAATAGCAAAGTTTCCAACTCGCTCTTTGAGGTTATCAACTTTTGTTTTAAATTCTGGAGTATGGAGCTTGGCTTTGAAATCTTTGAGCAGGGGACCACAATCTTTGTTGGCTTCTTGAGCAAGTGTGATTGCTGAGGGGAAAAAATGTACCCATTAATTAAATTTCCTAAAAAATAACAAAATCCTAGGCACGGTAGGTTAAATACAGAATCTCTAAAAATTATTTTCCAGACATAAATTAGCAGCTCTTATTTTTAGAAAGTCTTTGTACAAAAAAAAGAACAGCTCCCTAAGCAGAAATAAAGTTTAGTGCTATAGTGGTAGTAGGAAATTATTTAGTTTTTGTGTCAGAACTGATAGTGAAAATGCATGTGATTTTACTATACTTTTAGGAAGCATTATAAAGTACTGTGAACCATTACCTTCATCAATGAAGTCTACTACTTTAATAATGTCATCATTTTTCAAGTTCCTAGAAGTGAGAGGTGGGGTACCAAGACGAAGACCACTGGGCTTCAGGGCACTTTTATCTCCCGGGCAGGTGTTTTTATTAACGGCAATACCAATCTCCTCAAGGATGAATTCACCTCGAGGACCATCCAGATCTTTATTTCTGAGATCTACCAGGACCAGGTGATTGTCAGTTCCACCTAAAATAAGTAGGATAAAAAAACATTTGAATTTTTCATTTATACAACTATGCTGCAAAAAACAAGCAGTTAAATAAACTCATAGCTGTTTGTAATTTGTGTAATGGTCCTAGATAATTCCTTGCAAAAAAAAAAAAAAGCTGTTACCTGATACAATATGAAAGCCTTTGCCAAGTAGAGAATCACACATGGTCTTTGCATTGCTTACAACCTGTTTCTGATACTCTTTAAACTCTGGGGTTGCTGCCTGTTTTAATGCTACAGCAACAGCTGTGGAATAATTGAAAAATAAGTTTTAAGAAATTATCAGACAAGTATTCACATACAACTTTACACTTTTAGCATCAGCAATGCTCTACCTGCTATTTGATGATTATGAGGTCCTCCCTGAAGTCCAGGAAATACAGCATCATTGATTTTCTTTTCTAAATCATACATTTCTTTCTTACCATCCTTGAGTTCTCTGCGTACACCTTCAAATAGAAAAAAAATGGAAAATGAATGCTTCAAAAACCCAACAAGCAATAACATAAGCAGTGAGGCACATAAATAAACAAATAGAAAGAAAAATAGTGAAGTAGGTAACTACATTTAAACTAAAAAGACAGTTTTAATGAATATGGAACAAGTTTATCTACTGTAAACAAAATGTATCCTCATTTCTTCTTCAGAATTTTTTTTAAAGCCATAAAGTCAATTTTTCCAAGGCTTTTATCTCTAATTTTTATTAGTTTAAACTACTTTTAAATTCATCCACAAATGATCTAAAAACTATGTAACCAGAAACAAACAAGCAACAAATCGTTATTAAAAAGATTACCTTTCCTGTAAAATATGAGTCCAGATCTGGGTCCTCTAAGGGTTTTATGTGTAGTTGTGGTTACAATGTCACAGTACTCAAAAGGACTTGGAGCAACACCTCCAGCAACAAGACCACTGACATGGGCCATATCAGCCAAAAGATATGCACCAACATCATCAGCTATCTGTCGAAACCTTTTGTATTCAAGATGTCTTGAGTAGCAACTAATACCTGCATAAAGTAATAAAGCAAGGTCAAAACATTACAGAGGAACAATATCATATAAAATAGAAACATAATTATATATTAATAAGGTCCATTATAAAAATTACAAAGGAAAAGTTTCATTAAAGATAGCAAAATAATTATATAATATTTTAACAAGGTCAATCTTAAAAATTACAAAGAACTATTTCATATAAGCAATGTACTTATACTTTAAAAATTCATATTACTAAATTCATTAGCCTACTGATAAAATGTTTATGACCAACCTGCAATGATTAGTTTAGGCAAAAACAATTTTGAGTTTGCATCCAATTCATCATAGTTAATATAGCCAGTTTTAGGGTCAAGTTTGTATGGGAATGACTCAAAGAACACAGATGTAGCAGAAACTCTCTTCTGGTTTGTCATGAAGCCATGGCTGAGATGACCACCATCAGGCAAATGAAGGCCCATTATTCTTCCATGTGGCTCTACCAATGCTGTGTAGACTGCAAAGTTAGCTGGTGACCCGGATAAGGGCTGAACGTTTACTCCCCATTCCTCTGGTTTTAAATTAAATGCTTCCAATGCACGTTTCTGACAGAGGCGTTCAATCTCATCAATTACTTCATTACCACCATAATATCTGAAATTACATTAAAAAAACATGTCTAGGGGTTGGGAGGAAGGAGTGAGAATGGGTTTTAGAGCCATGATGGCTATTATTGCTAGCCTTCATACAAAATTTTAATGGCAGAATGCTTAAAAAATTTCACTGTTATTTCACAGTATGAATATTTATAAAATTAGTTAATCTGATTCTGTTGTTAGCAAGGGATAAAAGAAAATAGACCTACAGCTAAAGAAAATTTAGCTTTTCCTTCTGAACAAAGGCTAGTTCAATAATGTAAGCATACCTATGTCCTGGAAGTCCTTCAGAATATTTATTGTTGAGACAAGATCCTAAAGCTTGCAACACTGATTTGCTGGCAAAGTTTTCAGAGGCAATCATTTCCAGTCCCCTTCTTTGCCTTTCTTTTTCCTTTCTAATCAGCTCATACATAACTGGATCATCAACAGATATATCTTCTTGCAGGTTCCAGTTAGCAGCCATTGTGTAGTTTGTATAGTTAGTTAGCTGAAAAATGTAATGGAAAGTATAGCATGATTAAAGAGGAAACAAAAACCCATTAGCGTGGTGCTTTACAGATTAAATGTTCAAGGTTAAAGGTAACTGCTAATTGCTAGTTTTATTATGTGTTATCAAGCAGGCATAGTCAAGTAAATCTCCATACATTAATAGTATCTTAAATATATTTAAGAGTTTTGTGTATCCTGCAGTAATGTTGAAACATAATTTTTATACTTCTAAACAGCAACTATTTTATGTCTAAATGGGTGAAACCACACATCAAGTGTTGGATCTAGTGAATAGCCAAAATAAAAACTGTTACAAAATAAATTCAAGATAGAATCAACCCATAAGAAATGCATGAACACCTACGTAACTCTGGTGATCAAGAATAGAAAATTAAAAGAAACACTGGGAAAAGCTACATATCTCAGTATCTGAAAAGATCATGTGGATTAAATAGTTCTTGAGTACTATAGAGACCAAACTAACAGCTTTAAAACTAACCTTTGTGTGCTGAGAGATAAAAGGCTAATGAACATAAGGCTTATAAAGGCCAAGTCTAATAATAGAATAAGGTATCATCATCATTAGTATCAATGCATTGTTTGTTGTAAGATCAATCCTAAAGTCTAGATGTCATCTAGATCTAACGTAGTGGATTTAATTCTAACTTCTTAATATTTAGTGTTGGAAGGGATCGGAGCCTTATCTGCCAGAGGGTTTGAACTCGAGACTTTTTTCTCTCAAATTTATCAACCATGAGCTTTTGCCGACTCGACCACGCCTCCATCGTAATTAATTATTAAGGATACGTGTCAGCTGGTTATGTGCCTAACTCTAATTAGCCTAATATATAACTAACTAAAATAACATATGGAAAGTAACCTACTGGTGTACAGTAGCCTAGTTAGACCTACTAAAAAAATCACTTCATGAGATCCAAACCAAATTCTGTGACGATATAAGTAGGACTGATCTGATTAAATTAAGTTTTTAAAAATTTGAAAACTAGATCTAGAATGGTAGAGAGTTTGGCTGCTAACTGTAGGTTTCAGGTTAGGACATAGCTGAGTCCAGCCAGGTACCTGGATTATGTTGGGGAAAGTGAGTAGACTAGTGCTGAACACACTTCATAAGCCAAGATCAAGATAATTGATAATAGGCTGTACAGTAGATGTCTGATAATAAACCTCTTCCAAAAATATGGTGTTAGGTTGCTAGAAGTAGACCTAGATCTAGATCTAGTAGAAATGTAATCTTGTATAATTAATATTTTATGGACAGAAATTAGTTAATCGGATGGTGGGAATAATAGGGATAGAGTTAGCCAGTGTTTCTTCCAGACTTTTTTCTCTGGGGGGGGGGGGGGCACTACTAAAAGTATATATAGATCTATGTTCTATATCTGATATCAATTCCATTTTGTTTGGGGGGGGGGGGGTACCTTCTTCCGAGGAGATGCCTGGAAGAAACTCTGGAGTTAGCATTGAGAATCAGGTCAAATAGGCTAATATGTTATTTTAATATTTTGTATGTGCAGCCTATTAATCTTTAGAAGATTCTTCAAATCGACTTCTATTGGCAATATCGAACACGAAATCAACCCAAGAAAAGTGAGATTATGATGAACCCTACAGCCACATCTATCACTAGAGTCTAGACTCTAGACTTAGACTAAGGCTACATCATCTTCCCAATGGATTAAAATAAATTGGGGGAATTTTTAAACCAGTGTCCGATAGTAGAATGTTCTATAAAAAAGGGTGTTAGCGTCAGGTTACTGGTGATCTCTCTGGTAGTTAACTAAATACTAAATCTAAATACACATGATTATGTCTTATACAGGCTACCTATTATTATAGAATCTATAAGTTATCGAAACACGCAACGAGTACGCGCGTTTTTGGTTCAGTTTATCTCTAACTCAGAAGAGTTAGCCGACCTAAAATTAAAAGAACAACAAAAAAATAAGTGCGTTTCGTTAAAATATGATAAAAATAAAAGAAAGGTTTATTTAATTCTAAATAATTCAAAGCATTGACCTTACTAATCACATAATGCACAACACTCATTTAACACTATTACCTTTGTTGTTTTTTAGTTAATGCTTTAGTTTTTTATGAAACACACTGAACAGCATGTGAATCTACCTGAGTGAGAGACAACACTCGACAAGTCTACAATTATTATATAGAATCCACCAACCAATCAAAAAGGAGAAAAATATTTTTAGTCCAATCATCTCGAAGAAAACACTTGTGGGAAATATTTCACTAAAAGGTAAACAACTGTAATATCAAATGAAAACACAGATGAATGTGGATTAATTCCCTCTACTATTTTTATAAATATTCCTATTACATTTAAGCCAATATATTTTTTTAAGTATTGGAGAATTTGTATTTCAAATAAAAAGTTGTAGATCCAGACTGACTTTAATAAAAAATCTTGTTTGAAGTACATCGTCTTAAAGCTTAAGCAAAAGGAAGAATATTAAATCATTTAATTTTATTTAAATGTAAGATATTAACATTTGATTGGCAAAATAACATTCAAATTCAGTGTTTAATTCCTAATCATTAAGCTAAAAAGTCAGTGAAGCTTTTTACTGGAAATGATTGCTTGAAATTCGAGCATGGCATTGCAGTTTTAAAAATTTACATAGGAGTAGATCGTGTAGTAAAATGTATTTCTTTAACAAACACATTCAAGTAAACAGAATCAAAATCAATTCCAATTTACAAATAACTTTAATGTATTTCTATATAAAATGCATTGTTATAATATTTTAAAATTTAAAGATTTACAAAATAGAAAGACATGAAAGTAATTTTCTTAAATCACAATTTTACAGCCAAAACAATAATTTCATTTAAAATAATTTCAAATTAAAAATCACTGTCATCTAAATCTTCAGGTGGTGGTTTATTTCGACTTCTCTGGTTAGACACACCACCATGACCTTTATAATCTACTTCATCTTCATCATCTTCATCTCCAAGGTCATCCAAGTCTATATCATCAGATTCATCTGATGATGCCGATTCACTCTCCTAGAAGTAAAAATGTAAAAAGTACAACAATTTTTCTAGTTAGGTAAATTAAATTTCAAACATATTTATATTAATTAGTTAGAATTTAAATTTATTGAAAACTAAATATATACAAATTGTAACAGTTTGTTACATGACTAATACACTTGTATTAAAAAAATTAATTGTACTGTAACACTTTAATCTAAAATGAAAATATGTGAAATTTCTGTTTGAATGTTATTCACATAAACTAGTCAAATTTACCTCGCTTATTTCTGGATTCATTGTTCCAGCTACTTTGCCACCTCTTTGCTGTACTGGTGCTGATGAATAGAACAAATAAATGTTACAATAGGTTTGCTTGTTGTTTTTAAACATTTAGAGAATTCCATAGCAGATAGAAAATAAACTTCTTTAACACAACAGGGAAAAAATCTTAATAGTAAAAAGTTTTAGCTTCCTAGCTGTTGCAAGAGAGCTTTACAGCTACTAGCTAGTTGGCATAATTACAGAATCACCACAGTTGCTTACATAACTCTAAAAGATTTAATTTTCATATAGTTGGAATATTAAGCTGAAGGTGAATCTGATGATTTTTAAAATATTTTTTTAATAGTGATAATTTTTTTATAATAATACTTTAGTCATAATACTTTAATATTTTTTAAGACTAATAATTAAAAAAAAACATAAACAAAACAAATTGAACTTAAATTTAAAAACATCAACTAAAACAGGTTTACGCATTTTAACAAGAATTAAGTTACATACAAAAATAACTAGATCTGGTCTTTATGTAAATTTTTAATACAAATCAAATTACATATTAGTATTTGACTCTCAGAAATTTAGAGTTTAACGACAATGTAACAAACTAAAAGATATTTTAAGACCACTAAATAATTTTGAATTGTGGGTACTAAAAGTTGGCTTCATCATCAGACATGTCAAAAGCATCACAAACTAGAGTACCTAGGTTTCGCGCTGGGGTAGTCATTCGAACTGAAAGTTTGGTAAAAATGCTTTTTGAATCAAATAAGTTTAAATTTTAAGTCAACTAGAAAACACAGCTAGAATATTCTAAGAATGGGTAAAGAATCTGCTGATGTAATGAAAAGATTCAAGTTTGATAAATAAACAACACTGACAAACATGCATACTTTTTGATGCATAAAATTTAAAGTTTAGTGCACAAAACTTATTTCTAATTGGTTGTTACCATAATCGAAGTTAGAATATAATATAGTTAGGCAAAATTTTCCTGGAAAACTTGAAATATTACTGAAACTAGTATTTTAACTAAAAAAGGGGATCAGCGTGGGGCTGGTAAAGCTCATGGTAGCTAAACAGAATAGCCCCAAGTTTGAATCTTTGGCAGAAGAGGCTTAATAGCTAGGGACAACAATCACCTAGGTGAGAAACTTCAAAATCAAACAACTGCTGCCTTGTAGTTTGTTTTTGAATGAACAAAGGTTATAGAAGCAAATCCAATAATAAAAGTCACCACTTAATTGCGTTGGAGGAAATCCCACCCAACATTAGAATTAGGAACAAACAAGAAGAAATTTTTTCAAATAAAATATTTTGTTGCTACTCTATTTATACTCTTACCATCGGGTCTGAACCGATCAGCTACACGGGACTGTTTGGGTATTTCTTCATCTGAATCTTTTTCATCATCATCTAAAAACAATAAGTTTATAGTTTAGATGCAAAAATACACAGCTCACGATAAAAAAAAAAATTGGAAATAGGTTTATTATAAAGGTTTGATTTTATTTTTGTTCTTATAACTAACCAAAAATATTTTTGTCATCGTCATCATCTTCTGGAGAAATTTGCTGGTGTTTTCTTTCTTCTGTTCGAATTTTTTCAGCCATACTCTTCAGTTGTTGCTCAGTTTCCTAAGAGAGAAAAAAACAGTTGTTTAAAGCAACTTTCAGGTACTTAAACTTTGTAGTTGATTCCTGTTAAAGTTGTTGATTAGTAAAATATTAATACTGACTTCTAACTTGTCTTGTTCCACTTTGTTTTGCTCTTCAAGCTGTGTTTCCAAAAAGGCCAAATTTCTAAACTTTATCATATAGGCATCGTACAGTTTTTGTAACTCCTCCTCAAGTCTTTCATACTCATCCATATATGCTGGTCTAGAAAAAGGAAACATAAATTTCAAATAATTTGTAAACAACAAAATATTCACAAAGCTACACAAATTATAAAGGCCTATAATAGAAAACATATATCTAAGCATGAGTATAATTAGAATAAAAACATACCGAACACTTTGTAATGTCTGTAAACGTTTATTATTTCTGTCCAACTCACTCTTCTTTTTTTCAATTTTAGCTTCCAAATTGGCTTCATCTGAAGCAACGTTGTCCAGCATGTTAATTGTTTTCTGAATCTCTTGCTGAAACAGTATTGACAGTTGTAATCGTTGCATGTTTTTCAATATATATTGTTTCTTAGACTCTACCATGGCCACTACTCACCCTGACAGCTTCAATGGATTGTTGCATTCCATGCTCTACTTCATTGATCTCCAGTGCTTTGGCAATAACCATGACTCTTTGTTCCTATGCAAAATTTGAACATGTAAAAAATAAATAAATACTCCCACAAAAAACATAATGGTATTTATTACATTAAAATAATATCTTACTCTTAAGTCAACTTCCTTCCCTAAAAGGTCATACAACTGGGCTCCTTTTACTGTTATTTCTGATGCTAATCTTCTTGCTTCTTTTAGTTCATTGATCTGCACAAAAGGCAATATTTATCAATTTACTGTATTTAAAAATCATTATCAACAAAATATTGAGAAAAAATTAAACATACATGCAATAACAAATTTTTTTGGTAAATCACAACTCCTACATATGCATTCAGTTAATTTGAACGAAAACAGAAGAGACATACCCTAGAAGAAACATCAAATGAAACACTAGAAATATCCCCTGCTCCAGATTCCAGCTTGCTCGCCACATTTGACTTTGTTGCATTATATAACACAGATGTTATCTTAAGCATTTCTTTTACTGCATAACCATCTGCTCCATATAATTTTTTGGTGTTCAGTTTAATGTGTGCTTTTGTAGCCTATAAGAGTAAAACATAGCTAAAACACTTTCAGGTTAAAAATAAAAGTTAATGATCAAGTTAAACATATGCAAACATAATAGGTTTCAGATTTTAAACATTCACAAGCTAGATTTTAAACTACCTTTATATATAAAAGAGATATCAACGATTATTATTATACATCTTACATTTTTAGGATACACACTCAGGTAGCTATGTGTTATTTTAAGCAAGTTTTAAAATCTTTTACATCATAATCGGCAAGTGAACTCTATTCCAATAATTTGTCTACTGTAACTCAATCCCTTAATGCCTATACCCTTTAGGAAAGTAACTCATACCAATTTTTAAATTTGTGATAATATTAAATTCTCACCATGAATTCAGCAACTGTTTTGATAAAAATTACACGATCTTGTTCTGTGTCAATGTCAATTCCCAAGTCAACATTAGGGTCATATCTGTAAAGAAAATATTTAAATTATGTTTGTAATTAATATTAAAGTTAACCATTTCTAAACTATTTCTATAGTGCAGAAAAAGTAAAGTTCATATTGTATTTAACAAAAGTATATAAAAAGATTGTGTGGTCTGTTGTATGCCCAGCTGCCAATAATTTTCCTAACATGAGTGCAGTATCCATCAGCAATTGGATATCCTAAAGGAATGAAGTCTGGAATACTCAGCAGTCTTGTGATCTATTACCTAACCTAATTGTCCTACAATTTAAAAGACTTGGTAAATATTTGTATTCATAAATAACAATTTCCAGTATACAAGTATGAACCAAAAGTTGTTTACCTTTTCATCAACCATGTTAGACATTCATAAACAAGTTTAAAATTTGGTGTTCTGAAATTCTCCATGGAGATAAGTCGATGGAACCCTAAAGCTCTCATCATTTCTGTAAAATCTGAAATTAAAATTTATTTTTAATAGCCTGTAGTTTCTGCATTTGTACTTCTACTTTTTACTATAGCAGCACTTTACTTTAGCCTAAAGTCTTTAGGTTGTAAAGAACCTGTTGCAAAATCTATATCTGAAGTGAGTAGTGTTGTAGAAGAGTTGTAGCCTAGTTATTTACTTGCCTATAGTCTATAGTATTTTATATAGTTAAGTAAAAAAGACAATAAATAAAATAAAAATGTAAAACTTTTGCCTAAAATAAATCTCGATTCTAGAGATCTAGATCTAGATCTATTCTAATTTTTAAATTTTAATTAAAAATAATTTATACCCTAGGCTTTTTTTTTTTTTTTTTTAGTTTAGTAAAAGAGTAGGCCTATTTTCAATTTTGTATTTTAAACAAAGTTAGTAAAAAAAAGTCAAAAGTATGTTTCCAGATCTTCTAGGTCAAGTAACAATATGGGATTTTAATAGTAAATCTATGCTACAAATTTACTTCTTAAGTCTTTAAAGCTCATTTTTAAAAATATGAGTCAAACTATGCTGGATACAACAGACGGAAATATGTATGGAACTCAGCTACAACGCCATCTATAAACAGTTTTGCACCATGGTGAAAAGGTTACAAGGTAAGTCTAAATACCAATTTATATCATAAAAAATCGTGTCGAAAAATACGCATGCATCTTACGAAATTTTGGTTGTTGCAATCTCGTTATTAGTTTAGACTGGATTAAATATCTTTAAAACCATTAACATAGTTTGACACAAAATAGTTTTAGTTTTTGAGAAAATAATTAGCAATAATTATGTTCAAAGAATGGCATTATATTTACGAACTTAATCGTATCTAAAATGCAAGTCAATATCCAAAGAAAACTAAGGGAAGCACAGAATATCTTAGTGTAAACCATTTTAGTATCGTGAGCTTAGCGTTCTACTGTAAGGTTTCCACACTGAAATCACAGTGTCCAGGCAGCTATAGCAAATATAGTCCATGACTAGCACGCAGAGGCGTAGCGAGTGGGGGGGGGGCGGGGGACATATGTCCCCGGGCGCCGACCTGAGGGGGGGGGCGCCAAATTGAAAGTTTGAGGGGGGTGCAAATGAAAAGTTCGATGGGGGTGCAAATCGAAAGTTTGAGGGGGGGGGGTGCAAATGAAAAGTTCGAGGGGGGGGTGCAAATCGAAAGTTTGAGGGGGGTGCAAATGAAAAGTTCGAAGGGGGGTGCAAATCGAAAGTTTGTCCCCGGGCGCCGGGAAGGGTCGCAACGCCTCTGCTAGCACGAAGTTTGGCTGTCTGATAAAGTGGGCTCTTTCGCCAGATTGCGCAAAAAAAAAATCTCTGGATGGCAATAATTAAAGTTCATCTCTAAGAACTAACGTTCCATAGATGAATTAGAGTTAATATGTTTCTTGACCTCGGCTAATGAAAGGATGGTGTAGTCAGTACTACGCCTAAACCACACTTAATTTAAATAACGTGAGTCAGATAGCCTACCGCGAGTTGACCCAGGGACACACACACACACACACACACACACACATATATATATATATATATATATATATATATATATATATATATATATATATATATATATATATATATATATATATATATATATATATATATATATATATATATATATATATATATATATATAATTTTTCTTTCGGTGGGGGGGGGGGGGGGGTGACACCATAATTTGCCGACCACTGACGCTAACTAAAAATTTATCTACCCTTTAGAGTGAGGGACTATGGCAACACGTTCAGATACTTTCACACTCTCTCCTTGTGTGTTAGATATTATCTATGTAAATACATACACGCCCCACACTTTTTTTTCCAGCTCATCCTCACGAGTTCTACTTTTTAAATACAGATGTAACAGCAATACAAACATACATAAATATACTTTTAGCTCTTTCAAATTAAGTGTTGAGAGAGTCTTGCCTAAAAAAAAAATAACACAGTTAATCACAAGGCAATTAGCAGCGAGCACGTGACCGGATCAATTAACAGAGAGGCAACAACCTAGTAGGTTTTGCATATGTTTCAGTGTTTGTGTGAACTTCTGTCAAACACTGAACGTCCACCTAACTGACATCATCATTCACTCTGCGGCTTTTAAAGTATCCAGAACATTTTTTACGCAGATATTTGTGTAATGTCTTAGACAAAATAAAGTTCTCGGTAAAGCTGGAATATTTGTCTAAATTTAAAGATACAACTCAATTTTTAGTTTTAGAGTTTATTGATAATATAAACCAGTTAAAATGAAGGAAAGTCATGTTTGGAATTATTTGATGATTTTCTTATCCATTGTCACGTGTGTCTCATCTCAGACCGAAGGTAAATTTCATATATATATATATATATATATATATATATATATATATATATATATATATATATATATATATATAACGTTTTTTTTTCTAAATATAAGCTTACAAAAATATTTTTGGTTTATATTATTCCAGTTCTCAAAATTACCCCCCCCCCCTCCCCACCCACCAATTCTGAAACGTTTCAAGAATCTAATATAATCGCTTTTCCACCCCACCCTCTTCTTCCCAAAAAATTTCTATAATTCAGACACACATTTTTTTTCCCATTCTATTTATTGTAAATAGAACGGAAAAATGGGATACACAAAGTGATCTCACTACTAAACCCTCTTCTTTGCCTTCCTTTTCAACATCTTCCAAAAAATTGAATCCTTGCTAAATTATACACATAGCCGGACGCAATTACCACTAGCTGAAATATAATGTCACACGTCTTTCTTTTATTTCTGATTCATGCATTTAGATAAAGACATTACAGTTTTTTTAGAAAGTAAAGAAAAATATCCTACGATTTATTATTATTAATTGTATATATATATATATATATATATATATATATATATATATATATATATATATATATATATATATATATATATATATATATACCTATATATATATATATATATATATATATATATATATATATATATATATATATATATATATATATATATATATCAGTAGCGTAGCGGGGTGGGGGGGGGGGGGGGGCGGGGGGGGACATATGTCCCTGGGCGCCGACCTTAAGGGGCGCCAAAATGGGTTGGAAAAATAAATTGAAAGGTTGAGGGGGTGCAAATCGAAAGTTTGAGGGGGGGGGGGGTGGAGATCGAAAAGTTTGCCCCCGGGCGCCGGGAAGGGTCGCTACGCCTCTGATATATATATATATATATATATATATATATATATATATATATATATATATATATATATATATATATATATATATATATATATATATATATATATATATATATATATATATATAATAGAGACTTAAATTTCCTGTGTAATCAAGCAAAAAATAAAATTCGATATTTTGACTAATCTCGATTTTTTTACACCTTCCTGTATCGGAAAAAACCCAGTTTTGCAATCATGTGTGTGTGCGTGTGTGTGTGTGCGTGTATATATATACCTATATATATATATATATATATATATATATATATATATATATATATATATATATATATATATATATATCAGTAGCGTAGCGGGGTGGGGGGGGGGGGGCGGGGGGGACATATGTCCCTGGGCGCCGACCTTAAGGGGCGCCAAAATGGGTTGGAAAAATAAATTGAAAGGTTGAGGGGGGTGCAAATCGAAAGTTTGAGGGGGGGGGGGGGTGGAGATCGAAAAGTTTGCCCCCGGGCGCCGGGAAGGGTCGCTACGCCTCTGATATATATATATATATATATATATATATATATATATATATATATATATATATATATATATATATATATATATATATATATATATATATAATAGAGACTTAAATTTCCTGTGTAATCAAGCAAAAAATAAAATTCGATATTTTGACTAATCTCGATTTTTTTACACCTTCCTGTATCGGAAAAACCCAGTTTTGCAATCATGTGTGTGTGCGTGTGTGTGTGTGCGTGTATGAGTGATAACAATACGCGGAGCACCAAATCAGTTAGGTGGACGAAATTTCACATTTGTGCATTTTAATGTTTAAGCTATTTCCGGTAACCGAAAGAGTATTAAAATTTATTACACCGCGAAGGATAGCTTGTATAGCGTTTCAGATATGTAGACTAAATGCCACATATACTTAGGTTTCTTTAAACTTATGAGTGATTTCCGATATCCGGAAGTTGTACTTCACTCTAGTTCTGCTTTCTGAAATATCGAGAGTACCGTTTCAGTAAAGTGGACACATTTTAAAAAAAAATACATTAAAAGATCCTATATGTTGTTTTCTATCAACTTTTAACTATTTCCAAAAACCGGATGTGGTACTTTACTCTCTTTTAAATCAAGGTTGACTAAATCATAATAAATTAAGAGCAGCTGTTTTTGTACGATGCCAGCCGGCCTTGATGCTGTTTGGATGGGATGTGTCACCTAAAGGCCATGGCCAGATAAACTTTCATTTGTTAGGGACAACAGATGGAAATCAACAATAGGGCTGAAGCAACAGGTTTTTGTCTTGTCAGCTGATCTTCAATGTACAGAACACAAATCAGGGAAAGTACTTTATTTAAATGGTCCCTACTTGTTGGCGGTGAAATTTTAATTAGCCACTGTCCATACAATTAAATCAACTGTATTTTATAACACGGAAAAAGTTATAATTTCTATAATGGGGCACTGTTGATCACAGCTTTTCAATGCTAACGAATAGTCTTCATCCACTTCACTGTCCCCCGAATTCTCTTTGGAATAATGCCTACAGATATTTTTTAAAAAAAACGATGTTACTTTAACTGTGGTGTTGAAGCCCAACAGTGCTGTCAGTCCCTACCCACCAGTCTACCTTACTCTCATGCAGTCATCAAGTGCACGAAGGACCAGGGTAAACGTGACAAGAGCTGCCTGCAAGATTGTACACAGGGCTGTAAGATTGTGCACCTGTAGGATTGTACACAGGGCTGTAAGATTGTGCACCTGTAGGATTGTAAACAGGGCTGTAAGATTGTGCACCTGTAGGATTGTACACAGGGCTGTAAGATTGTGCACCTACAGGATTGTAAACAGGGCTGTAAGATTGTGCACCTACAGGATTGTAAACAGGGCTGTAAGACTGTGCACCTACAGGATTGTAAACAGGACTGTAAGATTGTGTACCTGCAAGATTGTAAACAACGCTGTAAGATTGTGCATCTATAGAAGCTTACAAAGGGCTGTAAACCCCCACTCGCCGCCAACGTGTGTATTTATAAAGTATTTTAAAGCATACAAGTATTAGGACAAAAATGTGTTTAGCCCATCATATGAAAGTATTATTTCTGATAACTCAAAGAATGTGTTGAACGTGGAGACGATCAGCAAGAGTTCCGTTGTTGCCATCAAGACTTGACTTTCATCAACATTTCCACATCTCCTGTAATTATGTCCCCTGCCACAATATATACTTCAATATAGCCGTCAGCTGTTGCTGTAATTAAGCAGTATTCGTGGAGCTGGTACTTGGTTATACGGTTTATTGCAACTGTTTAAGGGAACTCTAATTACCGATACGTATGTAAGGTGGTAAAGGATCTAAACAAACAAATGGGTTGTGCATGAAAAATGTTTTATTATGATATTTAAGAAATATGATTATCGTAATAAGCGAATATTAGAGAATATAATACTTCTTTGATTGAGGAGAAATGGATAAGACTTTAGTTATTGCGTTGTTGGCCGATCTAACTAAGTTTAGATGCACCTATTTAATGACCAGTTTTATTGCTAGTGGCCTAAGCGTAACATCCCTGATGCGTGTATTGATTATCTACAGCGCCGGATCAGTTTCAGTTAAAACCTAAGTCTAAATGATGAATACATTATAAACTTCACAGCTACATGTGACGTAAGAGCTAAATTTAGCTGATGTGCGCTAGTACAGTGTTGTTATCTACTGATCCCAACACATCCACTGGTCCCATTACATGTAATGGTCCCAACACATCTAATGGTCCCAACACATCTAATGGTCCCAACACATCTAATGATCTCAACACATCTAATGGTCCCATTAATGGTCCCAACACATCTAATGGCCCCAACACATCTAATGGTCCCAACACATCAAATGGTCCCAACACATCTAATGGTCCCAACACATCTAATGGTCCCAACACATCTAATGGTCCCAACACATCTAATGGTCCCAACAAATCTAATGGTCCCAACACATCTAATGATCACAACACATTTAATGGTCCCAACACGCAACACATCTAATGGTCCCAACACATCTAATTGTCTCAGCACATCTAATGGTCCCAACACATTTAATGGTCCCAACACATCTAATGGTCCCAACACATTTAATTGTCCCAACACATCTAATGGTCCCAACATATCTAATGGTCCCAACACATCTAATCGTCTCAACAGATCTAATGGTCCCAACACATCTAATGGTTCCAACACATCTAATGGTCCCAACACATCTTATGGTCCCAACACATCTAATTGTCTCAAAACATCAACTGTCCCAACATATCTAATGGTCCCAACACATCTTATGGTCCCAACACATCTAATTGTCTCAAAACATCAACTGTCCCAACATATCTAATGGTCCCAACCCATCTAATTTTCTCAACACATCTAATGGTCCCAACACATCTATTGGTCCCAACACATCAAATGGTCCCAACACATCTAATGGTCCCAACATATCTAATGGTCCCAACACATCTAATGGTCCCAACACATCAAGTGGTCCCAACACATCTAATGAATGGTCCCAACACATCTAATGAAAGGTCCCAACACATCTAATGGTCCCAACACATCAAGTGGTCCCAACACATCTAATGAATGGTCCCAACACATCTAATGAATGGTCCCAACACATCTAATGGTCCCAACACATCAAATGGTCCCAACACATCTAATGAATGGTCCCAACACATCTAATGGTCCCAACACATCTATTGGCGGTGCTACTTGAGGGTGTGATTAAAACGAGAAAATTTCAACCAGATCAATACGCCTGTTGGTCGCTGTAAAAAAAAAAAAAAAAAAAAAAAAAAAAAACTACTCCAAACACGTTTTCACTTTGTGCCTCACGTTTACTGTAGTGTATTTAATCTACAGGCAGGAACAGAAATGGCCTCTCATCCGTGTCTGCTTCAAATGACGAGGAAGCTGAACTGGCAGGTAATTGATCTGGCCAGTCAATACGGTTGTTTCAGTAACTGACTTGCCAGATGGTACATGTTTTAAAAATTTATTTAACATCTAGAATTAATAAATACTTAATCGTTTACTTTCGATAAACTTTGTATATTACACTCATTTCTTTATATCTCTTATCCACATACCTGTGTATATGTTTAAATTTTACATCAACAAGTCTGTTATAACTATGCATGTCTAAACTAGTTCTGTTTGTCTTTTATTAGTCTGTACACCACTTCATTAACAATACATTCATTAACTAAAATTAACAATAATTCATTAAAGATTATTTACTGATTTAATTTTGACAACAGCAGCCCGTTCGATTAAATCGGTTGAATTAAGTACAGTTATCATTTTCCTGTTTTAAAATAGGTCTTAAAGATTTCCTGACTGACTTGAAAGCCAACAGTTCGAACCAAAAGACGACCGTCGTGCCCAAAACAACAGCCGCTAAAGGTATCGAAGGTAACCGATAATTGCATTTCGATAAACCTAATTGTCTAATTTAAAGGTTGACCTCTGAACCGTAATCTTAGAGGGTTTACTATAATATGCCAGGTACCCTATTAAACTGAGTGGATATCTAACTACGCGATAGTAACTTTGATTTTAATTTCAAATTGAAATTGAGAAAAATTAATTTTTCTTATGTTTTAAATTTTGAAAGCTCTAATAGTTTAGTTTTTTAGTTATTTGCTTCAAGTAATATACCAACTGAACTAAGTTACTTATAATTTAGGTCTACAGCATGGCTTATTCTCATAATTTTTGTATCACTACAACAAAGTAGAACAAAAAACTATAGATCATGGACTGGTTAGGGTATGGGAGGGTTAACATTGATCCCTGTTTTTTTTAAAGATGACCTCGGGTCAGGCCCCTTGGCTAAAGTGGACGAACAGGAGGATACAACAACATCCACTGTCGCCTCAGTAACAACTACACGTAAGTGGGTATTTTTTATTTGACAATACTAAAAAATTATTTATCATTTAACAATGCTAAAAATTACTTATCATTTTTTTTTAAATGCTAAAAATTATTTATCATTTAACAACACCATGCCCCCCCCCCATCCAAAACCGAACTCCGCCATTAATTTTTATTTGACAACATGTATATACATATGCTGTATATGTTCATTTGAAAACGTGTCCATACATATGTTGTATATGTTTATTTGACAACATGTCCATACATACGCTGCATATGTTCATTTGACGATATGTCAATACATATGCTGTATATGCTGTCCTGACAGGTAAAACGCCACAGTTCCAGCGCCCAACAACCAGCGTCAGACCTGCAGGTAAAGCAAGTGCTGGCTCCAACGACACGTCAAAAGGTACACTTGCCCAACTCTGTTTCAACACTCTCATATATATATATATATATATATATATATATATATATATATATATATATATATATATATATATATATATATATATATATATATACCTGGGGCAAGTGTTCGGCATGTGCCATAGACGAGAAAACATTTTAATGATAATTGATGTTATCTTTCAGACGATGACAAGGCATCACCGGGCCAGTTGTACGGTAACAAAACGAACTCCCTGTCTGGTGTCATGTCAGATGGTAAACATTTTATTTTAAACTGCTGGTTTTTGGGTCACTGGTGTGTCCGTTTACTGGTGTGTTTGCCTAATATTGTATTAGTTTACTGGTGTGTTTTCCTAATGGTGTGTCCGTTTACTGGTGTATTTTCCTAATGATGTGTCAGTTTACTGGAGTGTTGGCCTAGTGGTGTGTCCGTTTACTGGTGTGTTTGCCTAGTGGTGTGTCAGTCTACTGGTGTGTTTGCCTAATGGTGTGTCCATTTACTAGTGTGTTTGCCTAGTGGTGTGTCAGTCTACTGGTGTGTTTGCCTAATGGTGTGTCCATTTACTAGTGTGTTTGCCTAGTGGTGTGTCAGTTTACTGGTGTGTTTGCCTAGTGGTGTGTCAGTTTACTGGTGTGTTTGCCTAGTGGTGTGTTCGTTTACTGGTGTGTTTGCCTAGTGGTGTGTCAGTTTACTGGTGTGTTTGCCTAGTGGTGTGTTCGTTTACTGGTGTGTTTGCCTAATATTGTATCAGTTTACTAGTGAGTTTGCTTAATGGGGTTTCAGCCTTTGCTTTATGTATCTTCTACTAAAATTAATTATATATCAGTACATATTTTAGTTACCTATGTAACCTATTCTAATATAGTACGTGCAATGTAAGATATTACACAATAAACTTGCACTGCGGTGGCTGATACATGTCTGTATACTGGATGCCGACCCCTGGTTTAGCCTAGCGTAATGTCAATTAGTTGTATCAGCTGGTCATACTAATTGTGTGTGTGACATCCCCCCCCCCACCCCACCCCCCTCACCACTCTCTATTCTGTTGTATTGTGCCCGGCCATTGACACTAATGAACCTCTGCTCGTAGACAACACCGCTTGGGGCAACACAACACGTAACAACAGCTTCACCACCATCAGGACTACAACAACAGGTAACATGTGTTGGGAATGGGCTTTTGTGCTCTGTCGTGGTGCATTAGCTGTTTCTTCAAGGGTTTTTGTCTTCTGTCATTGTGTATTTGCTGTTTCTCCAAGTCTTCTGTCATTGTGTCTTTGCTGTTTCTCCAAGTCTTCTGTCATTGTGTCTTTATGTTTCTCCGAGGCTGTTGTCTTCTGTAATTGTGTATTTGCTGTTTCTCCAAAGGCTTTTGTCTTTTGTCATTGTGTATTTACTATTTCTCCAAAGACTTTTGTCTTTTGTCATTGTGTATTTACTATTTCTCCAAAGGCTTTTGTCTTCTGTCATTGTGTCTTTGCTGTTTCTCCAAGGGCTTTTGTCTTTTGTCATTGTGTCTTTGCTATTTCTCCCAGGGTTTTAGCAGTTTCTTTTTTCATTTTTTTCTGAATGCGGTTAATGTTGTCTGTTACATGTTAAGAATGCTTTTTTGTATATGGCGCAGTTTTTGTTTGAAACATTTTCTTATCAAGAAGGCGGTGGAGGGTTGGGGCTGAGGGCACAGTAAAGTTTCAGGAACACAATAACATTTTCGGGGGTGGGGGACGACACTGGTTAGCAATATGCAATATGTTCCTGTTTAAATGTGTTAATAGTTTCATTATCAAGTCAACTACACACACGTGTGTGTGTGTGTTTATGTGTGTGCGTGTGTGTGTGTGTAGTGCGTAGTTCCCCACCCCTCGCTTTTCTTTAGAACCCTCATGGATTTTATTAATTTTTTTTTCAAAATATGACTACTAGATCAGGATAATTCTACAACAGCTCAGGATAATCCTGAATTCGCTGCCCTGCTTGAAGATGGGGACAACACCACCAAACCAATCGCCGTGTCATCCACTGGACCAGAGGGTAAGACGTGTACTTTGTGTGGTAGAGACTTTTGTTGTATTGTGTTATGTTAGTTTGGATGTATCGCCGCTGTTTTAATTATGCTTGTGTTCTGTTAATTTGGAGGTATCGCCGTTGTTTTAATTACGTTTGTTTCGGTTTTTGCATGTGTATTTGTTTCAATTTTTTTCAGTTGTGTTTGTTCTGCTTTTTTAGTTGTATTTGTTTCGGTTTTTTAACTTTCGCTTCGCAATGTTCATAGAATGTCATACAAGATTTCGATTTTTAGACCTGCATGAAAAAGGAAACAATTAAAAATAAACTTTTAACATCAAAAAGTAAAAATAACGTAATCTAGACTAATGATTCAACAGTTATAGAGAAATATGTTAATAACTAATATACATGCAAATGAGACTTGGTGGGCTCTATTCAAAGTAATGACAGGCTGTTTGAGGCCCACGGGACTTGTGATACATTGCGTTACCAAGGTTACCATTAAGATACGACTCGGATTGGACAGTTTTTATGCCGTCTACACACTTTGTTTTACTAAGCTAAACAAACAAAGTTTATCGTGGTATACTGTGGGGGTGTCTACACAAATTGTTTTACTGAGCTAAACAAATAAAGTTTATTGTGGTATACAGTGGGGGTGTCTACACAAATTGTTTTACTGAGCTAAACAAATAGAGCTTGCTGTGGTCTACTTTTGGGTGTCAACACAATTTGTTTTACTGAGCTAAACAAATAGAGCGTAAGGTGGTCTATTGTGGGGTGTCTACACAATTTGTTTTACTGAGCTCACAAAGGGAGCTTACTATGGTCGCTTGTTGGTCGTTTGACTAAACCTGTTGCCCACCACTGACGCTTAGGCCTAACGTTGTTGGGTTTTTTTTTAAATCTTTCCGAGTGTAAATATTTGTTTGTGGTAATCAAGGGGTGAGGCGAGGTTGGCAGGCAGCTGCAGGTAGGGTGAGCTGGTTACTGATGCAGCTGCTGGGGGACAGGTGACAGGTGTGTCGTGATGACAGGTGTCGTGTAGATGAGCAGTTCGGGTCAGTGGTTATAGTACAGGGCAGAGGCAGTGGAGAGTGGCAGTGTGGCGTGTGACTCATTGGGGCAGCCACACCTAGACAGTGTGGCAAGTGACTCACACAGACAGCCACACCTAGACAGCCGCATATAGACAGCCACACCTAGACAGTGTGACAAGTGACTCACACAGACAGCCACATATAGACAGCTACACCTAGACGGTGTGGCAAGTCACACAGACAGCCACACCTAGACAGTGTGACAAGCGACACATACAGACAGCCACATATAGACAGCTACACCTAGACAGTGTGACAAGTGACTCACACAGACAGCCACACCTAGACAGATGGCATATGACACACAGCCACACCAATAGCTTGACAGCCTCTTTATTCTCATACCACCTCCTCCAGGCTACATGATGTAGCCACTGCTTGAGACTATCATACGAGGGTTTTATTGTGTGTGATTGAAGTCACAAGTCATGTTGTTATTTTACTACTGGGTCATCTCGATATGAGAGTACACGTTTATAGAACTTAAATATCGCCATATTTCAAAATGCTGTATTTATAATGCAATGCAATTATGTCAAGTAACATATTTGTATGCTGGGAAATCTTTACTTGTGGCTACAATGAATCTGCACACAATTTTTGTTTACTATATATAGGCTAACCATTTTCACTTGTTTTATATTTTTTCCAATGGAAAATTTTAGTGAATCCTAAATATAAGATCAATATTTTAAAAGTAATTTTTAAATGTATTTATTATTTATTGTATTTAATCAATATTTTTACTAATTAATTAATTGGTTTCAGGTGTTTAGCAAGCTATAGTTTATTAAAATTACTGTGATTCTGTAATGATATGATACTATTTATATAAAGGCGGTTTATTTGTTTATCAATATTAATATATTATTATTATTTTATAGACGCTGCAATATCCATGGTAAGTCTATTTTGATTAAAAAACACAATTTTCTAAAGCATGTATCTATCAATACTGTTAATGGTTAAAATGTATTTGTTGGGAACAAAAAGAAACGTAACGCGTTTAAAATGTTACATAAATATTCACGGGAGGTAAATCTATCATCTAGATTACTTTTTAATTTCATTGTTGATTCCCTTTTTCTTGCCTTATTTAGTCGTGTGGTAGCTAGCATCAAGTCAAACCCATTTTAAACGTTTTTATTTTTAAAACAAATATTTTATTTTATTTACCTCCACTGTCCACCATTTTTTGTCAGGTCGCTGACAACTGCCTCGTTTTGGTCTCAGCCTTGGCGGTCACGGTGACCCTGCTCTATGCTCCAGTGTAAGGCTGCAACAATCAACCCAGCAAGTTGTAGCGACAAATTTTTATGTGATTTGTTTCGTAATTTTTCTCTTTTATATTTTATTTATTCGAATTAAACTGGTAAAATTATTAACAGTACTTCAGTTATTTTTTTTTATTTATAGACTTGTATTTTTGGTAAATTGATAAAACGAGTTCTGCTTGAGAAATAATTTTACACTACTTTATGCTGAAAATTTGCGCATACCTTTAATCCATTACATTCCTTGTACTGAATATTCAACAAGTTTAAACAATAGTGCGAACTGTAGTCTTTAAATATCCGCTAAACACCTAGATCTAGATCTACCGAATTCAAGATCAGTGTTTCTTCCAGACTTTTTTCTCCGCGCGGGGGGACGGGGGACAGTGGTAAAGGTATGTTTTCTATATAAATTCAATTTCGTTCGGGGGGGGGGGTAGACTTTCTTGGGGGGGGGGGGGGGCTCTAGAGATGCCTGGAAGAAACTCTGTTCAAGATAAGGATAGTTGATGTAGCCAATCAGGACGTGAGATGAATCGAACAGGCGTTACTCTTCCACCTTCTGCTACAAGATACATGTGTACAGGGTTTAACAAGTAAAAATATATACTTTTAACAGTGTCCGACCCCCTCGAAGAAAGTCTACTACCGCCCCCCCCCCCCCGAAAATTTCAAGTGCCCCCCCCCCCCCCCCGAGAAAAAAGTCTGGAAGAAACACTGCTGATCATTGCCCCAGTTAAAAAAAAAACACTTTATTGCAAATATTCAAACTAACGAATAATAATCGTACATTTTTTAATTAATTCAAAATTGTTAATAAAAACACGGAATAAAAGATCCGATTTTAATATAACATGTTTCTTTAGAACTATGCAAATTGTTTAGGCCCATAAGCCCCCACTGTATCTATAATGCGACCGCTGTAATAAGATCGTTATCAATGATCCTCAGGAGTATTGATTTTTTTCCCCTTTCTGACTTCTCGAAAGGAAATTCCTTTGTGTGCGGGCAAAAGCATATAGTTTTGATTTGTGTAAGGCTGGCATTCAAGGTGGTAATAAACTAATGATTGATCCGCACAGAGGGAGTGTGTGTGGGGGGGGGGGGGGGGGGGTGACCTTAACATGGTTTGATAGGCTCGTGACGTAATGGGTTATTTTTTAAAAATACGAGGGCAGAAAAAAAAGGTTGTGGGTTTATCCATGCATAATCATTGAGTGGTAATAGAATTAACAGCCTTGGGGATTGGCATAACGATTTCCTGACTATATATATATATATATATATATATATATATATATATATATATATATATATATATATTTAATGTGTGTGCGTATGTGTGTGCGTTTTTATTGTGTGTGTTGCGTTTATACCTAATCTTGGTTTCTACCCAGTCTGCCCCAGTCATTGAGTAAATTGAACACACATAACTAAAAACATATAAAGATTTAACTAAGGACGTTGTAATGAAATAAAACCTAACACGGTCTATCTCACATAAACTATCATTCCCATTCAATCTCCGTTTACTGACATAAAGTTTTTAACGACTGTCTAAGAACGACCGTCTGTCCCCACCCATGTGGGGCCGAGAAGAAAGCCCTAGGATATGCCCCCCCCCCTCACCCCCCCCCCCCCCCATACAAAAACCTATCGTGGGGAATCAATGCCGTCTTATGTCAAAAAATACCCCTAATCTATTTGAGCCGATCGATAAATCTTGAAAGCGTTTAATCTCGTTTTTATCAAACTATCGATTAGTGACACTTTAGCTGTATTGATCCGCGGATCTCGATGCCAAGGGAAGCCACCGCTGTGCCGTAAAAGTTAAGATCAGCAGGATTTAGTTCAGTAGGATTATTAGAGCCCTTGTACACTTTACTTGCGATAAAATGTGCATACGGTTAGGCCTGCTATTTTTGTTACAAAATCATATTAATTAAATTTTGTAAAAATATTTTCCGGGACATAACAATAACGTAATTATTAATTTTAAATTAAAATATTTAAAAGTTCTTGTCCTAAACAGATTATTGTTTTCTTTTTTTTTCCAATTCGAATTTTTAAATCACAGAAAGTGCTGCACATCACTGGTCTATGAATGGATATTGGTGACAGGAGTCTAGAATTGGCCTAACAACGCTATAAGGGTTAATTACACGGCTTCCGTGAACATTATATCTTCAGTCGAATATTTATTTTCTTTTCGTTTGTTTTGTATTCAAAGGAATATGTTTTTTCCATGTAAGACAGGTCTTCTATGTTTACTTTCTAATCAAGACAACACATTCCACAATAAAAACCTATTCCTGACATGTCTTGGTTACATTTTCTTTTCAATGGAAGAATTAGCAGTGTTCGACAAACGATTCAAAATGGTTTTAAAAAAACCACGGGTTGAATGGACACATTGATTTGAAATGGTTACCTTTCATAGACCCCAAGAGTTGAATAGACAGACGTATAACATTGAGACACTGTCGTGTGGTGTACTAGACAGCAATAAAAAATGAATGTGTTACACGTAGAAGCCTAATTAGCAAGGGACACAAGCCAGGCAATTATCTACCGCTTGCTGAAGCAACAGCGAGCGAAGTCTCGATTAAAATAAAATGTTAACACACCATTATAAAAGCAATAAAAATACGGATTGTTTAAAATCAGGGATAAAACAAATTTTCGTTTATTTTTTTTTTTTTATTTACGTAAAATACCAGGTAAGCAAATATTTCTTCTCAATATTTAATCAAATCTTAATAAGCTGGTATTAAAAACAGCGACACATTAGTCTCCCTTGAATGGATTATCGATCCTGGGTTTGTTGATAGTTTCACAAACTTTCCCTTTTGGCAACGAGATTAAGGCCAGTATTGGGGCCCAGACTGTCTCGTGTATGGCGGATCTACCGGTGTCTGGCCTCACCTGTCTCTGTCTGCAGACACACTTTGACCCTGCGGCCATTGGTTACGTCAATCAAACGACAAGTCGTCAGGTGGATTAAGTTGAAAGTGTTTACGGCTACAGGGAATAATGTAAGAGTTTTTAAAATTAATTTTCAAATATATTAAAACAAGAATGTTGAAAAATGAAAGATTAGTTTTTACAACGATAAACTGTAATATGAATAGCATTTAGCTATATTTCTCTAAAAACAAACTGTAAAAGTTTACTATGAAGTACGCAGTGAAATGTGTCTCTTTATCTGTATTATAATATAATGGTTCATAAAACATGTACAAAATCGGTGATAAATGTATTATTTCACTTGAACTGTTGTTAAAGTAAAGTTTCCCTTTCAAACCTGACGGTCTATGGGCAAGTGAAGTAGATTTCACTTGTTTCTGTGACCTCAGCCGCCTTTACTCTCCCTAACGTGAGTTAGGTAACCATCAGAGTTGGGTGGACTCAAGGACGGTCTGCTGAGTTGAACCCAGATTCGAACTCGAGACTTACGGATTAGCAGTCCAGCTCTCTACCGCTAGACCACTCCGTCCCATGAACTGTTGTTACACATTAAAAAACCATACTGATTAGACTTGATTCAAGAATAAATTACTAGTGTCTTATGCTGCAAGTAACTACTGTAAGGTGCTACAAACACAATCTGTTTAACTGACCACCACAAACACAAACTGTTTATCTGACCACCACAACATTTGTTTAACTGACCACCACAAACACAAACTGTTTAACTGACCACCACAACATTTGTTTAACTGACCACCACAACATTTGTTTAACTTACCACCACAAACACAAGTTGTTTCACTGACCAACACAACATTTGTTTAACTGACCACCACAACATGTGTTTAACTGACCACCACAACATTTGTTTAACTGACCACCACAACATTTGTTTAACTGACCACCACAACATTTGTTTCACTGACCAACACAACATTTGTTTAACTGACCACCACAACATGTGTTTAACTGACCACCACAACATTTGTTTAACTGACCACCACAACATTTGTTTAACTGACCACCACAACATTTGTTTAACTGACCACCACAAACACGAGCTGTTTAACTGACCACTACAAACACAATTTGTTTAACTGACAACCAAATAGAAATCACGCGATAACAGACAGACCACCACAACATTTGTTTAACTGACCACCACAAACACAAGCTATTTGACTGACCACCACAAACACAATTTGTTTAACTGACAACCAAATAGAAATCACGCGATGACAGACTGACCACCAAAGGGAGACCACTATGTCGGTCCAACACAGACCTGTGGAGAACTGGAGTCTGGCACCAAGTCCAGAAGTCCGAGCGGCCAAGACGAGAGTCGAGCGAGAACTTTTGATCAAAGTCAGCCCCAAGTCAGATGTCGTGAGTAGTTTAGTTCACTTTCATATGTTTACATTCTCTAGACAAACATTTCTAACTCTCTTGTAGTAAAAGATAAAATGTGTACACGTAAATGTCTTAGATATTAAGATGGCTACGCCCCTCTACTCTCGCAATAAGGCTTGTAAGTAGGTTACAACTTCTCGTACTTGCCAGCTAGTAGATTTCGAGACCGTAGACTTACAAGCCCTATACAAGTTGTTTATACCATCTTATGATTGAAATCATGAATCAACTGTAGTGGGCCGTCGGCGTGTCGTCTAAAAACTAGTACTGACAAAATGTAACGAGACAATTTTATCTTAATTATTTTAAGCCTAATCCTTGCGTCAACGCCTAACTCTACCCATACATTTAACAAAAAAAGGATAGTACCTTTGCAGACCAGAGTGTCCGTGAAGAAGATGAAGTAGAGTCCACATTTTTCTCTTAAGGGCTAGTGCGGTTAGCACTTCGCCCAACCTCTTTGACTTACTCAGACTTTAGTCAGGTACTCATTAGGGCTGGGTGAACTGAATAATGTCATACGGACTCGACCCCGTGAACCAAACTCAACCTTTAGGTTAGTATCTGTTTACCCTACCGCTCGACCAGCTCCTACCACATTGTGTTAAAAAAAAGCCTCTATAACGTATTGCTAAACCAAACGTACTAATATAAAAGTTTAACCAACCTTTATCTACACATGTTAAACCAAGTACTGACCCTGTCTTAAACAAAGTATTAACCAAGTATTGACCTATCAAAGTACTAACCCTGTCTTTAACCAAGTACTGACCCTGTCTTAAACCAAGTACTGACCCTGTCTTTAACCAAGTACTAACCCTGTCTTTAACCAAGTACTAACCCTGTCTTTAACCAAGTACTGACCCTGTCTTTAACCAAGTACTGACCCGGTCTTTAACCAAGTACTGACCCTGTCTTTAACCAAGTACTAACCATGTCTTTAACCAAGTACTAACCCTGTCTTTAACCAAGTACTGACCTTGTCTTTAACCAAGTACTGACCCTGTCTTTAACCAAGTTCTAACCCTGTCTTTAATTAAGTACTGACTTATCAAAGTACTAACCCTGTCTTTAACCAAGTACTGACCCTGTCTTAAACCAAGTACTAACCCTGTGTCATGTTGTGTCACCCACAGATTGAACTGAACCCGCTGATTTTATCCACAAGGCTGGATAAACCAGTAGCCACATCCCAGCTGAAATACTACAGGATCCAACCTCCCTTTCAGGAGATCTCCCCATACCATGGTGTGTACTAAATATAGCTCTGTGTTTACATTATTCGTGCGATACAACACTTTGAATCATAACGTTGTTGACGACTAAATATAGCTTTGTGTTTACATTATTAATGTGATACAACAGGTTATATCATAACGTTGACGATGACTAAATATAGTCGCATGTTTACATTGCTAGTGTGATACAACGGTTTGAATTATAACGTTGACAACAGTTTAGTGTGATACAATGGTTTGAATCTAAACGTTGATGTGTTTTAACTTTTAACTCTCATGTTTGTCTATTGTCAGGAAACCCATGGACTGGTGACCGCTTGGCTCTGCGACAGTTGACAAATGTAGGTACTAGCTAGAATCTTAGCTACAAATGTAGGTGCTAGAATCTTAGCTACAAATGTAGGTACTAGCTAGAATCTTAGCTGCAAATGTAGGTACTAGCTAGAATCTTAGCTACAAATCTAGGTACTAGCTAGAATCTTAGCTACAAATGTAGGTACTAGCTAGAATATTAGCTACAAATGTAGGTACTTGCTAGAATCTTAGCTACAAATGTAGGTACTAGCTAGAATCTTAGCTCCAAATGTAGGTACTAGCTAGAATCTTAGCTACAAATGTAGGTACTAGCTAGAATCTTAGCTACAAATGTAGGTACTAGCTAGAATCTTAGCTACAAATGTAGGTACTAGCTAGAATCTTAGCTCCAAATGTAGGTATTAGCTGGAATCTTAGCTACAAATGTAGGTACTAGCTAGAATCTTAGCTACAAATGTAGGTACTAGCTAGAATCTTAGCTACAAATGTAGGTACTAGCTAGAATCTTAGCTCCAAATGTAGGTATTAGCTGGAATCTTAGCTACTAATGTAGGTACTAGCTAGAATCTTAGCTACAAATGTAGGTACTAGCTAGAATCTTAGCTACAAATGTAGGTACTAGCTAGAATCTTAGCTACAAATGTAGGTACTAGCTAGTATCTTAGCTACAAATGTAGGTACTAGCTAGAATCTTAGCTACAAATGTAGGTACTAGCTAGAATCTTAGCTACAAATGTAGGTACTAGTTAGAATCTTAGCTACAAATGTAGGTACTAGCTAGAATCTTAGCTACAAATGTAGGTACTAGCTAGGATCTTAGCTCCAAATGTAGGTATTAGCTGGAATCTTAGCTACAAATGTAGGTACTAGCTAGAATCTTAGCTACAAATGTAGGTACTAGCTAGAATCTTAGCTACAAATGTAGGTACTAGCTAGAATCTTAGCTCCAAATGTAGGTATTAGCTGGAATCTTAGCTACAAATGTAGGTACTAGCTAGAATCTTAGCTCCAAATGTAGGTACTAGCTAGAATCTTAGCTACAAATGTAGGTACTAGCTAGAATCTTAGCTAAAAATGTAGGTACTAGTTAGAATCTTAGCTACAAATGTAGGTACTAGCTAGAATCTTAGCTACAAATGTAGGTACTAGCTAGAATCTTAGCTACAAATGTAGGTACTAGCTAGAATCTTAGCTACAAATGTAGGTACTAGCTAGAATCTTAGCTACAAATGTAGGCACTAGCTAGAATCTTGGCCAGGTTGTGTTTCAAATTGACCGTGTCTTAGATTGGGGGGGGGGGGGGGGAGGTGAGGGTGTATCCTACGGATCACAGCGTCACAGAAGTTAGTTCCCATCTCCTAAAGTCGAGGTTCACCATTTTTAGAGGTCCCTTGGTTTGAAAATATCGATTTAAATGACGAAGCAATGTCTACTTTTGTTATCATATCGATCTACTTATATCGATTAATAATTTGACACTAAAACTGATTAAACGTTGTCTGATGAAATGTTTTTGTTTTGATTGTATTTTCCAAAAAATGTGTCTGAAAAACAACTATTATTTAAATTATTAAAACAGCTACAGTTATTTAGCACACGAAATATTTTTTTGTGCAACTAGCGACAAAATAACGGAAACGTCTGAAAATAGTTTCTCAAGCCTATAGTTTAAAACCATTTTTGAAAATATTCAAGTTTTTTACTATTTCTAATGTAATTTCTACTATTAAATTCTTGTTGAATGTGTGAAAACTATACTTATTATGACTCCTGATTAAAGAGTTAATTAACTTATAAATTAAAGTTGTTTATGTGTATACGTTTTAAAAATGTCAAACTGTCTATCTTCACAGCCCGCAAGGAGAGGTCCAAGGGACATAATTCTGCCAAATCTTGTAAAACATCCAGTTCATGTCAAAATTGAAGAAATCCCACCATATGACACGTCATACCAAGCAAAACAGTACGCTTATTATTATAAGTTGACACAATATAAATAACATAGATAATAATATCTTTATTGAGAACCAGCAAGACATTTTATCAAATGGCATTAAAACTTAATTGATAACCATAACTTTTTAAGCTTAGCATAATGTACTTTTATTTAAAGTCAAACGTAATTGAACTGATTTAGCTTTCTTTGCATGTGGAACTAATTATTCTTACAAAAAAAAAAAAGCCAAACTATTTAGTAACTATTGGATGTTTGCAGACACCATTATTATTTTCAACATTTAATACCTGGTAGCTACAAAAATATTTTTACTTAATTTTCTCAGGACGGCTGCACAAGAACAGTTGACTCACCTGCTGAAGGAGTGGTCAGGTACACACTTTACTCACGCCTTTAATGAGATGTTAATTCATTCAAGCTAAGTTAGAGGTTGCCAGTGTTGTATTTCACAGTTGAATTTATTTGAACATTTAAACCAACACACACTTAACCACACGCAAGACAACTTTATTTTGATAGAGTTCACATTGTTTTTACATACACGTGATAAATTGGTCAGTATTTAATTTCTTTTTAATGATTGGTCAGTATTTACTTTCTTTTTGAATGATTGGTTAGTATTTACTTTCTTTTTAATGATTGGTCAGTGTTTATTTTCTTTTTAATTATTGGTCAGTATTTACTTACTTCATAATGATTGGTCAGTATTTACTTTCTTTTTTAATGATTGGTCAGTATTTACTTTCTTTTTAATGATTGGTCAGTATTTACTTTCTTTTTAATAATTGGTCAGTATTTACTTTCTTTTTAATGATTGGTCAGTATTCACTTTCTATATGGTGATTGGTCAGTATTTACTTTCTATATGGTGATTGGTCAGTATTTACTTTCTTTTAAATGATTGGTCAGTATTTACTTTGTATATGGTGATTGGTCAGTATTTACTTTCTATATGGTGATTGGTCAGTATTTACTTTGTATATGGTGATTAGTCAGTATTTACTTTCTATATGGTGATTGGTCAGTATTTACTTTCTATATGGCGATTGGTCAGTATTTACTTTCTATATGGTGATTGGTCAGTATTTACTTTCTATATGGTGATTGGTCAGTATTTACTTTCTATCACAGTGTACAACAGAGTGGCATTTCCGGTTCCGTCCAGCAGACAGTCCGTGTACAGTGACCTTGACCCCAAGAGACGCGTGTCCAAAGGCTCGCTGCTGAACCTGGCCAAGAGCAGCCTGAGGAGGGCGTCCGGCATCAGCCTGACGTCCAGCGGCAACAGTTCGGACAAGAGGAAGGCAAGCCACGGCCTGCCCAGGAGGTTGGTAGCATGGTGTAGTTGCCGTCTGTAGCATTGCCGTCTGTAGCATGGTTTAGTTTGCCGTCATGGTGTAGTTTGCCGTCTGTAGCATGGTGTAGTTTGCCGTCTGTAGCATGGTGTAGTTTGCCGTGTGTAGCATGGTGTAGTTTGCCGTCTGTGGTTCAGTTTGCCGTCTGTGGTTCAGTTTGCCGTCTGTAGCATGGTGTACTTGCCGTCTGTAGCATTGCCGTGTGTAGCATGGTGTAGTTTGCCGTGTGTAGCATGGTGTAGTTTGCCGTCTGTAGCATTACCGTCTGTAGCATTGCCGTCTGTAGCGTGGTGTAATTTGCCATCTGTAGCATGGTGTAGTTTTCTGTCGGCATTGTGGTTCCGTTTGCCTTCTGTAGCAAAGTTTAGTCTGCAGTGTTTAGCCTGCCGCCATATCATACTTGGTTTGCCTAGAAGATCTGTAGCATTGCATTTTGTTTCAGCTTCGTGTATAAATAAAACTGAACCAGAATTTTAAAATGTTTTTTTATAGTTCATTACGATATAGCCTGAACATGTTCACATTATCTGTACCATGGAAATTTAATACAAGTTAAAGTAAATGTGTTGTGTTGAGTTAAATAACGTATTAGTATTAAACACTATTTTATCTAGCTGAGTAACGGCAAATCACACCTTTTTGCGCTTTTTCAGCCGTAAGAAACGCAACAGATGGAAGGCAATCACTCGCGAGGTGATCGCACACAACAAAGCCGCCATGATGCAACTGCCGGAAGACATGTCTAAATCAGAACTTCGCATCTATGTGTCGTCTACCCCAGGTCAGTCACGTAATGAGGTTGATGGGGGAGTCACACACCAATCCTAGGGCACCTCATGTATAGTTTGCCTCGACCCAATGATTGCAAATGTAGCTCAAAACCAAGTAGTCCTAATTTGTGTGATAAGTTTACTATGATATTCAAGCGATACAATAGTATTTCGTGTTCCTAGATTTGCAGGAAGAACGAGAGTTTCTGGAAGAAGTTGCTTACCCCAGGCTGCGGGAGTTGTGCGAGAAGATGGGACTCAACTGTCACGTGGTTGACATGCGCAATGGGGCAGGGATATTGACCAATGATATTGAAACATTTGACCTAATAGAAAAGGAATTACGCCACTGCCGTACATTATCTATTGGACCTTGTTTCGTAGTATGTGCTGGTTTCTAAACAGTGTTTCTTCCAGGCATGTCTTCGAGGGGGGGGGGGGGAGTGGGGAGAGGCTCCCGAAGACAGTTTACCGCACCCCCGAACGAAATGGAATTTATATAGAAAATGTATACTTTTAACAGTGTCCGCCCCCCCCCCCCCACAAAATTACAAGTTCTCCCCCCCACCCCCCTCCCCTGGAGAAAAATGTCTGGAAGAAACAGTGTTTCTAAATAGATAATAAAAAATAAGTATATATATATATATATATATATATATATATATATATATATATATATATATATATATATATATATATATATATATATATATATATATATATATATATGTGTGTGTGTGTGTGTGTGTGTATATATATAAGAGAGAATTTGTGTTAACCCTATAGAGTCTGGTGGGCCACAGTTTAGATGACCAGACCTTGCCAGGATTTCTCCACAAGCAAGTTTACGAGGAGATCCGTGAGACCCTCATACGTGAGAACATCATTGGGGTCGAGGCTTTGGATGACGTGTACAGACTGGACTCCAACAGGATCCCGCCCGTCTACACCAAACAGGTGAGTCCAACATTTTAGATCTGTGGTACTGGTGGCTAGGTGGTTGTCATGGCGACAATCACCGTATAACACCTGGATGGGTACAAAATTTTAGATCTATGGTACTGGGCGGCTAGGTGGTTGTCATGGCGACAATCACCGTATAACACCTGGATGGGTTCATAAATTTATATCTGTGGTAGCCTACTGGACGGCTAGGTTGTTATCACAGAAACAATCTGTTTAGGTCCAAAAGCTTAGATCTATGGTACTGGCGGCTAGGTGGTTATCACAGTAATAATCACGATATTACGCCTGGGTTCCAAAAAATATTTTCAACTGACCTTTGAACCTTATTTCTTCTTGCCCACGAAGGCGCTTTGTAACTTCCCACCGAAGTTTATTTTGTACACGTCTCCAGCGAATGCGCTTTGTAACTTCCCACCGAAGTTTATTTTGTACACGTCTCCAGCGAATGCGCTTTGTAACTCCCCACCTAAGTTTATTTTGTACACGTCCCCAGCGTATCACATCCCTGGAGGACTATCAAAGTCCTGAGGAAGTGGAGCAGGTCCTACACGAGGCGCTGGTCAAGGCTGTGGAGATCATCAGGAGAGGCAAGTCTAACGAGGACCTACTGCTGGTCGACTTCTACAAGTGGTCAGGTACGCTGGTTATTGCATTCAATTCAGGCATGGGCTGTGGGGGGGGGGGGGGGGGGGGGGGGGGTAGTAGTTTCGTTAACCTTGAGTTTTGTGAAAAGCCTGTTTTTTGCCATTTACTTCAATTTAAGAAAGACCAGATATTTTTTTCTGATTACTTTAAATATTACATTTACTTAGTTACTTAAAGATAAATAATATCAATTACTACAAAAGCTATACGTAAACAAAATCATCTTTTTAAAAAATCATGTTAAATTATATTGCGTATTTCGCGTAAAGTATTCCAAGTAGAGCAAGTGGTTTAATGTCACTCTGATTGCTCCGCAAGGCAGGAAATCGATGTATGAACATACTGTAGTTCTTTTATTTAAGGCGGATTTTACATTTAAGTTAAAAGTAACATCATCATCATCTTTTCCCTTTTATACTCAAGTCACATGCGGCCGCCATGAATATTCTTTCCTTTTTGCCGGTCACTGGCAATTTTCCTGGCAGTCCCCCAAGATAGTCCAGTTTTTGTTAGCTGATTCTCTCTTATGTTCCTCCATATCTCCCTTATTGAACAACATAGTTATGTATAATATAGTCTAGCTCTTTCGATCTCGTCCACAGCCGTGGTGAAAGAACTAGAAGAAGGTTTGTTGACCAACCACAATCCACGCAGTGACACGCTCTGCTTCATGATGGACGCCGACCTGGCCAGGGAGAGCGTGAAGAGGGACGAGGCTCCCATCCTGCGTCTGAGGCACAACGTGTACCAGCACTACAGGCAGTATGCCAGCAAGGACAACCTGGTCAGCTTTAAAACTGGCAAGAAGAATATGACTTACTTGAGGTGATGACTACAACATGATGTGTGTGTTTGGTCTCTATTTCTTTTGTTTGAACTTCTTTACACATTAAGCAGATGAAGTAAAGTTCATGTTTCTTGACCTAGGAATGGAAGGTATGGTCCGTAGTATACCCAGCCGCCTTTATTGAGCCTGTTAAGCTCGTCATGTTGCTCAAACTAAAAGCGGACTCAGTTAAATTATAATACTATAACCATACTCAAATAAAATAATGAGTTTTTTATTTGTTTAAAGAAATACATAACCTAGATGATATTACTACGCTAGTTAACAGTGGTTCTTCACAATCAATTTACTACGATGTTAATGTAGAAAATTATATTTATCTTTTTGGATCTTTGAATAATCAAGCAAAAAACAACAAGACATTTACATAGTATTTGCTTTTATAGCAATGAAGTTGAAAGTCATTTCTAACAATATCTATCAACTTTTCGTCTTTTTCTTTTCCGTAGGTCGATATCGGATACCTTTGTCTCGGGCGTGGCGTCACTGTTGAAGTCTCAGATCAGTCACCGAGACTACGACGTGACCCAGGAGCTGACGGAGGGCTGTGAGATTCTCCAGCATGTGAAGATCGCCCTAAACGTCGCGGAGATGACTCCGGAGCAACAGTCGCTGGTGGGTGAGGTCAAGGCCGTGATGGACGACCCCCAAGCCGGCCCCAGGGTAGTCGTGCTGTGGGGTCAGAATGGGACCGGAAAGACGACAGTGGCGTCCCACATCGCACGGGCCTGCCAGAGCTGGGAGCCGAGACGGAAAGTTTTCTTCCGATGTCTGGGGTCAACCTTGCGATCCTCCAGCTTGGATAGGGTGTTGGAGAGTTTAATCAGGCAAATCAGTTTTTCCTATGGCTTGAATATAGAACTACCAGCCGATCTACGGGTCCAGGAACTGCTGTCCATTTTTCTACAGGCCATCAACACAGCCAGCGCTAAACGCTCTACAGACGGTGACCTACTTATTGTTCTAGATCAGCTGGGTAAACTCGACCTTGACCCACATATTCTGCTGTCAATCCTCAACTCTCTGACCCCCGGGGTAACTCTATTAATAACCTTGACCACACCAAGTCATCTGATTAACGTGCTCAAATCTAAACCCAACGTTACTTTATTGTCAATTCCTTACTGGGTCACCAAGCAGGTCGGCGCCATCTTGACGCTATATTTAGAAGAAGCGAAGCGTGTGCTAACGGTAGACCAGCTTCAGACAGCACTGAGCGCTCTACCAACGGACACGACGCCATTATGCGCGATGACTATTTTTCACATTGTCCGCTGGTGGCCTTCTCACACGCTTCCGGTATTCGGCCCCTTTTCCGGCAACGCCGAAGACGATTTCGACATGTTTCTCCAGCTGTTGGAGGCGGAGCTAGGCAAGGCGTTCACGCGCTACGCCCTGTCGTTCCTGGGCTCCGCCCGCCACGGCCTGTCGGACCAAGAGCTACTACATCTTCTGTCCAAAGACTCGGAGTTGCTGGATGAGATCAAGGAAGAGGAAGACGAGTTTGTCAGTGTGGTGGAAGGCTTCCCCTACCAGCTGCAGTTATCCCGGCTGATGGCCAGACTTGGCAAGTTTATCGTTGACGTCAAGCTGGAAGGGGAGACGATTCACTTAGTTTTATCCAGAGCACTCATCAAAGCCATCTCATCCCGATACGTCAAAGACAGCTTCTTCTATTCTATTCACCAAAAACTTGCCAACTTTTTCCTGTTTATTAGGAGAGGTCTTCTTCTTAGTTCTAGAGATATTTCAGAACAAAAACACAAGCATTTGGCCAAGTACCACTGGCGAACACTCAGATGCGTGCCTTATCATTTGTCCCATAGCTCGCCCAACAAAGCGGAGGTATGGGAAGTGCTAAAAGAGAAAGTCTTTTTCAACTTTTCTTGGCTTGTCAACGAGATTTATTCTGGTTTTTTCAACGATCTTTTAGACGACATCCGGTACTCGCTAGAGACGGTCAGTCTAGACTCGGACATCCTGTACTTCCAGCAGCTCCTGCTGTCCCTGCGTCACACGGTCATCCACAACCCCATCTCATTGGCTGCCGTCTTCTCCAGCCTCAAGGCCGACGACCTGCTCAATGTGAAGGACTCGGTCAGCATCGTGATCCACGAGGCCAGACAGTGGCTCAAGCAGGTCCATCTCCAGGCCCTGGTGCCCGTGTCCTACACCTCGGACAAAATCAACAGACTTTTAATCAAAGAAAACAGCATCTTCGGTGCCAGTGACGTCCACGTTATTCCAGGCACGTCAAAACTTCTGGTTTGCAGAAAGTCGACGCTGACCATTCTCAACTCGGTGACTAAAGAGGAGGTTGTGTTGGCCGCCATGACAGATGACGTAGACTACGTTCACGTGGTTTCTGAAGAGAGCGTCGTTGTTCTATCCTCAAGCGATTCATCATCCAAGCTAGACATCTTAAACCTCCAGACCGGAACAGTAACTAAAAGCATTCCTCTAGGCAAGTCTTCTCTGTCCTGGTTCTACATCAATTCTCCCAGGTTCGCTTACTTCGCCAGCGAGATGGGGGTCAAGTGCGTCGACCTTGATGTGGGTGCCGTCAACACCATCCTCCCCACCAGGCCGACCTGGCTAGCGGCGACTGTATCAGAGAGTAAACCTGACAAGATTATCATTGCTGTAGTCGAGGACAACAAACTCAAAATCGAATCCATTCTAGTGAAGGATATCATGACGCGCAAGTCCGTGTATATAAAGAACGAGTCCCCTAATCGCCACACCAAACCTTTACTCTCCACAAAAGACGGTAAATTTATAATTTACCTCTCCGAAAAACAGGCGACAGTGGTGGACTGTTCGACTTACAAGGTCTCTGACACGTTCTCATTGCGCGCGCTGCCAATCATCAGAGCCGAGCTCTCGAGGAGCCACGAGCACGTGTTTATGTCCCACGTGTCCGGGGAAATCACGTGCCACGTGCTTTACTCAGGGAACCAGGTCATGTCGACCAGGATCACGCCAAAGCCCCAGCCCCAGTTGCTGGTGGAGGCGAGGAGACGCGAGAGGACGTCGTCTAGAAACTCCAGCTCCCGGCAAGTGGACGCACCAGCGGAGACCATCACCACCATGGTGACGTCAGAGGACGACCATTTCCTGCTGTGCGGGACCACGACGGGTCACGTGTACGTCATCCACGTGCCAACCGGGGTGCAGCTGGTGTCCATCACGACCAACCACGTGCAGGTCAGGAAGGTCACATTTCTGACCAATAGCAGCCACTTCCAACACGTCATCACCACCGACGTCACAGGCGTATCGAGACACTGGAATCTAAGACCGTTATTTAAGTAAGTTTTATATAAGCTAATCTCAGAGGCCTTAACTAGTCTATAGTTTAAATCTAAGACCTTTGTTTAAATAAGTTTTACATAAGCTAATCTGGCTGGTCTTAAATGGTCTATGGTTTAAATATGAGACTGTTATTTGTGCATATTTTACTTTACTGTTGTATAAACTTTATGGCAGGGTAGGTCTATTGTTACATCAGGTTAAAATAAATGATAGCATACAGAAAAAGTACAGTTTTGAAAAAGGAACATTATTTTTTAAAAATGTGTAAAAATAAATGTATTTAAAAATGCATAGGCCGTGCGAAATCAAAATGCGAATGAAGTTTTCATCAAAGTAAAACACAATGAATGGGGCGGTACTCTAAGTAGTTGAACCATGCTCGAAAGATATCTAGCAAACCGTTTTGCATATTAATAGCATATTGTCTGCCCGCTGGAGTGTAAAAATATAAATATATATATATATATATATTTATATATGTGTGTGTTCATCAAAATATGTATATCTATACCTACTTGTAGAGGGGTCATCCATAAATGACGTCACGCTTTTTTGGACGATTTTTACCTCCCCCCTCCCCTCCGTCACACGTCGTCACAAAAAGCCAGACCCCCTCCCCTAAAATGACGTCACTCCTCAGCCTACAACCCCCCCCCCCTCAAAATTGCAGTTGAATTTTTTTTTAAACATCGATATTTTACAATTTATTAAAACAGTTTTCTAAAACGCGAAATAACGTCTAAAATTCGTTTTCTAACCTTTCTTTTTTATAATGAAAAAAGTGTGACGTCGCACCATCTGAACCCCCCCTCCCCCTCATCACACATCGTCACAAAATTACCGACCCCCCCTCCCCCTCCGAGTGTGACGTCATTTATGGACGACCCCATATCGATATTTCTATATATAGGTCTACATGTTATATGTATGGTATTCCACACATAGATAGCATAGCAAACACAATAAAAAAAACGTATGCCTTTAATTTAAAAGTCAACTACCTACCGTGTCTTCCCCCCCCCCCCCCATTATCAGACAGGCCCGACAGATCCTCCACCCCTGCATACAAGACGAGGACCTGAGGAGGGAGGAGGAGAGGAAGCTCGAGCTCAACTCTTACTTCTCTATCTACGAGGATAAGAAGTCCAACCGGATCTTTCTTAACGGACCGGACATTGCATCATTTTACAAAACACCTCCGGACAGCTTGTTCGATGACCTTGACAACCTTGACCCCTCGTTCGGAATACAAAATGATTGGGAGGTCACAGGTAAATTATGCAATTAGTTCAGTATTTGAATTAAAACCTAAGTTCTAAATGACAAAGAGAATGTTTGTTGTGTCTTCTTGTTCTTCAACTGGGGCAGATAAAGTAGAGTTAATCTGATTCATAGACATCGGCATATGAAGGGATAGTGTGGTCAGCACTGTGCCCAGCCGCCTTTGTTTGCTCTAACGTGAGTCATTTGCCCATCAGAGCTGGGTGGACTCATGGACGTTCTACTGATTTGAACCTGGATTCGAACTCGAAACTATCGGGTTAACAGTCTAGCTCTCTACCGCCTTCAATGTTTGTTGTGAATGGCATGAATATTTTTTCCGCCACCCTATCCCTCTCCAATTGTCATACAGTATCACAAAAACACAATGAACACATTGACGTAATTAAGTTGCATCAGCATAAATACCCGAACTTTTAACGACAATTAACAGGTTAATATTTATTCCGCCACCCTATCCCTTCCAATTGTCATACAGTATCACAAAAACACAATAAACACATTGACGTAGTTGCATCAGCATGAATACCCGAACTGTTAACGACAATTAACAGGTTAATGAATGGATGAAAGTTTAAAACATAAAAGCTAATTTAATTACCCTTGACCCACACTCTTGTAGAACCAAGATGTTACGTTAATCATGAACGATCTCCGAGAAAAAAATTGGTAACTTGATATCAACGCTTTACACTCTATTGCTATAACGTTCCAACATTCATGTATTAAATATTAATTAAATTAAATAATTAACAGGGTTCCTGGCAGACGTTAGCGACCATTTAATCGCCTTGACCTGTGGGAAAGATCTGGGTGACGTCATCCTGACCGTATCCGAGGACTTCCGGTTGGCGAGGTGGAGTCTGCATGATGGGACTTTGGTGTGGAGCCGGAAGTTGTCGTGCCAAGGGGGAGAAGTGCTGGACCTGACGTCACTCTACTACGACCAGGCCGTTCTTGTGGTGGAGAAATCTAGGGCGGGGAAAGGGCTGGGCGTGTCGGTAAGTTGGGCGTGTCGTTAAGTTGGGCGTGTCGTTAAGTTGGGCGTGTCGGTAAGTTGGGCGTTGGTTGTGTCGGTAAGTTGGGCGTGTCGGTAAGTTGGGCGTGTCGGTAAGTTGGGTGTCTCGGTAAGTTGGGCGTGTCGGTAAGTTGGGCGTGTCGGTAAGTTGGGCGTGTCGGTAAGTTGGGCGTTGGGCGTGTCGGTAAGTTGGGCGTATCGGTAAGTTGGGCGTGTCGGTAAGTTGGGCATGTCGGTAAGTTGGACGTGTCGTTAAGTTGGGCGTGTCGTTAAGTTGGGCGTGTCGGTAAGTTGGGCGTGTCGGTAAGTTGGGCGTGTCGGTAAGTTGGGCGTGTAGGTAAGTTGGGCGTGTCGGTAAGTTGGGCGTGTCGGTAAGTTGGGCGTGTCGGTAAGTTGGGCGTGTAGGTAAGTTGGGCGTGTCGGTAAGTTGGGCGTGTTGGTAAGTTGGGCGTGTCGGTAAGTTGGGCGTTGGGCGTGTAGGTAAGTTGGGCGTGTCGGTAAGTTGGGCGTGTTGGTAAATTGGGCGTGTCGGTAAGTTGTGCGTGTCGGTAAGTTGGGCGTATCGGTAAGTTGGGCGTCTCGGTAAGTTGGGCGTGTTGGTAAATTGGGCGTGTCGGTAAGTAGTGCGTGTCGGTAAGTTGGGCGTATCGGTAAGTTGGGCGTTGGGCGTGTCGGTAAGTTGGGCGTGTCGGTAAGTTGGGCGTGTCGGTAAGTTGGGCGTATCGGTAAGTTGGGCGTGTCGGTAAGTTGGGCGTGTCGGTAAGTTGGGCGTGTCGGTAAGTTGGGCGTGTAGGTAAGTTGGGCGTCTCGGTAAGTTGGGCGTGTCGGTAAGTTGGGCGTGTCGGTAAGTTGGGCGTGTCGGTAAGTTGGGCGTGTCGGTAAGTTGGGCGTGTCGGTAAGTTGGACGTGTCGGTAAGTTGGACGTGTCGGTAAGTTGGGCGTGTCGGTAAGTTGGGCGTGTCGGTAAGATGGGCGTTGGGCGTGTCGGTAAGATGGGCGTGTCGGTAAGTTGGGCGTTGGTTGTGTCGGTAAGTTGGGCGTGTAGGTAAGTTGGGCGTGTCGGTAAGTTGGGCGTGTAGGTAAGTTGGGCGTGTCGGTAAGTTGGGCGTGTCGGTAAGTTGGGCGTGTCGGTAAGTTGGGCGTGTCGGTAAGTTGGGCGTGTCGGTAAGTTGGGCGTGTCGGTAAGTTGGGCGTTGGTTGTGTCGGTAAGTTGGGCGTGTAGGTAAGTTGGGCGTGTCGGTAAGTTGGGCGTGTAGGTAAGTTGGGCGTGTCGGTAAGTTGGGCGTGTCGGTAAGTTGGGCGTGTCGGTAAGTTGGGCGTGTCGGTAAGTTGGGCGTGTTGGTGAGTTGGATGCTGCACTTAGAGGAAGCTGGCAGGGGTGTCTACACTAAGTGGCACTTACGTTGAAACATTAACGGGGTTGTCAAAATTATATTTAGTTAGCTTCTCCACTCCTACAGTTATTTAATGAGTATCTGTATGACGGGAATTAAGCAATCAATAGTGGGAATAACGAAATTTAATATACATAAGACAATTGGTATTGCCAAGCTATGTGAAACTGATTTTAAAATGTCCCTATGTTTATTGTTTTGCCAAGATTAGATGACGGAAAGGTTTATCAGAAGGACTCAATGTTTGTCTTGTAGGTGATCTACACGGGAGAGGGTCAGAACAAAATGTTGTCACGTGACCAGGTGACCAGCTACTGGACTTCTAAAGATAAAACGTGTGTTGCCTTACTCTGTGAGGAGCGGTCTAGCCATGCAGATACTGGTATAACTTCTTAACTCATCTAATTATTTGTAAGGCAGGGGTAGTCAGGGACTTGCATGCCATGCAGATACTGGTATAACATTTTAACTCATCTAATTCTTTGTAAGAAAATCTGGGGAGGCAGGGGTAACTAGGGACTGCACGCTATTAATCCACCTTATTGTAAAGCCAACTGTGGGATGTTGGGTATGTTTTGCCAACCTTAGGGGTAAATTAAGATTGAGCAGAGTACCTTGCATTAAACTGAAACAATGAAAGAGGCTGTTTGGTGGTAAAAACATTAAAACATTAGATACAATACTACTTAATAACTTTGAAAACCATTTTGAATTAGATGGGTACACATTCTGTATGAATTAGATTCAAATTTTGTATGACTTCAGTGGTCTACATTTTTTTTGTTGGATCTAGCATGTTTAAAAAATTTTCTGTATGTAGATTTGACTTGTATTTTTAAATTAATTTTTTTTCATTGAATACGTAACATGTTTTGTACACAATATAAATGTTATCTAGAGCCCAAGTTCTACCACTGGGACCTGATCAAGGTGCGTGAAGACGTCCACGGTCTGTTGGTTACACCCGCGTCTTACAACCAACCAGATAAGACGACCATCTTCAAGATGTCGCCAAGCCTCACCCAAATCGTCTGCTTCTCCTTACCTACAGCCCAGGGAGCCCCGTTGTTGGCTTTGTTTAACTCCAGGTCTGATCTCTCTATTGAAGGGAATCGTCAAGGGCGACAATGGAGGGATGATAACTCGATCAAGGGAGATAATTCTAAAAATAACAGTTTCGTGCTGGGATTGGAAGATGATGTAATCAAAGGAAATAATTCTAAAAATAACAGTTTTGTGTCAGCCAATGAAACGGTAGAAACAAAAACAATCACCGGTATGCAATGGACTCGGGTGATCTCCAGAAACGAAACAAATCAAGACGACGGGCAGACCAAGAAAGTGAGTGTTCATTCTAGGTCTAGCGGAGACGAAATCAAAAGCGAGTTTCAAGCAGTCAAAGAGGAGGACGAACATCTTTTGAAAATGCAGGAGGTCACATCAACAGAGATAACATTGCCGCTACAAGTTACGTCTTTCTGTTACATAGGGGAGGAGAGCGTCCTGCTAGGGACGTCTAGCAGACATTTGCTGCTAATTGACCTGCCCACCTTTAAGCCAATCTGCATCCTTGGCAAAAATGGCCCGCGATTTGTCTCAGATAGTCAGCTGACGTCCGCCATTTTGAAAGACTGCGTCACGGCTCATAACTATCCCATCAGTGACGTCATGGCGTCTGAAGATGGCAACACTCTAGTCAGCTCAGACCGGAAATCGCTGTCTGTGTGGAATGCTAAAAATAGAACACTGTCTATGACCGTTTGGCTTAACATGGATGAAGAGGTTAGTTCTTGCTTGTAAAATTCATTTCATTGTTTTCTGATCTGCATTTAATTTCTCCACATGGAGTGGGCAGAGATGTTGAGGGAGGGGTTATAACGGGCATAGTTTAACGTTAAAGGATAATAGCGCATTCAGTGTTTCTTCCAGACTTTTTTCTCCGGGGGGGGGGGGGGGGGGCGGACACTGGTAAGAATATATGTTTTCTATATCAATTACATTTCAGTGGGGGGGGGGGTGGCGGTAGACTTTCTTCGGAGGGGGGGGGGGCCGAAGAAACTGTGTGCATTGGAAATCCAAGCACAACGACTGGGCGGTAAGATTAGAAGTGCTGTATGTTGCCCATGTATCCAGACCCATATTCTCCACACATGTGATGGACCCAAAGGACAGGACGTTACCTGTACTGCTTGGAATCAACAGTGTCGCATGAACTGTACCAGAGTTGGTAATCCTAACGCCTAAGGGGTTCCACTCGTGTTTTTTTTCCCCTGAGTTTTTTCTCCTAGAAGGGTTGCTGTCCCCATAAGTCTCGTCTAGCTAAACTTGAATGCAGTTTCTTCCAGGCATCTCTTCGGGAACACTGCTTGAATGTCTCATGTGGTTGAAACAGTGTTCGAGACCATCCCATGTTAGATGGGGCCTGTCAGCCAAAGAACGCCACCCATGGAGGGGAGGGAAGCTAGGAAATGTCTACAGGGCTACCGGCAGTTCATGCGACACAGCTGATCAGTGTTTCTTCCAGACTTTTTTCTCCGGGGGGGGGGGGGGCACTTGAACTTTTCGAGGGGGGGGGCGGTAGACTTTCTTCGGGGGGGGGGGCGGACACTGTTAAAAGTATATATTTATTTTCTATATAAATTATATAAATTTCATTTCGTTCGGGTGGGGGGGGGGGGGGCGGTAAAAAAATTTCGGGGGGGGGAGGGAAGTCGCCCCCCCCCCCCCCCCCGAAGAGATGCCTGGAAGAAACTCTGCAGCTGATGCCAAGTTGAATAGGTTACACCTCTCTCTCTCGGGGCAAATCAGCTGAGCCGAGCGATGGACGGTGGGGGGTGGGGGGACGACTGATATATGACCAATATCTTGCTTTTCTCCACTTGCTGTCCAGACTTTGTACCTTAGGTCTCCAAGGGACACATATTTATTTAATCGGGGACAATTTTAACTCCACTGTTCCCCATAAAATCACACCTACACCTATCAGGCCCAATGTATGTAAGCATTTGTTTACCTTTGAAAATGAGAAAAATTATCATCCCCGCTATAAGCTTTTGATAAGATTTCAGTAAACTAAAATTCATGACAGTGAAAAATCACAACATTCTAGGTTGATCAAGTATACCTTCAAGTGTTGAACAATAAAATCAATATTTATTAAAGCTATTTATTTTGACACAGATCTCATTTATGGTGATATCCAAAGATGCTGCCATCATCACAATGGTCATTAACGAGCGAATAATTCGAGTCTGGACACCCATAGAGAAAAGAGAACTGGCCAGTCACATGACCACTTTTGACGTCACAGAACTTCACGTGGCCAGCGACTGCAGGAAGGTGATCGTACGAGGCCGCAGCCCGGAGTGTAAGCCTGTCCTGGAGATTTTTGACATCCGGAACATCGACGACGTCCTCTTGCAGATGGCGGGAAGAAAAATCTCGCAGCAACAGGAGATTGGAGAGAACTTGGCCAGCGAGAGGGTCAAGAAGACAAGTCGGGTCATGCACACGAGAAAAACTTCAGCTTTACAGACGGATGGGAAGTGAACAAAATAATAGGTGTAATTAAAGACACATTTTTTTTTGTAGGGGGGAGGGGGGGGGGGCGTTCTAAAAGAAAATTTCAATCCTACAGACTAAAAGTGAAAACTACCTTCACTTAAAAAAATAAATAAAAGTAAAGTACTTCTTTATAGGGATGGTGTGGTCAGCACTAAGCCCAGCTGGCTTTACTTTCCCTAACATGAGTCAGGTACCTATTAGAGCTGGGTGGACTCAGGGACGTCATACGAATTCAAACCCCGGAATCCAAACTCGAGACTTTCGGGTCAGTAGTCAAATGCTCTACCAACCGCCCACACCATCACTTATTTACACTTACACTTACGAATAATTAACTATTGTAGAGAGAGATGGTAAAAAATTACTAGTAAAAATATCACACTAGGAATGTGACCACTTTAGAGACAGAAGGAAAACTGCTTGTCTAAGCATACAGACCTGCACGATTATTTAAGCATATTGGTATATCTGATATCAGTTTATACATATAAAATATATTCTCTTAAAGTTGAGTTACATAAAATAGTTTTTAAAATATGAAACCTTTAACTTAGAACTATTTTTTTCATTCATTAAAATTTTTTTGGTTGTAACAATATATAACTCCATTTTAACAATATGACTTTATAAAGTATCCCATGATGCCAAAACTGTATTAAAATACGTTAGTTAGAAACAAGTTAAAGGAACATTTTTTATTTTATTTGAATATATTCTTTGTCATGATTATGAATGCATTTTAGTCCTTAAGGTAATAGATTTTTTTATTACAGTATGTTAATCAATAAAATAAACACAATTTTTAGGGGCTATATAAAGCTTTGTTCTTTAATAAATTAAGTCTTTAATTATCAAGCACTTCTGAATACTGTTAAATTAATTTTACATTTAAAATTATAAATTTAAAAAAAAAAAATCATAACTAATACAAAATGTAATAAATTTACTTTAATTTTTCTTTAAAATCACATATGTATATGTAAAAATACAAATTTGTGCTCCACATCTTAAATCTTTAGATGTTAACAATTAACATTTATTTTAATTGCATATTTACAAGAATGTTTCATTTTAATTAAAAACATGTTAAATTCATCAACATTAACATAGCTTACACATTTAAAAAATGACTATCAAATAAAATGAATCTCTTTTGTTTGTATTTCATTGAAAATGTTCATGTGAGTTGAGTACTTTTGATTATAATGTTTGAATTAATAATGTGTAAAATATATATAAAAATTATCATCTTTCACCTAATAAAATTCAATGTAAATTATACAAGTTTTAAAGTGTGCTGAGTCAATAAAAAATTTTCAAGTAGCTTAGTGTGATTAAAATGAAAAGAATGGAAGTTTAAGAAATATTGGCCTTTTTTAGAATTCACAAATAAAAAGATCATACATGGCATATTTACAAAAATAATATGAAAATGTAATTAGGTTTATAGCAACCCATCAATTATAATTGACTATTTCATAACTGAATAATTTACAAGCTTAAGTAAAATTCTGACACTTGTAACATAAACATGATATATTGGAATGTGTTTCATAAGTTCCACAAAACATTTTCTTTTGATTGACAACAGGACTTAGTAACGATCACACAAGATCTGTTTACAAATTTAATAAAAATCGCTTTGAAAGTTTAAGTTCTTTGGGTAGTAGATGTTCAAAATCACTCCCCTCCCCCTTAAGTCTACATATGAATAATACAGCCATTTCCCTTTATGTAAAGAGTATTAAGAGTAAAATACTAAACCGTTGGGATCTACAAAACCAGATCAGTTAAGATGTTATACTGCAGTTATTCTGCTAAGGAAGTCTGCCAACACATTTTCAGTGCCAGCAATAGGTTGGATGGTAAACTGATACTTCTGCAGTGTCATGGCCCAGTAGCGTAGCGAGGTCGGTTGTCACCCGGTGCGGCACTTATGGTGTCACCCCCCAGGGCGTAGCGACTCTTCCCGGGGATAAATTTGCATCCCCCCCTGAAATTTTTCTCTGTATATTTTACTATTTTTTCCCCTAGGTGTCACCCCCCCTAAGTGGTGTCACCCGGTGCGGTCCGCACCCCCCCCCCCCGCCCCGCCCCCCCCCCCTGCTACGCCTCTGTCATGGCCCATCTAGCTAATCTGCTGTTGACAGGTTTTGAGAACTGAAGGACTGTAAGCTGTTTGTGATCTTCTAATACTGTATGCATGCACTGAGCGAAAGTGGAAGGTGCGTTGCATAACCCGAATGGCATAAAAACTGATATAGTTCCCAGTTTGTTTGAAATCAATTGGTATTTGCCAGTATCCTTTGACAAGATCGTTTTTTGAAAAAAGGCAGCATTAGAAAGTTGGGTAAACAATTTTTCCTGATTCGGAATCGGTTCAGCATCCGTTACCGTTATCGGGTTAATTTGTCTGTAGTCTATACAAAATCTGTTAGACCCGTCTTTCTTTCGAACCAGGACCACCGGTGATGCGTATGGAGAGTTAGATTTTTCTATGATCCCTGCCTGCTTCATTTTCCTCACTTCCTCTAGAATAACTTGTTTCGTTGAGAACAGGGTGGGGTATGGTTTTTGGAAAATAGGTTTGCTAGAAGTGAGTTGTATATTGTGGGAGAAGAGATCTGTTTTCCCTGTCTTGCTGGTTATGACTGTTGGTACATCCCTGTTAACATCTAGTTAGCTAGCCTCTTCTTTCAACACGTCCCTGTACCACAGTTAGCTAGCCTCTTCTTTCAACACGTCCCTGTACCACAGTTAGCTAGCCTCTTCTTTCAACACGTCCCTGTACCACAGTTAGCTAGCCTCTTCTTTCAACACATCCCTATACCACAGCCTATGGTAGCCTCTTCTTTCAACACATCCCTGAACCACAGTTAGCTAGCCTCTTCTTTCAACACATCCCTGTACCACAGTTAGCTAGCCTCTTCTTTCAACACATCCCTGTACCACAGTTAGCTAGCCTCTTCTTTCAACACATCTCTGTACCCCAGTTAGCTAGCCTCTTCTTTCAACACATCCCTGTACCACAGTTAGCTAGCCTCTTCTTTCAACACATCCCTGTACCACAGTTAGCTAGCCTCTTCTTTCAACACATCCCTGTACCACAGTTAGCTAGCCTCTTCTTTCAACACATCCCTGAACCACAGTTAGCTAGCCTCTTCTTTCAACACGTCCCTGTACCACAGTTAGCTAGCCTCTTCTTTCAACACATCCCTGTACCACAGTTAGCTAGCCTCTTCTTTCAACACATCCCTGTACCACAGTTAGCTAGCCTCTTCTTTCAACACATCCCTGTACCCCAGTTAGCTAGCCTCTTCTTTCAACACATCCCTGTACCACAGTTAGCTAGCCTCTTCTTTCAACACATCCCTGTACCACAGCCTCTCACAGATCTAGTTAGCTAGCCTCTTCTTTCAACACATCCCTGTACCACAGCCTTCCACACATCTAGTTAGCTAGCCTCTTCTTTCAACACATCCCTGTACCACAACCTCTCACACATCTAGTTAGCTAGCCTCTTCTTTCAACACATTCCTGTACCACAGTTAGCTAGCCTCTTCTTTCAACACATTCCTGTACCACAGTTAGCTAGCCTCTTCTTTCAACACATTCCTGTACCACAGTTAGCTAGCCTCTTCTTTCAACACATTCCTGTACCACAGTTAGGTAGCCTCTTCTTTCATCACATTCCTGTACCACAGTTAGCTAGCCTCTTCTTTCAACACATTTCTGTACCACAGTTAGCTAGCCTCTTCTTTCAACACATTCCTGTACCACAGTTAGGTAGCCTCTTCTTTCATCACATTCCTGTACCACAGTCTCTGGTAGCCTCTTCTTTCAACACATCCCTGTACCACAGTCTCTCACACATCTAGTTAGCTAGCCTCTTCTTTCAACACATCCCTGTACCACAGTTAGCTAGCCTCTTCTTTCAACACATTCCTGTACCACAGTTAGGTAGCCTCTTCTTTCATCACATTCCTGTACCACAGTCTCTGGTAGCCTCTTCTTTCAACACATCCCTGTACCACAGTCTCTCACACATCTAGTTAGCTAGCCTCTTCTTTCAACACATCCCTGTACCACAGTTAGCTAGCCTCTTCTTTCAACACGTCCCTGTACCACAGTTAGCTAGCCTCTTCTTTCAACACATCCCTGTACCACAGTTAGCTAGCCTCTTCTTTCAACACGTCCCTGTACCACAGTTAGCTAGCCTCTTCTTTCAACACATCCCTGTACCACAGTTAGCTAGCCTCTTCTTTCAACACGTCCCTGTACCACAGTTAGCTAGCCTCTTCTTTCAACACGTCCCTGTACCACAGCCTCTCACAGACACAATTTAAAACAGGGATGATGTCAGTCAGTCCTGATGTGGACTCCTGCGATGGGTTGTTGCTGATCTTTAGAACCGGCATCTGCCACCTGGATTCAAACTCTCGCAGTTCTCGTTGGCTTACTTCACTGTGTGCATACTGGTCAAATATGAACAGCGTTAAGGGAAGATTTATAAAAATGTTATCTTATAATCAATAGGCCTTTATATTTTTAATATGTTGAATTTAGATTGTACCAACTGAAACAAAACAATTAAAGGTGATAGCATTGGTCATAGGATGTCAAATTAAAGTAAATGTAAATAGTAAATTAAATTCTCACATAACAACACACCAATTTTAAAACATTTTAAAATCAAAAGTTGATTTTTATGCAACATAGTAACCCAGCAAACAATACACAAATTATAAAAAAATAGGTTTAATGCATTTATTTAGTAATAGCAATATTCAGTTCATAAACATTTTGTTAAAGGATACTTAGTACCAATGACAATTTTTGCCAATTTGTCATTGAGATCTGTCAGTCGAGAAATCAAGTGAGGAATTTCTTCCCAACTGCCTTTGTCAACAAATGAAAACAAAAATAGAATGCCATCAACATCACTCTTGCATGCCTAGAAATTAAACAACAATTAAAAATAAAAAACTATGTCACAGTTGCCATAATGTTTTTATGATTTAAATTCTTTTACAATTATTTGTTTAATTTAATTTTTAAAAGGCTGATGTTATTATGGTAACAAAAAACAAGGAAACTTACAGATAAAATGTGATCAAATTGGAAACTTACAGGTAAAATGTGATCAAATAGGAAACTTACAGGTAAAATGTGATCAAATTTTTTGACAGCCAGCTCTCCTGTATCCCACAGTGCCAAATTCATCAGAACAATTTTGTTAAGGTGAGCAATTTTCACTGGCCAGTACATCCTTGTCACCTGTATACCTGGTTGATTCGCAAGTGTTGGGGCAGAAATTTAGAACAGTGATGTGCATACCACAAAACTCCAAAATAAAAAGACCAAAAGGTAGACTAGGCTCTAGTAGATTGAAGATGTGGAGACAGACCTACAACAGCTGGGAGTCAGGACATGAAATAGGAAGACAGTAGACAAGTCTGAGTGGAAGAAGGTGGTGTAGCAGGACAAAGCACTACATGTGCTGTAGAGCCACAGGAAAGGAATAGATGGATTGCGATGTAAAACATTTGAATTAGTATTATTTAAGTTGAAAATTTCATCTTGGTAACAGAAGTGATAAAATATAACCAATTGTTATACACATATTTAAAAATAAATAAAAATTTGAATTAGTATTATTTAAGATGAAAATTTCATCTTGGTAACAGAAGTGATAAAATATAACCAATTGTTATACACATATTTAAAAATAAATAAAAATTTGAATTAGTATTATTTAAGATGAAAATTTCATCTTGGTAACAGAAGCGATAAAATATAACCAATTGTTATACATTTATTTAAAAATAAATGTACCAAATTTGGAGTAGAAATGGTCATAGTTAGTTTAAAATAAATTCACGTTAGGGGTTAGGATTTAGCTTTCAATAATAAATTGTATAGGTTTATATTACCGGCTGTCTCACAGTGTACACTGGGTATGGGGTGGCCAGATAACTTGGCTATTGTGCTAGTCTTCCCAACACTGCTCTTCCCAACAACAACAAGCTTGTAGCTAGCATCTTCAACTGAAGAACTTGAAGGAAATGCTGGGCGTTCCAGTAACCCTGTTGAAATTTATCTACAGTACTCAGAAACGACAAACCTTTTAAAATATAATTATTAAATTATAAATTGTTACAATTTTTTATTACAGGCTGTTGAGAATAATTATTTGAAATAAATGGTTTACCATATGGTTTTAGGTGAAGGCCATTGACGGAAGAGAGGGATCGGAGAATTTCTGAACCTTCAGTTGTTTGTAGCCAGTCCTCTATCAGCAGACGAGAAGGTTTGAACATTTTTCTTTAACCTAAATAAAAAAAACCAGGAGTTTTTGAGTGGGTGTAGTGTATATGTATTGTTAAGCCTAGGTATTGTTTTTAGTTATTCAAGAGTTCAAGTCAGACCTACAATTTTGTAATGTACTGCTTCATTATTTTTAAATATTTAAAACATGTTTTTTTGGTAAGGCTTACTTTTTAGGCCCATATACATATATTATAATATAAAGGCTAATTAAATATAACTATAGTCTATAGTAGGCCTATATAGTACTATATACTTATAAATTTTATATAGGCCCTACAATCTATAGGCTTACAATCTATCATTATAATTATAATTACTAAATTAGATCTACAAGTAGGTTTATAATTGAAGCATAATACTATTAATACCACACATCCATTTTAATAATGTTTGTGAATAACTAATAGAATCATTACATAGAGTGAGTGCTTCTGTAAGTACTAGATCTAGTAAGTTTACTATAATAATTTAGGCTAAAAGTGATCAATATTATGGAGAAATCAATTTGAAATAGTTACTGGAATTAAATAAGCTTACTGTAGGCCTACTAATTTAATTACATTATTAATTAATAATTATATAATTACACAATAATTAGGCATATAGGCCTAGGCCTAATTATATTTATTTGGCCTAGCCTATATTATTATATTATATTTAACAATAATATTATAATATTAATAGGAAATACTAGGAAAATAGTTACTTTATTAATTTAATAGTTTAATTAGGCCTAATAGTATTTAATACTGAATCTAGTCTAGATCTAGATAATCTAGAAAAATAGCTTACTTACAATTTACATGCTTAGTACAAGTTAGTAGGCCTAGCCTAGTTAGTTCTAGTTACTCTAGTACTTAGCCCTATATTGAATTATATATTGACTTAAAGTTAAAAGTTATAACACAACAGTTGTAGTCTGCCTACTCCTACGGACCTACAGAACTGAAACTGCAGGTACAGTACAACTTGACTTAGACGAGACTCTTGTCTTAGAGTCAGTGAAGTTCAGTATGGAGTATGACCGTCCTGTAACTTATTAACTAGTTAATTAAGTTGATTCTAATAGATCCATCCCCCCCCCCTCGACTTTACTTACTGAGTATTTATTTGATATCATAATCAAAATGCTATCGTTGTTACCAACAAGAGCATAAGTTTAGACTTAATTTTGACTCAAAATTTAGAGAGCAGTCTCAGTCACTGTTTTTTTTTAAACACAAACATTCGATAAAGGTGGGTAAGAATGAAAAATAAATATTTTAATTACCACTACAGTTGCGTCCCATGAACCTTGTTCGCGCATAGTCCAATGCAACTTCGGTGTAATATTTAAGATCACATAGATCTAGAATTTAATTATGCATAAAATAAAAAGACTTTTGGCAGATTTTACTAATCAGTTCATTGGCAAAACACATGTCAGACCGCACCCCCAACTTGAAGGACACTACACGATTCGCGCAATTACAATTCACACTTTTCGTTTCGTCCAATTAGTGGACAATAATTTTTCTCAAAAGTCATGCGATTTGGTTTTCTTTATACTAAAACCTAAATAATGCGTAACAAGCTTTTATTAGCATACTGAAAAAAAAAGTCTTAGTGTCCTGACCCTCTAGTCAAGTTTGAAATAAATCTGCTGGGTACATGTAGTTGAAATTTTGCTCTCAAAAGACAAGAGGGCAAAAAAATTGAACGAAGGATCAAGTTAAATTCAAGTTTATAAAACAAAAACTTAAAAATCGAATTTCACAAATCGTCACAAACATCCGATCCGACTCCTGGATGCGTGAACAGTTAAACGTATGTGATGTTAAAAGAGGGTAGGATAATGTATGCTATTTAGGCGCCTGTTTACTGTTTAATTGGAATTCACAGTTTATAAATATATAGTCCTAATCAACTCTGTTATTAAATGTCATTAAATCCAGTCTGGGGCTGTGTAACTAATTGCACACTAAATGTCGAACCGCGGTTGTCTACAGTCATTCAGCACTTTTATAAAACGCCAATGTTTTTAAAATCCCACAAATAGTCCATGTTTATGTGGTGACGTCTGTGCACTAATCTACTTGATCATGTTTTATATTCACAGATTCAATTGTTTTTTCCATGTAATATTTGTAATCAGATGTTTTATATGCACGGCCGATGATCAGAATAAAGAAGGTACACACTAATTTAAAACATGTTTTTAATTGGTGCAGTTGTATTATTTAGATCTAGGTCAGGTTCTAAAAGCCTTTTAATAAAGTATTTTAAAGTAAATGGACTCTGGTCCAAAACTTAAATTATTAAAACGATGCTGGTTATATCTTTAATATTAAAATCTTAGAAAATGCCATTATAATATCAGTGTTTCTACCAGGCATCTCTTCGGGGGGGGGGGGGGGGGGGGGGAGGGGAGAGAGAAAGTCTACCGCCCCCACCCCCCGTACGAAATAGAATTTATAAATATATACTTTGAACAGTGTCTGACCCCCCCCCCCCTGGAAATTTAGTGTCCGCTTCCCCCCAGTGTTTCTTCCAGACTTTTTTCTCCGGGGGGGGGGGGGGGGGGGGCACTTGAAGTTTTCGGGGGGGGGGGGGGGCGGTAGACTGTTAAAAGTATATATTTTCTATATAAATTATATAAATTTCATTTCGTTCGGGGGGGGGGGCGGTAAAAAAAATTCTTTCAGAGTACCACGTAAAATAGTTATCAACCTCCTATGCTTAGTTTATCAAACATAAGTCGTTCTAGCCCTTTAGCTACTGAGGTTACTCATATATATATATATATATATATATATATATATATATATATATATATATATATATATATATATATATAGTTCCACCCCTAAGTACACAAATAAACAATAAGAAAAGAACATTGTATATAAATTATCATTAAGCGTACAGATTTGCACACTATAACTTTTGCTAGGCCTACCTTCCCCCACAAATTTTGAGCAAAGCTCCTAGCCACCCTTAAATCTGCCAGTCAAAGAACTTCTTCTTCTTCTTCTTATGCGGAAACCGGCTCAGAAGGGGGACTTCCATTAGCCAGGCAGGCCTCAATGTAGTAAGCCCCGGCCCCCGTTAAAGGGCCAGGGCTCCCCACACATTGGTCGCTAAAACCGCGGTTTTCTCACCAGGCTTTTCTTCCCCTCCCACCAGACGCAGGACGTCGTCCCACCGCCTGGTACCCGGCTTGATCGTGGGGGGCATCTCATCAGATCGAAAAACCTCTAGCGGCTGTTATCTGCCCCCGGCCGTCCCGCATCCACTTAACGTGGGTTTGGTCGGACCAACGACATTATTCCGAAACCTCGTCAGGCCGCCGCTTCAAGTCAAAAGCGATATCTGACTCTTTTTGTTCCCGACTGTCTTGCACCTCTCCTCCCCCACGCTGTTCTGTGGGGGACTTGGGAGACCGACGTGTCAGGCTCTTCAGAAAAAGCTGGAACCTGGACGCACACAACAGTTCCACCGACCAGAGCGAAAATCCTCTAGCTGCTGTTCACTCCACCAGCCATCCCGCTTCCTCTGTGGGACGGCCCCCCAGCCACCCCCCGAGGATTTGGTCCGACTGGCAGAGTTCGTCCGAAGCCGTGTGAGGGCCGCAGCTTTAAGTTAAACCGTCTGGTTAGGATCGCGAACAGACCCTTTTTAATTCCTAGCAGTCATGCATCTCTCCACCACCTCGCTATTTGGGACGATAACGGAGATTCACCTGTCCAATGCGGGCAGATCTCCTGGTCCCAATATGGGGGTTTTGGGAGTCCGACATACCAGGCTCTTCGGACCGGCATCCAAGCATCAACCAGGGGACGCTGGCTGACACGGATGCACAGACTAAAACCCCTAGCTGCCGTTCGCTACCCGGGTAGGGCACCCGTCCGTGGCCACGAGGAGACCGCAGCATTAGGTCAACATGTCTGCCATGGGGACGTCGGCCCCTTTCGTTCCCAGTTCCTGTTCACCCACACACTCCCAAAGCCCAAAAGCCTGGCTGCAGGGATCCGAGGACACCGGGCGGCACGGACAGTCAAAGAACTATGACCCCCCCCCCCCACCCCCTATACTTACAGTGGAGGAGCAGCTGATGAACTTGATGAGATCGCAGCTGACCGCCGTAATGCCAGAGGACAGGAACTCGTTCATTGACCTCTGTATCGTCAAGCACGAGGAGTGCTCCGAGGACCAGTTTAACGGCAGACGAACTATTTTTACCTGGCGACCTGGGCTGGTCCAGTCAGCTAAAGTAATTTTTTTTTTTTTTTTTTTGTGTAAGCGCAACTAAAAATTTTCGGTAAAAGCTGATTAATAGCTTGCAATGTTAACAGTTTGTTTACTGATGTTCTGTTATTTCTCTTATACTACTTGACTGATGAATGCGATGCAAAAAAATAAATTTATGTATTTCATCATATTTTTTTTTGGGGGGGGGCTAATTTAATTTAAATATCAAGCTTTTTATTTGGTCCAATTTGTATTTCAAATTAAAAAACGACTAAAATTTGCTTAGCTGAATTTTTATTCCAAGACTTTTATTTGGTAGTGATTAAATTGTTTTGATGTAAAATTGTATACGTATAATTTGGTACAAAAAAGCTTCAAATTTTTTTCTCCACATTTTAGGATCGATTCTGGAGAACTTACAGTTGTGTTTTTCACCAAAAATTAAACCAGTGTCCAAGTAAGACATGTGTCTGCTGTTAATTATAGGGAAGAAATATGTTTGCTGTTTATTGTATGAAGAAAGATATCTGCTGTTAACTGTAGGAAGAAATATGTCTGCTGTTAATTATAGGGAAGAAATATGTCTGTTTTTAATTGTAGGAAGAAATATGTCTGCTGTTAACTTTAGGAAGAAATATTTCTGTTTATTGTAGAAAGAAAAATGTCTGATGTTAATTTGTAGAAACAAATATGGATGCTGTGAACAGTTGTAAAAATTATATTTTGCACAGATACATCTATTGTTAGCTTGATAATAAATAAAAAGAGTAATTGGAAATGGTGTAAAGTGCATAGCAAGTACAGATTAGAATGTAAGCATTACACAATATACAAGCTATGTGATGGATGTTCTGTGATGTGGTCAACAGTTGATGGTGGGTGGACCGAGTGGACGGGGTGGTCAGTGTGTAAGGCTGATTGTGAGGACAAGGGCACTCAGCTCAGGACACGCGCGTGTGAAAACCCCAAACCTGCTTTTGGCGGGAATTCTTGTGACGGATTCAAACTTCAGAACAGGACCTGCGTTGGTCTGTGTAAAACAAGTAAGTTGAATGTTGGTCTGTGTAAGGTGAACGTTGGTCTATGTAAGCTGAATTTTGGTCTATGTAAAGTGAACGTTGGTCTATGTAAGGTGAACGTTGGTCTATGACAAATGTAAGCTGAACGTTGGTCTAAGTAAGGTGAACGTTGGTCTAAGTAAGGTGAACGTTGGTCTAAGTAAGGTGAACGTTGGTCTAAGTAAGGTGAACGTTGGTCTAAGTAAGGTGAACGTTGGTCTAAGTAAGGTGAACGTTGGTCTAAGTAAGGTGAACGTTGGTCTATATAAGCTGAACGTTGGTCTATGTAAGCTGAACGTTGGTCTATGTAAGGTGATGTAAGGTGAACGTTGGTCTGTGTAAGCTGAACGTTGGTCTATGTAAGGTGAACGTTAGTCTATGTAAGGAACGCTGGTCTATGTAAGGTGAATGTTGATCTATGTAAGGTGAACGTTGATCTATGTAGAACAAATAAGGCTTGGAATACAATTTATTTTGCCTCGCATTTAGGCTTTCTATAACCAACCGAATAAATTATCAAAAAAAATACATTCTACTGAGCCGTGCTATAATTTCTCGCTAGAATCTGATGGTCAGTTAGAGGCCGAGGAGTACATCACACAAATTCATGACGTGTTCCCGGACCTCCGCGGCATATGTTTTGATAAACATTGCATCTACGATGAAGTTTCTAAGATGATCAAAGATAAAAACAAAGTTGTAAGTCCAACAAAAATATAGACCTATATATTTACTTAAGATTAAAAGTAGAGACTTTTTTTTTCATAACAAAACGTCTTATTTGAATTCGAATTCTTTTTTATCATAGTAATTGTCTTTTAGCTTTGGCATACTGATCAGTTTTATTGTTCAGTAGTTTCAGTCATATACTTAAAGATCTACGAGTAGCTCTACAATCAGTTCTTGGCAGTTAAAAACTATTATTAATGTAGAACACGACCATAGACGAATGTTGCTGTTTTTTTGTAGGCTACTTAATGACTCGAAATCGTATTGTATTTCTAGGACAGGTACTGGTCAAGTATTAGCTGTGTCAAATATGGTGGGGCGTGTCCAGTCAACGGGGGGTGGAGCCCGTGGGGGGAGTGGCTGGAGTGTTCGGTGCAGTGTGGCAACGGGGAGAGAATTCGCATGCGGAAGTGCGACAACCCGTCGACAAAAAACGGCGGGATTCACTGCCAGGGTGACTGGTATGAGAAGACTCAATGTGTGGCCAGATTTTGTCGTAAGTTCATGTCATACAAAAATATTTGATGGATTTTTTTAATTATTTATGTTTTAAAACTTTGTATTAACTACGAATACGAAATGAAATAAGAACAATGTTTGTCAGTTGCCTAATAGATCGGATGAGGGCCCATGGACATAAAAAGACTGGGGACCCTACCACAGGGATGTACGAAGGTTTTTATAGAGAAAGGGGGGTGGGGGGTTGTCCAGATAAAGCGCATAGCCGTTTTTCGCTTCGACGTAAAAGAAATAAAAGTTCATTTTGAACTACATAATTACATAATGTAATGGAACACAAAATGTAGCACAAAATAACACATCACACACAACAAATATAAAACACAACAAATACTCGTCACAAAAAAATCACATCCGATTTTTAAACTCAAGAGGTCCCTGTACCTGGGGGACCGTGGACTAAAGTCCACCTTGGTTACATGGTTGTTACGTCACTGATGTTGGGGACGGGTTGGGTCCCTTCAGCATTGGTTCGTCTTTTAGCTACTTATTACCCAAATAAGTCATCATTTTTGCCCATAAGGAAATTTCGAAATAATTTTACAGAATTTTAAAGATAAAACACTATGTATTATTCTCTCCTACTAGTATTAAGCACTTATAACCAAATTAGATTCTGTTATCATAAATACGCTGGCTTAATTTTACACCAATCACAAGATATATAACAGCTTTTATTGATAATTACAGATCCTGACCCCGGACTCTCTGATTGGTCAGAATACTCGCCGTGTTCTGAGACGTGTGGCAAGTTCGGCATCAAAAGCTCCACCAGATATTGTCTGGAACAAAAGTTGTGTACGGTTGGAAACTCCGAGGTCAGCTCGGTCGTCCGGAGCGTGCCCTGCTACGGCGGGGAGTGTCCAGGTACACACAACACAGCAGCTCTTGGAGTTCAGTGTTTCTTCCAGACTTTTTTCTCCGGAGGGGGGGGGGAGGGTACTAGAAATTTTCGGGGGGGGGGGGGGACGGACTAAAATTTTAGGGTGGGGGGCGGGTGGACACTGTCAAAAGTATATATTTTCTATATAAATTCCATTTCGTTCGGGGGGATGCCTGGAAGAGATGCCTGGAAGAAACACTGAATAAGTTATATGGTGCTAGACTCTAAGGCAGTGGTTCTTAACCTTTTTGAAGGTACCAAACCCCACCAGTTTCATATGCGCATTCAAAGAACACTTTTCAAGACATGTGACGAAGCTTATTTTTCGTACATTAATTGGACAAACATTAGGACAAAGCTAACGATCGTTTGAATATTTTTTTACGTTAGGGGTGTGGGTGGGTGTGGAACTTTGTGGCGTCATGTTACTGGGGATCAGGGCTTATTCGGACAATATAGTGGGGGAGGGTAAAACATCTGTTAAACTTGCCGTTTTATAAACGACCATTAATCCACTGAGAAAATAAATAGACGTATTTCCGATTTTACACAAATCAAGTTGTGTTGATTGCAGGCAGAGCCGGCGTTAGGGGTACGCGGGGCCTATGGCCAACCATCCGCGCGGGGCCTTATATTTTTTCATTGGTGTATAATTAAATAAAACTGTACAGTGAGGCGTTTTTTTTCTTCTCAACGCGAATTAATATTTATAACGATATATATGGTATTTTAAGCTGTTTATCGATGTCGTATTAACATTAAGACACTGATTAACAAATAATTTGTTTACTTAGAAGTGCTTTTGAAACGTCGCTTGTTTCTGTTAAGGCTTTTTGTTTGAAAAGCAAAAAATAAAACAGATATAAGTTTTAGACACGCATTAAAGAGATGATGAACGTCAGCTTCAAACCTGATTTTTTTTACATTACTGTTTATTTATAAAAAAAACTTACCAGTACGTTCACAAACGAAGATCTACTTTTCTTGCCTTTCGTGAGGAAAATTCCAAGCGCCTGCTTGTGTTTTATCAAATTCTTCTCTTAAATTGCGTTTCCTCGCTTTTGATGCACCTGATTCATACTTGCGAAATCTATCTCTGTCTCTTGTAGCCATGGTGTAGAGGAAAAATGGTGAAATCACTTTGAAGCCAAACTCTAAAAAAAATCAGTTCTGGTACCACGTTACTGGATCTCTGACCGCAGCCATTCAAGAGAAGGTGCGTGTTTATAGAGCGCCCGCGTATTACATTACAGATTAAGACCGCGTTCTCACAAGAAAAGGTCCGTGTCTATAATTAGAAAGCGAACCATGTGACAGCCAGCTTCATGTTATTTACGAGTTTCGCGATGGCATGCTCGGACTGCCGGTAATTTAGACGTTTTAGAAATCAGGAGAACTTTACCATAAAACAGTCTCGGCCCGATGTATGAAACAGTATAGACTTTATAATTTGTTTAGTGTGCCTACACTATTTTAAACAAGAATCACTATGGCCTTAACTATTATACTGAATATACCTACACAGAGACGTAGCGAGGGGGGTGCGGACCATTTAGGGGGTGACACCAAGGCAAAAAATAGCAAAATATATAGAGAAAAACTTGAGGGGGGTGCAAATCGAAAGTTTGAGGGGGGCGGGGTGCAAATCGAAAACTTAAGGGGGGGGGGGTGCAAATCGAAAGTTTGAGGAGGGGGGTGCAAATCGAAAGTTTGAGGGGGGTGGGTGCAAATCGAAAATTTGAAAGTTTTTTCCCGGGAAGGGTCTCTACGCCTCTGGGGGGGGGGTGAAACCATTAAGTGCCGCACCGGGTGACACCCGACCTCGCTACGCCCCTGTCCCTACAATTACTTAAAATAAACATGTGCCCTTCAAAAATATAAAAATAAATACAAGTATAATGTATTTAAAGATGACCTGACAATATATAAAATAAATATGAACATTATTACTGTATGGGTGCATATCAAACCTATCGTGGTGAACATGCATAACTACACAAAAGATGCCCATACAGTGTATAAATTATGATTTTAGGGATAAATACTCTGGATTTCCGGGGCATGTCCCCATCCGCCCCCCCCCCCTCCTCCTCTGCAAGCCATCATCAGGTCACTGACTGTTTACTACAGGCACCCCCGCCTGCTCACTAAAAAAAAGCGTCTTCAACGGTCCGCAAACAATAGGGTATCTTTTTACGTTTTTCCCGATTTTACCTCCAATGTCAGGTCGGGGGCTAATTCGCGACCGCCATCTCCAGTCACCTCAGGACAATAGCGAGTCGACCGTGCCAGCGATGTGTGACACTAATGTCTTTCTTTAGAATAACGGTCTGTCCCAGTCCATGTAGAGCAGGGGTCTCCAAACTTTTCAGTCTGAGGGCCGCATTAACTATTAAATTTCAGTTCGGGGGCCAGTTTCTTCCAGGCATGTCATGACTTTCTGAGCAAGTTCCTCAGCCAACTCCAACAAACGTTTTTTTTCCGTGGACAAAAAGATCTCCGCGGGCCGGATGAGAGGGCCTCGCGGGCCGCATCCGGCCCGCGGGCCGTAGTTTGGAGACCCCTGATGTAGAGGATAACTCACTAACATCAGCCGTGGCCTCAGTTTTAACATCCAACAATTTCGGCCATGTAGTTGGGTTTTTTTTTTTAAATTTAATTCAGCAAAGATTATTTAAGTTTACAAAAACTAATTCAGGCAACAATGGCGTTGCTGAAGCGCGGGGCCCCTTCAAGCGCGGGGCCTGGTGCGACCGCCCCGTTTGCCACCCCCTAACGCCGGCTCTGATTGCAGGGGGGGGGGGAGTAAAAGTAAAGCTCCCTTTTCGAATATGATGCCCCATGGGGCAAGTGAAGTAGAGTTCACCTGTTTCTATGAACTCGGCATACGAATGGATAGTGTAGTCAGCACTTTGCCCAGCCGCCTTTACTTTCCCTAAAATGAGTTAGGTACCCATCAGAGCTGGGTGGACTAGGGACGTTCTACTGACTTGAACCCGGATTCGAACGCGAGACTTTCGGTATAGCAGTCTAGCGCTCTATCGATAAGCCACGCTGTCTCATGAATGGGGGGGGGGAGGTGGTGGAGGTAATTGGTGGAGGGTCATCGTAATGAGTGTTTAACTGAAGACAACTGTTTACAACTGAGCAGCAAAGGGCGGCTGGAGCAAATGGCTGGAGTGGACGGACTGCTCGGCCAACTGCGGGCTGGGCCGTAAGGTCAGGAGACGAGAGTGTAACTCCCCCTACCCCAACGGCGGAGAGGACTGCATGGGTCCCAGGCTCCAGTCTGTCACGTGTGATGGCAGCTTGTGCATCCAACTTCCAGAAGGTACAAGTCTCGTCTGTTGGTTTTTATGTAGGGAATCATAGTGTGTCTTACTTTTCCAGCCACATCAAGCCAACAGATATAAGTCTCGTCTTGTTGGTATTGATGTAGGGAATCATAGTGTGCCTCACTATCCTAGCTACATCAAGCCAACAGATACAAGTCTCGTCTTGTTGGTTTTTATCTAGGCAATCATGGTGTGTCTCACTTTCCTAGCTACATCAAGCCAACAGATGCATGTCTCGCTTTGTTGGTTTTTATCTAGGGAATCATAGTGTGTCTTATGGCTTCACTTTCCTAGCTACATCAAGCCAACAAAATCTCAATGTTCCTAATGGCTTTCCCAACTACACCAAACAAATCAATCATAGAAAACAATCAAATGAGAAAGAAAGAAGTGTCGAAGTAAAATACCCCTTCGAACCTTAAGTTCCTGTTTCAGTGACCACGACATGTGAAGGGATAGTGTGGTCAGTGTTACGGATCATTGTGAGGTCAGATTAGATTTAGAATAGGTTAGACTAGTCTAGAACTAGGGGAGAGTGCGTGTGTGAGTTGAGTTCACCCTACTGTGTAGTAACGCCGGTGTGTTTATGTATTATTATCCCAAGGTCGAATGCGGGTATAAAAACGCGAGTGAACGCGCTTTTACTTTCCCAATGTGGGCCAGGTATCCGCCAGAGCAAGGTAGAATCTATGAAGTCGTGTGAAATCCAGACCGAAATCCGAACTCGAACCTTTGGGTTAGCAGTCGAACGAAAGGTAGCACCTATACAATGTTGTCTACGGAGCGAAGGAATCATGTCAAACTAGCTATCTTGCTCCTCCAACCATTGATGTCTTAATGTTGAGCTTCAGCATTTCTTTCAAAATTAAATTATTTTTTAAAATTGTTTTTGCGTATTTTCTATATTAACTATTTATTAACGGCCAATTAGAAAAAAAATGCTACCATGCCTACCATATAAAATAGTTTCTTTTCAATAAAAAAAATGTTCGTAAGGTAAAGTTTCACTACAACAATAAAGTTAATAGCTAGGGTTAACACAAAGCTTTAGGGACTTTCCATCACTTGTGTTCTAAATATTATTTAGTTACATTTTTTATTGTTTCGTGACTAACATTCCGATTTAAATTTTTATAAGGACTAGAAGGAGCAGATGGAGACGAAACTCTACGCAAACGTCGATCACTGAACGACGACATGGCTGGTGTCCCAAGTTTTGGCTTACCTAGAATCAATATGGCGATGTCCCACGTTAGACAAACTGACTCACAGACGCGGGAGTCGGATTTTATGTACGAAATGTGCAAGAAGTCAGCCGCGGAGGGGACAGTGCAGATTTGGAAAGATTGTTTCCAATTTTCAAACAGTCAGAAAAAAAGATTTGACAACAGATCGAAATCCATCGTACAATACAAGCGCAGCAAAAGAAAAACTGCGATAGCCCAGTCTCCTACTGATCAAAAGAGACTAGCCAATCAGAACTCTGTTAACAAAAATTGGCCACTAGTTGTTTACCAGGATAAATCTAACACGCCGTTCCATAGGTTCAGCAATGAAGCCATGAGCTACTATCTGTCGAGACACCGCAGGCAAGCTGAGGAACCCAAGGATAAAAACGTAAGGACCACTGTACACAACTTTGTGTGCACGAGTGCTCAATGATGTTCTACTGTGTAATAAACTGACCTTGAACTTAGGGTTTCTTTAATCTATTTTTCTCAGGGAACGGGGGGGGGGGGGGGGTAGGTGCACTTAAAATTTCCGGGGCCGGCGGTGGATGGGGCGGACACTAAATAAAAATAAAGTATATATTTTCTAAATTTTATTTTTCTGTTTCTTCCGAGGGAGCCCCCCCCCCCCTTTCCCAAACCATAGAGATGCCTGCATAAAATTCTGCTCGAACTAGCGGTCTAAACATGCGCTTAATTTAAATGATAAATTGAAACTAGATTTGCATAGAATATTATTTTTGTTTGCTTCTAATATAGTAATATTTTTTATTATAATAATTCGAATAGTTGACTTGTGGCGTTCTCTTCTACTCGGTTGTCCCATGTCTTTAAAATGTTTGGGCGTGTGCACCATTGGGCGATTCCATGTCTTTAGTGTTGGGGTTGTACTATACAATGGTTGTATAAATTTGACTTTGAGCACTTCATTTTTTTTTACTACAATTTGTCTTGGAAATAGCAACCACAACACAACTATGTTAATGTTTTCAAAAGATTTTTTTTTTAATTTGGTGGGTGGGGGGGGGGGTGTTGAAGTGTGACGCCGTTTTAGGGGAGGATCTGACATTTTGTAAAAACGGGGGTGGGGGGGTGATAGAGTAAAATATCCCCAAAAAAAAGCTTAACTTTATTAAGGGAAGAACCCCCGTATCTTAATTATTGTCTAAAATAATGAATAAAACTACAGACTATGAAGCTTGTTTGTTTGTTATACACACTTTACTACATGTCCGGCAGGTTACCGGGACGCCGAAGATCCGTTCAACTTCCCCTTTAACCCCGACATGGAGAACCTGTACATCCGGTGGTCCCCGTGGACCCTGTGTACGGCCTCGTGTGGAGGGGGGGACGAGACACAGGAAGCGGCAGTGCAAGGACACAAAGTCCGTGTGTCGAGGGGAGGTGAAAAGTACACAGTTTTGTAATACGGAGCCGTGTGCAGGGTCAGTTAAGTGAAGTAGCGTCAAAGATTCTTTTTTTTTGGGGTACGTTAGTCTTCGGGATCAGTAGCTTCTCATAGTGGATGGCCGGGGTAGGGTCCGCACGTTTGTCATCATTGGGGGGGGGGGGGGGGGGAGACGCAATAATTTCTGTCAAAAAATGTTTTATCCAGTAAGATTAATTAAATAGCGGGGGGGGGGGGGGGGGGAGTTGTGATTAAATTGTTAAATGGGGGTGGGGTGACACCCCCTGTTACCATACAGGGTGATACTCGCCTAAGTGACGCCATTGTTTCGGACATTAAGTCTTTCTTCCTATCCTCGCCCACATTGAAATATTATATTCAGTGTTTGGTTATAATTTTTTAAAATTTCTATTTAAAACTTTTGGGAAAAAAACAACGAACTACAACAAGACAATTGGTGACATGTTCCCGGTATAATCTTACTTAAGTTTTCAAAAGCGCGCAATTTTCACAGTATGTATCATTGCAAATCACTACCTATACAGAGCACACGACTTATAAAATAACAACTTCCGTTTTCAGTTGAAGGCGGGTGGGGGGCGTGGCAGAGCTGGACGCCCTGCAGCGTGACATGTGGGACGGGGCAACTCCGAGAGGTACCGGGCGTGTGACAGCCCGTTACCTGCCTTTGGGGGGAGCTGCGCGGGCTTCAACTCCCCAGTCACAGACAATGCACAAACCCAAAGTGTCCAGGTAAGTCATGAAATCAGATGTATCTCGGGTAACTATTATAGTAAACTCGCATACTATTTCGAGCTTAGAGTAGATTTAATTTATTACTAGAATACCCGTCATCCGTTGGATAACTGTGGGTTTCGGGGGTCATCCATCAAAAAAACATCACGTCTGTCACTCAGAGGCATAGCGAACCCTTCCCGGCGCCCGGGGACCAAAGTTTTCGATTTGAACCCCCCCCCCCCCCCCCCCTCAAACTTTTGATGTGCAACCCCCCCCCCCCACTCAAACTTTCGATTTGAACCCCCCCTCAACCTATCAATTTAATTTTTTCCAAACCATTTTTGGCGCCCCAACATATGCCCCCCCCCCTTCCCCCTCCCCACCCCCCGCCTCCCCTTCCCCCCCCACCACCCCCCGCCTTCCCCCCCCCCACCACCCCCCGCCTCCCCTCCCCTACCGTCCCCCCCCCCCCCCTCCTCGGTACCGCTACTGCAGTGTCACTTATCGTCACAAAAAACAGACCCCACATTCAAATATATGTTTTTTATCTTTTAAAAACACCGAAAACACCGATTTCGGACTATCCCCTTCATAAACTGACGTCACAGGTGACCCTACTCAACTCTACTTCACCTGCCCAGTGTCCTGCCAAGTCTCAGACAACATGTTTTTATCGTTTAAAAAAACAATTCCAGCCGAGCATGTATCTGACCACACTATCCTTTCATATGCTTAGGACAAAGAAACAGATGAACTCTACTTCACCTGCCCTGTATCTTGCCAAGTTCAGATAGGCAACGTTATCATTCACATCTAAAAAAAAAAATTGAAAAAAAAAATTTCATTGACATATTGGTCTAGAACCCGTGGCCTCCCTGCATGAGAGCTGACTACGCTACCATTTTAGCTATTTACTCGTGACGTCACAAGTGAATTTTTATACTATACTATGTGTCTCCTTATGCAACTTGATTTACGCGTATAGATTCTAGATCTAGATCTAAAAATAAGTCTAGTAGTACTAACTTTCAAATTAAATTTTATCTTAAATAAGCCAAACAAAGATTTATATAAAATAATTAAGGCCTGAAATAGATTCTAGATGTAGAATTTACATTGAATCTAGTGACCTACATCTAGGCTAGATTTCCTTCGATAGCTGATCTTTAGATCTAGAGAAATTTATCGTAAAACTAAATGAAAAAGACAGTTGAAAATTGATATAAGTGTTGGAACGTAATAAATACAGCAAACGGACGTATTGTTAAAGTTATGACCGACAGAAAATTAGATTTAGAACGCGTTAAACTTTTGAATGGGAACACAATTTTCTTCAATAGACGCCGCCATTTTATTGTACTAAAGAGTAAACAAAAACCTGTGACGTCACGGTCCCGCCGAGTCTAGTGGCTTTTCAAATATTTTTAAAAAAAATGGGTTATTCTGCATAGGAATAAATCAATAAATTAATTAACGTCTTTAAATAAATTTGTGATCAACAGTCTGTCTGCATTAAAAAATTATTCTCTACCTGCATACCATTTTACAGCTTTCCAGATAGAGTCGAACATATCACAATTTTCGATCAGGCAAACAAATAAATATTCAAACATGTAAACAAAGTTGACTTTTAGTAGTATATAGACTAGAATACCCGTCATCCGTTGGATAACTGTGGGCTTCGGGGGTCATCCATCAAAAAACATCACGTCTGTCACTCAGAGGCATAGCGACCCTTCCCGGCGCCCGGGGACAAACTTTTCGATTTGAACCCCCCCCCCTCAACCTTTCAATTTATTTTTCCAAACCATTTTAGCGCCCCAACATATGTCCCCCCCCCTTCCCCCCCCCCGCCTCCCCTCCCCCCCCCCCCCCCCCCCCGCCTCCCCTCCCCTCCTGCCCCCCTCCTCGCTACGCTACTGCAGTGTCACTTATCGTCACAAAAACAGACCCCACATTCAAAAATATGTTTATCTTTTAAAAACACCGAAAACAACGATTTCGGACTATCCCTTCATATACTGACGTCACAGGTGACCTACTCAACTCTACTTCACCTGCCCAGTGTCCCGCCAAGTCTCAGACAACAAAAACTATTCCAGCCGAGCATGTCTCTGACCACACTATCCCTTAATTTGCTTAGGACAAAGAAACAGATGAACCCTACTTCACCTGCCCTGTGCCCCGCGAGGTCCTGATAGTCAACCTTATCATTCACATATAGGGCTTAAGAAAAAATAATTGAAAACGTAAAAAAAAAAAAAGTTCTATTAATGTTTATGACACTGACTTTAAAATTTAGCCTTCATTCTCCAAAGCAAATTTTAAAATGCTTTTCTGGCATATCTAGCCCTGGCCACCTATACAATGTTTAAATAATGTGAACACCCGCCATTTTGTTCGTGGTAAACATGGCCTAAAAATGATCGGCAGACATGCGTCCGGTCCGTACGCCATATTGTTGTTAGCAGCCGACCACGCCTCCAAGCTAGTGAGTAATCCTACTTTATCTAGATATAGAACGTAGATAACAAAAAAAGCCCATGTATTCTCGAATTAGATGATCATTGAAGCTAAACAAAGATTTATATAAAATAATTAAGGCCCGAAATAGATTCTAGATGTAGAATTTACATTAATCTAGATCTAGAATTTACATTGAGTCTAGTGACCTAGATCTAGATCTAGATCTAGGCCCTAGGCTAGATTCTAGATTCATAACTTTCCTTCGACAGCAGATCTTTAGATCTAGAGAAATTTATTGTAAAACTAAATGAAAAAGACAGTTGAAAATTGGTATAAGTGTTGGAACGTAATAAATACAGCAAACGGACGTATTGTTAAAGTTAAAGCCGACAGAAAATTAGCTTTAGAACGCGTTAAACATTGGAATGGGAACACAATCTTCTTCGATAGGCCGCCATTATCGATGTAAAAAAATAAACACATCATGTGACGTCACTGTTTCCGTCGAGTCTAGTGGCTTTTCAAATATTTTTTAAAAAAATGGGTTATTCTGCGTAGGAATAAATCAATAAATTAATTAACGTCTTTAAATAAATTTGTGATCAACAGTCTGTCTGCATTAAAAAAATATTCTCTACCTGCATACCATTTTACAGCTTTCCAGATAGAGTCGAACATATCACAATTTTCGATCAGGCAAACAAATAAATATTCAAACATGTAAACAAAGTTGAGTTTTAGTAGTATATAGATAGATATAAAAGTTCGAAGCAAATATGAAGAGATTAACTGAAAATTACATCGAATTATTATAAAATTAGCCAGTGGCGTAGCCAGGAATTGGTCATGGGATGGGTTCAAACATTTTTCCATATGTATACAATCATATATATATATATATATATATATATATATATATATATATATATATATATATATATATATATATATATATATATATATATATATATATATATATATATATATATATATGGGTCCATGGGAGGGGTTATAACCCCCTAACCCCCCTTGCCTACGCCACTGAAATTAGCATTCGTCTGCTAACCCGAAAGTCCCTAGTTCCGGTCCCAGGGTAGAGGTGTTGGACGTCCCTGAGTCCACCCAACTCTAATGGGAACCTGCCGTATAATAGAGAAAGTAAAGGCGGCTCGACGTAGTGCTGACCAAACTATTCCTTCATATGCCGAGGTTACAGAAACATATAAACTCTACTTAATCTACCCTGTGGGCCGCCAGGTCCGAAAGGAAACTTTAGTCTTACTATAGAATAAAGCACTGAAGCCAACAGGGATGTCTTGGGAGATGACAAAATTAATAGCCGGGGATAGGAAGAAATGGAAGGAAATGGTGGAGGCCCTATGTTCAATAAGGAGCAAAGAGGACTAAGTCAAGTCATAGAATAAAGCACACTGTATCAAACTTAACATTTTTTCTGTACACAGAAGGCTATTGGATATGGAGCGACTGGTCACTGTGGTCAGGTTGTACTAAAACGTGTGGGGGCGGCACAAGGAGCAGGACTAGCGGCGTCCAGGCGTTGTTTAGCCGGTCAGAATCAAAGTTATGTAACCCTCTACCTTGTCCAGGTGAGTTGTAAAGCTATGTAACCCTCTACCTTGTCCAGGTGAGTTGTAAAGCTATGTAACCCTTTACCCAGGTGAGTTGTAAAGCTATGTAACCCTCTACCTTGTCCAGGTGAGTTGTAAAGCTATGTAACCCTTTACCTTGCCCAGGTGAGTTGTAAAGCTATGTAACCCTTTACCTTTTCCAGATGAGTTGTAAAGCTATGTAACCCTCTACCTTGTCCAGGTGAGTTGTAAAGCTATGTAACCCTCTACCTTGTCCAGGTGAGTTGTAAAGCTAAGTAACCATTTACCTTGCCCAGGTGAGTTGTAAAGCTATGTAACCCTCTACCTTGTCCAGGTAAGTTGTAAAGCTATGTAACCCTCTACCTTGTCCAGGTGAGTTGTAAAGCTATGTAACCCTTTACCTTTCCCAGGTGAGTTGTAAAGCTATGTAATCCTTTAGCTATGTAACCCTCTACCTTATCCAGGTGAGTTGTAAAGCTATGTAACCATGTAACCCTTTAGGGGTAGGGAATTGGTGTTGTTAGCTTATAAGCTGTTTATTATTTATATATTTTTCACACACACGCGCGTATACACATACACATAAACAGCCATCCACCCCCACCCCCCTCCACACACACACACACACACATATATATATATATATATATATATATATATATATATATATATATATATATATATATATATATATATATATATATATATATATATATATATATATATATATATATTTGAAACGTGTAGAGAATGGCTTGTGGGCCATATGGGGAGGATGGTCTCAGTGTTCTGAGCCGTGTGGAATCGGCAACACCGTACGGGACCGCACGTGTACCGACCCGGCACCTATATACGGCGGGGAGCCATGCGACGGTCAGGGGTCGGAGGTACAAACCTGTTATGGGGGACCTTGTCTAGGTAAGTCAGGGATGGGGGCTTGGTAGAAGGGACCTTGTTTAAGCCAGGGATGGGGGCTTGGTAGAAGGGACCTTGTCTAGGTAAGTCAGGGATGGGCTTGGTAGAAGGGACCTTGTCTAGGTTAGTCAGGGATGGTTTTTTTTTTATATTGGTTGTTGTCTAAGTTAGTCTGGGGTTGGGGTTTTTGTAAAAGGGATTCTTTTTAAATATTTTATTATGTTTTTTTTTAATATGGAACGTCTTGATTAGTCAGAGATTGAGTTTTGGTAGACTTTTTTATTTAGAAGCGATTTACATAATTTACATTTCTTGGTTTTTGTACATTTTTTGTTAATAGTAATCATCATCTCCTATCTTTTGTCGCTAAAAGTCTAAAACATTTTTACAGATGAAGATGACTACGGCATTCATCTAAAAGGAGTTGGCTACCTCAGATACCCGGAGAAGGGGGTCCCCACGGGATTCTTCATGACCTTTCTACGATTTAGACCTTTGAAACTGACTGGAACGCTGTTCCACCATGTAAATGTTGTGCTGAAATTTAGATCTACTACAGCATCGTTTGTCTGTGTCTAGTGCTAATTAGAGGCGCGAGGTGTTACAGAAGTGTTTTATCTACTTGAATAAACAAGTTAATTAAAAAGTCTAGTGACAATTTTAGCGCAATTTCCTTATGTTATCTAAAAATAGCTCTGTCGTAGCGTAAATCAAGAGCAGGGTTAGTAAAACCATTGGTTAGTTATTAAAACGTTTTTTATTAAATAAACCTAACTACTAACTAAACTAAGCACCTTGAAATCAAGAGCAGGGTTATTAAAACCATTGGTTAGTTGAACTTGATTATCAACATGATAATCATTAAGATGATAGATCTCTACTTCCGGCATGTATATACAACCACACCACACGCGTCATCACGTTCAATAGATGCGTCATCGCGTTCCATGGCTGCGCCATCACGTTCAGTAGGCGCGCAAGTTAATTAAAAAAGTCTAGTGACATTTATGCGCAATGTCCTTATGTTATCTAAAAATAGCTCTGACGTATAATGATGGGGTGCGTTCAAGCTAGAAGAGCGATCGGTTTGTAGGTGTTTATGTAATTTTAAAATTTGTGACCGAACGAGAGGATATTTTTGAAAACTTTCTTCGGCAATATTGTTCTAAATTATGGCAGGAATCGATTGGTACATGTTTCAAGTCGCTAAGTGGTCTGGTTGCCGAGATATGGGCAAAAAACTGCATTTTTTCGAGGTTTTTTGGCTTTTACGGGAAATACATGAAAGAAACCCGGAATTTTTATGGCCTATGCTCATTCTCGTAACTTGCTTAACATAATTGCTTTTGGAACTAGTCATCGATATTGCTTCGTTGAGGAGGAGATACGACTTAAAGCCCGGACACACATTCATCCATCCATCCATTCCCAGAAATGACGAGTTAATAAACGCAATTCTCCAGAATGGAAATTGCGCTAAAAAATTAATATAAAGAAAGAAATAAGTAATTTTAAATTTAAAAACTAACATTTTATTTCCGGAACCTCGATTTGAAAACAATATTTACGAAGTGTTACCCATCGTCTGATGCTTTCATTTCAAGCAGTCTTTGTGTGTTTTTTGACCACTAATGCTTCTATTCCGGTTAGACCCAAATGATTTAGCTATACTAATATACTAATATAGGCCCGAAATATATGAAAAGAATGTAGACCTCATTATGTGTGAGGCAGTATGTTGGAGGAAACGCCCGGATGTTCTTGTAATGGATTCTTTTCTCCGGAAGGGGGGGGGGGGGGCGAGAATAGTTTAACTATATATTTTCTAGATTACATAAAGTTTGGAAACTGTTGATCTATAACGCTTTTTAAAATTAAATCTTTATTAAAACGTTTTTACACTCAAACAAAATACCCATTTATATCCTCCGATACCTATTGAAATAAATTATTATTAGCTAAACATTGTTTCTAGCACCATTACCTCAATCCGAACTTTTGTTTGTTTTCCAATGTAGACCTGAATCTAATTATATTCCTGAAGCTAACTCTAATTTAACTAACTGAACCGAAGCTTATTCCTGACTCTACTAATAATCGTTATTTTTTTTTAAAGATCCTTAAGTATAGACCTATTTTTTAATTTTTTTTAAAAATAATCTTCAATCCTGATCTGTTTGTCTTTCAGTCTAAACAGTGTAACAAGGGCCTCACTGAGTGCTCCATGAGCATCATGCTCACAATGACCAAAGGCATCTTAGAACTTACTGCCAGGATTTCCTCACAGAAAGACACCATCAAGATGCAGTACACTGACAGTGTAGAGGTAAATGCTAAACTTAAGCTCAAGTAGAGGTTCATGGTACTTAACTAGTAATCGTGAGTTCAAGTACTAGTTACTGGTAAACTTGCGGTAAAGTAGAGGTAACTGGTAAACTTAAGCTCAATTAGAGATTCATGGTAGACGTACTAAACTAGTAATCTTGAGGTAAAATACAAGTAACTCGAAAACTTGGAATAAAGTAAAAGTAACTAGTAAACTAATGGTAAAGTAGAGGTAACTGGTAAACGTGAGGTAAAGTAAAAGTAACTCGTAAACTTGAGGTAAAGTACAAATAACTGGTAAACTTGAGGTAAAGTAGAGGTAACTGATAAACTTGAGGTAAAGTAGAGGCGACTGTTAACTAGTTGATCTGAGCAACTTTGTTATCGTCGGCTAAGCAATCGCCTAATTGCCAATATAGAATGTGTGAGTTAACCAAGCTTCAATATTAACTATTGTAGTGTATATGTATGTTTGTATATCTATGTATGCTCTACCGTGCATAATGCAGACAACCAATTTCTACAGAAAGATAAGTGGCATGATGTGATCGTCTTGGTAACGGAAAACTGGGTTGAGATGAGAGTAAACGAAGGCCACAGAATTGAGATGAAATTCCCGCCCAAGAAAAAACACACCTTCAACTTTGATGGCGAATTTACTGTTGGAAACAACCGACTCATATCCGATGGTATTTTGTGTATTTATTTACATGTATTATGGGTGCAATTTGTCAAAACGGCACGTTAGGAAAAATAGGTTTAAATAATAGATCATAGGCTATCACCATTTTTTTTATACTTGTCTCTATGCTATTAACATAAAAATTTAGAGATAATTGATATCAAAATATAATGTCTAATACCATAAATTAAACATAGTTTGGTTAACAAAAAAAGTAATTTTAAAAATTGTAAATGAGAAATGTTTTGTTATTTTGAGGATATAACTTTTCAGGGTTTAATGGGAAGATAGCAGCATTGAGAAAAAACTTCAAGATTTTGTTGATGTTCAACATGAAGTCATGGGCTGGATATGGGGTGCCCAGTGCCATTCACAAGGTTAAAAAAATACAACTCAGTAAGCATATTTGAGGGGGCGCACACTGTTTGAAGTATATATCTTGTATCTAAATTCTATTTAGTTCGGGTAAGGTGGACGGGCTTCGATGATCGAGCGATGCCCTCACCCTCCTGGAAGAAATGCTTGAAAAAAAACTCTGATTACAAATACTCATTGATTTACAGAAACGACAGTGCGACACCCAGATTTTAACGGCATCTACTACTCACACCTGTTCTTCCGTGAGACCCACTACCTGCACGTGACCGTCAGCTTCCTCATCACCGGCACCAAAGGCCTGCTGCTCTTCAACGGCGGGAGGCTGGCTGTGTCCTTCGTCAGCGTGGCCATCCTCGACGGGTCCCTCCAGTTCTGCATGAGCTGTGGCTCCAAAAGCGTCTGCCGTAAGGGCTATGAGTTAAAGGTGAACTCAACAGTAGAGGCATGGTCGGGTCGCTGAAGCTCATAGCTGCTAAACCGTAAAGTCCCGAGTTTGAAACCCCGGGGCAGATGAGGTTATGTAGCTGGGGACAGCAGCCAATCTAAGAGAGAAAACTCCAAAATCAAACAACTGCTGCCTTGTAGATTGTGGATGGAAAAATCCAAAAAGAAAAGCAGGCTGAAATTGGAGTCAACGGTCTATACGGCACTTAATAGATTGACACGTAATACTTAATTGTGATGAAGGAAATTGCGTCCAACGTTACCGTTAAGAACTTAGAAAAGAAAAAGAGGCATTTGGAGACAGGAAATGTGCTCAGTATAAACAAAATCATTTTATTTAACTTCAGTGGTGTGTTTATGTACATATAAGTTATTAGTGCCACATATAGTTCTATAGATAACATACATGTTCTTAAGACACAAGAACATGGAATAATACAGAGTTTTAAAAGGTACATTTTTAAAACCAATTGTCGCCACTGGCTTTGTGTCTCCCTCACCTGTCACTTTTGTATGGGCCTCCTACCGCAGCCATTGTTAATTACTTTATTTTACAATCGGGAGGGGCATTGCTATCCCAAACTCTTATCCTTTATCCCGACAAGGGGCATGCAGGTCGTCAAGGCTTTCCATGGGTATTCCGGGGCTAACTCCACCCTCATAGTATTTCCCAAAAGCCCGCAATGTTCAAATGTAGGAACCATGTTCTTTTTATAGACAGGACAGTGGTACCTGCTACAAGTCGTCGCGAAGGAAGGTGAAGGCCAAATACGGCTCAACGAAGGAGATGCCCTGCAAATCATGTGCCAAGCGGGCGAGAAATACCAGCCCCGCAACTCGCTGTACGTAGGGGGCGCTGGTTCAAAGGACTGGGGAGTGATCATTGAACTAACGAAGAACAATTCATTATATTTCGGGGTCATTGACATGATGACTGTCAACGGCTTGCTCGTGACTTACAAGATGGCGACTCTGCTTGACTTTACTGGCATGGTTAACTCCCTTGGATACAGTCTATCAGGTTTGTGAATACAAGTTGAGTTAACCCGTCGTCTGCTTCCTCCGTCTGCGACACTGAGTGACAGGAATGTGTGCCTACATCAAGTCAAATACTAGCTTGAAGAATGTCTATAGGGCTGGTAAGTAGGTCACCAACCAGTTCTACGGCTCAATAAAACCTGCATGAGCCATAGAACTGGTTGGTGACCTAATTACCAGCCCTATTGACGGCAGAGGCGCCACTAGGTCGGGTGACACCTTGTGCGGGAACTCAGTATGTCCAGTGTTTCTTCCAGACTTTTTTCTCCGGGGGGGATGGTGTACATTTTCCGGAGGGGGGGGACACACTAGTAAAAGTATATATTTACTATATATATTCCATCTCGGTAGACTTTCTCGGGGGGGGGGGGGGGGGGGGGGCTCACCTTCTCCCTCCCCCCCCCCCGAAGATATGCCTGGAAGAAACTCTGAGTATGTCACCCTCCACCGTCAACAATTTACTAAAACTATGGGCTGTATTTCTGTCAACCCTACTCCCCTCACAGTTATCATACATACATTTTTACTAACTGGATAAAAAAGCAGAATTTCTCATTAAAATTAGCTTTTTTCTTTTTATTCACCCCTTGTTGAAATGTTATCAGCCGGGCAGTTCCGCGCCTTGTGATTCTATGGTTTAATCATTTTGCGTGACGGGGGTATACAGAAATGACAAAACCAGTGGCGTAGGCAAGGGGGGTTAGGGGGTTATAACCCCTCCCATGGACTCACACCCCTATATATATATATATATATATATATATATATATATATATATATATATATATATATATATATATATATATATATATATATATGTGTGTGTGATTGTATACATATGGAAAACTATTTGAACCCCTCCCATGACCGATTCCTGGACAAAACTATCCAATATTTTTAAAAATCAGATTATGTGAGGGTGGTATTGAGAAACGACAAAACTATCCAATAATTATTTTATTATTTTGCGTGACGGAGGTGTACAGAAATGACAAAAGTATCCCATAATTATTTAATCAGATTACGTGACGGAGGTATACAGAAATGGAAAAACTATCCAATAATTGTTTAATCAGTTTACGCACCGGAGGTATTTCGTGACCGAGGTGTACAAAAATGACAAAACTATTTTATAGAAATGACAAAAGTATTAAATAATTATTCAATCTGATTATGTGACAGAAGTATACAGAAATGACAAAAGTATCCTACATTTTAAAAAATCAGATTACGTGACCGAGGTATACAGAAATGACAAAACTATCCAACAATTATGAAATCAGATTATGTGACGGAGGTATACAGAAATGACAAAACTATCCATCAATTATGTAATCAGATTATGTGACGGATGTATACAGAAATGACAAAACTATCCAATAACTGTTTAATCAGATTACGTGACCGAGGTGTACAGAAATGACAAAAGTATAGCAAGCCTGCAGTGCGGAGTGCCAGATAAAATAAAAAATGTCCACAAGGTCCGGATTGTCTGGTTGGAGAGTATGCGAAGACTGGTGCCAAGTGAGGGGGTGGAGATTATTGATGTGGTAAGTTTACATGTCTATTTGTTGGTTTATTTGTGTTTGTGTGCATCTTTTCTCGTATAAGGCTATCCTTATTCCTTAGTCAGAGGGTATGGACATTGGGGTCATTAGGAAGGGCGACACTGGGCACGGTAGTCTATAGTGTCACTCCCCCCTCTCCGCCCACCGCTATGTATATGGTGTACTAAAACTATACGGAATTTTGTGTCAATCCCCCTCTCCCCCCCCCGATGGTGTAATTCTATGCCTAATTATGTATATAACCTTATTGAGCTATTTAACTTTTAACCCCCCCCCCCCCCCTGCCATCTTGCGCTACTTGGCATGTGCCTAATAATTTTAATATCTTAAAATTGGTGTGTTATATTTCTAAGCAATCATGGTGATGAAAACGTTGGCATATGTTTTTTTTTAAATCAGTAATAGCGCCCTTGATACGTATCTATCTATAGTCATTGTTATCAAATCTCAAATACCAGTCCCATGTCCGATTTGCTTGAAATAATTTGAATTTTAACAGGAATCCAGCAAACAATATGTAAGCAAAGTAAACCTGCATCCCGCACACACCAGCGAAGGCGTGTACGCGTGTCTATTGAGTCAAGATGGGTCGCTCTCTGTTCTGCACGTTTTCCTCGTGTTTCGTACACAAGGTGAGTAAAAAAATATATTTTTTTAAACAAAACAAAATAATCTAATCCGTTTTTAATTAATGAAACTGCAGCTATATAATATTCAGTGTTTTTAGAAAGAATTTTGAATTGTACATCCTAACTAGAAATATAAAAATCTATATAGGTCTTCTCAAGCATAAGTCTTGGTTTACGATTTTCTTCACTAATTACCAGTGGCGGAACTAGAAAAAAAAGGCCCCCCCGCAGAATTTTTTTTTGGGCCCCTATATATATATATATATATATATATATATATATATATATATATATATATATATATATATATATATATATATATATATATATATATATATATATATATGGAAAACAAAGGTCGCACTAAATTTTTAAAAAAAAATGTATCCGGATCCCGAATAAATCAGAGGTTTTCCAACACACGAGCTGGCCCCATTCAGTTTTCCATGTGAGAAGCACGGACTCTCTAAATCTAGTACAACACTCCAAACTGACGCCGGTTTTTATGAGGCTTTCATCAAAACGTTACCAACCGTGTGCCCTGTTTTCCAGAAGTTGAATTAAATGTTAACAGTGTCGGCAGTTCATTTCTTGGATCTTAGGGCGCGGGTTTGTCCACACTACCAACTAGACACGCCAAGGCATGCTGTAAGTCCTTCGGCGACGACCCAGGTGTCAGGGGAGTCACGGGGCTCTTGGAGCTACCGGTTACATTACTGCACGGGTGATGGGTGCAACACATTGTTTCTTCCGGCAGAGCTCCCCCTCCCCCACCCCTCCTCCGAAAACAGTCTACCTAGGAAGAAACATTGGTGCGACACCTAATTAGATTTAGTCATCGAGTGTTGTAGCGAGACTTATTCCTAGTGTTGTGGGAACTTTTAAACGACTGTCTGTGGGGGGCCAACTTGCTCATATGTGATGCGCTCAGGATGACACTGACGCCGGTTGTATTCAAGTAGTAACCTCATCCGTTTATGCAGGATCACGGGGCGCTAAATCACATATTTCCGTTAGGAGTCCCCACTCCAATATGTACAAATGTTAGGCCTATGACAGAAACTTTTGCGGGGCTGTACTCAACAGCTTCCCAAGTTTTCATGGCGATTGGGTGAATGATGCAGTAATGCAAAATAGACAGAAAAATGTTTTTCACATGTACAACTGTATGTGGCCAGGTCACGCGTTGGATAACCTTCTGATTTAGGGGAGGGGGGGGGGGGGACTAACAAAAAGCCAGACCCTCACACACCCCCACCTCAATGACGTCATTTATAAATAGTAATTGACTATTAATAATGTTCAATTAATTCTAAACGTAATTAATTTCTAAATAATTATATAAAAATAATCTTACCTGCCCTGTTTTGTGAATTAGATGTGCCTAATACTATGAAAGTAAATTAATATCTGTTGACTAGATCTAGATCTAGATCTAGTGCTGTCTAGTGTCTGACAAAATGTGCTGAAGTGTTGAATCGTACGGTTAGGAAGTAGTTCATAAACGATACATTTATCTCCTCGATACTTGTGAGGTTGAGAAAGAGGGGTGGGATAGGGGTCGGCTCGGGAAAAAAACTTGAAAGCGACATCAAAACGCCTTGATCTATGTACGTCAGCATCGCCCATTGTAAAACTTACTCAGGGGAGATTATTCCAAGTATAGACTTTAAAAGTTTACTATGATATTTCTCGTAAAAGCAAAAACAAGTAACCGTATATAAAACTGAAGTTTCTAGTATAGTATTATATTATTTTTTTATTATTTGTAGGATGCAAGATACAAATTCAACCACTATCACAAACACATTAACATTGAAAAATGTACAAAGGATTTCGGGTCCCTTACCAATGCCGCCCGCAAAGACGAAAGCCCACTTCATATGTAGCGGCTTTTCGTGCTATGGACTTTGTTGTTTTTTAAAAAGAATTTTGCCGACGACAGCGTGTGTTTGATTGTAGGGAAATAGAACTCGGCCTTGACAATGGTTAAAAAATACAACTATAAATAACTGTTTAAAATATGTAAAAAAATTCGACAATTTTTGAACCCCCTTTTTGGTCCCCATCCCCTGCCTAATCCGCGACAGTACACTTTGGAGGATCGGTTAAACAGTTACGTCCTCTATTTAGCTATTAAAGAGGTGGGGGGCAACGAGTCAAAGAAGTCATTCAAATTTGAAGAGTTGCCTATATTTTACACTGTAGTTTGTGTAATGGATTTTATCTGTTGCGGAAGAGCGTGGTATAGTGACTGTAAAATAAAGATAATCGTACCGCAGCTAGTGTTTTTCTTTTACAAACCAAATATTAAGGCAAAAATGCACGAAAATTAAATTCAAAATTTTTTTAAAAAATATTAATTTTGGTCAGCCGTGGGCCCCTAAACGGCCTGCCCCCCCCCCCCCCCCCCCGCGCATTGCGGGGTCTGGCGGGACTGTAGTTCCGTCGCTGTTCATCAGGTAAATGAACAACTACTGACTAGTGTCTTAAACTAAATGTGCAGGAGTGGTCAGTTTACAGTTCAGTAGTTCATAGACGGTTCGTTAATCTATGCATTACATCTTATTGTAAGATTAAGGGTGTGGTGAGGGGTAGAGGTGAAGGGTAGGGGTGAGAGGGGGCAGGGGAGAGAGTTGGGAAGGTTCATTGGAAGGGGACAAGAAAGCGCCGATGAACATCTACATTAATAGTGCCGACTTTTTCCGGTCGTCTAGAAGACCAGGATAGTCGCCGCAACATTTCCCCAGCCCGATTTCAAAGCGTGCCGGCACAGTCAAATTTCAGATGCTTCGCTGAAGGGAGATAACTTAAACTTTTACAAGTTTATTGATACAGTTGTTAAAGTAAAAATGAACGCAATTATAAATGTACGAGATCGAAATAAATAATTATATTTTTTGTAGAATTCAGGCCAGTAGTTTAAACACACAATCATAGATATGTATTTTAATAATGTAAACAATATAACAATGCTTTTTTGTTCTCCTAGTCGACGCCACTAAAAAGAACGGTAGGCTGCGTCTTTGAAGTTGACTTTATGTCTGGCGGTCTCTCGAGCTATAGTCTGTGCATTTTTATCAAAGACGTTTGCCGACTATCGTGTTTGTTTGTAACTGTAGAAGAAAGATAACTCGACCTCCACCTAATTTATTTTTTTTTTTTTATTTTTTTTTTAAAATAATTTAGCCAGGATTTTTGGGCCCCCAATCGGTCTGGGCCCCACCGCATTGCGGGGTCTGGCGGCACTGTAGTTCCGCCCCTGCTAATTACCCTTTGTAAACGTCCCTTCGGGATTTGTCGCAGTCGGGAAGACATCCATTTAGTCATGTCACATTTGGGAAATCTTCCATTCGGGCAGACATCGATTTAGTCAGGTGTCACACTTGGGCGGAGGCGTATCGAGGGGGGGGGGGGGGGGGCAAGGGGGGGACGGACATATGTCCCCGGGCGCCGACCTTAGGGGGCGCCAAAATGTGTTGGAAAAACAAATTGAAAGTTTGAGGGGGGGATGCAAATCGAAAGTTTGACGTGGGGGGTGCAAATCGGAGGTTGAGGGGGGTGCAAATCGAAAGTTTGAGGGGGGGGGGGGGTTCAAATCGAAAGTTTGTCCCCGGGCGCTGGGAAGGGTCGCTATGCCTCTGCACTTGGGCAAACGTCCATTCGGGCTAACGCTGTTTGGACAAGTGTCTTTCGGGCAATTTTTTTGGAGGGTTTGAGTCTTTTATCCACTTTAGAGCGATGAATCTGAACTTGTTTCCTGAATTCGGAATAAATATTTTGATGCGACAGTCAAGAAATTATATATAGAAGGTAGTGCAACAAACTGATTTAAAAACAAAGATACCAGATAAGCAAAAAGTCGTGAAGAGTTAGCTTTTATAAGAGATTATTTGCGAAATCTTCGTGAAAAAGTTGAAAATCTGCTATATTCCTGGCAAATTTATTATATATGAGCAGGGGTTTTGGCATGTATATTTTTTGTGCAATAACGCAGAAAATAGAATGATGTGCTCAGATTCATCATTTTTTTGGCACAATACAACTACAACACATGAGCTTCGTAAGTTTTGCTAAATAATTTTAAAGGATGTTGGAAAGAAGTGGGACAACGTGGTCAAATGAAAGACTGCAAACCGAAAGTCGCGAGTTCGAATCCGGGTTCAAGTCCATAGAACGTCCCTGAGTCCACCCAACTCTGATGGGTGCCTGACTTACGTCAGGGGAAGGGGTCGTCCATAAATGACGTCACACTTGTAGGGGGGAGGGGGGGTCTGTAATTTTGTGACGGTGTTTGATGAGGAAAGGGGGGGGGGGTTAATGGTGCGACGTCACACTTTTGCATTATAAAAAAGCAATGTTAGAAAACGGATTTTAGACGTTATTTTGCGTTGTAGAAAACTGTTTTAATAAATTGTAATAACAATTGATTAAAATACTCTATTTTGACAGAGTTCAGACAAGATTTTGGAAAAAATAGCTGTTTAAAAAAAATTGTACTGCTGAGGTGTGACGTCATTTTAGGGGGGGGGGGGTCTGGCTTTTTGTGACGACGTGTGACTGAGGGGAGGTAAAAATCGTCCAAAAAGCGTGACGTCATTTATGGATGACCCCGAAGTAAAGAGGTTGGACAACGTTGAGCGAACTATTATTTCCTATGACGAGGTCAAAGAAACAGGTGAACTCTATTTCACTTACCACATCAGGTTCTTAAGGGAACTTTATGTTGTAAAGAAATAAAAACGGTGAAAGATGTTGGAAATAAAAAGTCTCACATTGCCTGCGTTTATGGGACCAAAACAACCACCAATGGATGCGTCAAAATTTATATTTTAAAAGGATGCAAAAAATCTGGGTCACGATTGAGTGTAGGCTATTTTAGGCCGATGTATCATTTTGTTACGCGTGTATGTGAAGCATAAATGTTCCCATGCAGTAACAGGAAGACTGCATGAACTAGTCATAATTCCAGTTTGAACTAAGGAGAAATCAAATGGGAGCCGATGATCATGTTTTTCAATAGACTAAAAATGTAATCAATTTATCGCAACCCCTGCCCCCGTTTTGCGACACCTCTGCACAAGCCCATACATATATAATATAAAAATATGCAATCGACTCCTTTAAAAAAAAAAGTTAAAATGAACCATCTTGTTGCATATTTTGAAGAAAAAAATAGGTGGTAGGCCGATCCTATAGATTTACTTGATTTAGGGTTGATAATAATAAAATAGTGTTGCGTGTTCAATGAAATTCAAGACTTACTGAAGTGAAACCTATGTGAAGTAGAAATTTGCCAAATTGGCAAGAAAGTTATGAAGAATTATCCAGCCTAGTTTTTTTCCTTGGCTATCATTTGTAATAACTTGGAAATAATTTGAATTTTTTAAATTTATGTTGCAGTAAAAATAATAATAGTACATTGAATTCTAGTGAACTAATTTGACGTATGCATACATTTAATGAAATGACTATTTTCATTTAAAAGATATGACTACAAATTCGTACACGGCTCTGGTATATTATTTAAAGTAAAAATGTGTCATCTTTAGAAAAGAAACATTAAAATATTTTTAGTTTTTTTTTATTTTAATTTAGGCTAAAAACTTATAAAATATAAAATGCTTTAGAGTTTAGATTCTAGAATTCTAGATGTAGATCTAGAATATACTAGGCGATCTAACTACTTGCCTCTTATCACATTAGTCCACATTTTTTGAAAGGCTTCTGAAGTTCTGTGTTCAGTGTGTTGTTTGTTTCTAAAACTTTCTTCTACTCTTCAGTTAGAGTTAGAGTAGTCTTAGTCTCTTAGAGGACTTAGACTTAGACCTAGAGTGTCTTAGACTTTAGACCTTAGTGTTGAGCCCTTGCCACAAATAAGTTAAAATAACAGAGGGTCGGGTAAGGGAAGAAAAAGTGTTAAGAATTTTAATTAGTATAATAAAATTAATATAATTAATAATTAGATTCTACATTGATAAATATTATAATTTAAATTAATATTAGATTCTAAATACTGCTATTTTCATTTTAGATATCTGTATATTGAAGTATATTGTATATTTAACTTATTTATTATTTATATATAATACTAAAATAGTAGGTTGTAAACTATACTACTAACTTAGTAACTAGGTATATAGTAATATACTAAAAAAAAGTTAATAAACTATTATTTATAAGAAGGCAAGAGATGGGGGGGGGGGTGGCGCAGTTAGTGTGGCTAACACTTTTTGTAAGTAGAATAAAGTAAGGGGTCGTCCATAAATAACGTCACACTCGATGGGGGGAGGGGGGTCTGTAATTTTGTGACGCTGTGTGATAAGGAGGGGGGGGGGGGTTCAGCTGGTGCAATGTCACACTTTTGCATTATAAAAAAGCAATGTTAAAAACTAATTTAAGATGTTATTTTGCGTTTTAGAAAACTGTTTTTAATAAATTGCAATAGAAATTGATTAAAATACTCAGACAAGTTCAGACAAGATTTCGGAAAAATATTGATGTTATAAGAAAAATTCAACTGCAATTTTGAGGGGGGGGGGGGGTTGTAGGCTGAGGTGTGTTGTCATTTTAGGGGTGGGGGTCTGGCTTTTTGTGATGATGTGTGACGGAGGGGAGGGGGGAGGTAAAATTCGTCCAAAAAAGCGTGACGTCATTTATGGATGACCCCTAATAAAATTTTGATCATTATAAATCTAGATCTACCTGCCTCTGCTCATTTAGTATTTTGAATTTTGTGATGATTTGGGAGGGGGGTAAAATTGTCAAATCAAACAAGATGTCATTTTTGGATGACCCATCAGTGAAGAACAAAAGAAGGTAAATTGTATTAATTATAGGTCTAGGCCTATTGATTAACTAATATAATATATATTACTGTTGGCCTATAGTAGGCCTCCTATAATATATGATAAGGCCTATTCAAAGTTGATTTTTAAAGTGAAGAGAAGATGCATCATTTTTTCATTTCATTTCTGACATCCAGTTTTAGATAACTTTTACAATAGAGATAAGAGTTTATAAAGTGGCATGTAAAACACATATAAAATTGAAAGATTTATTTTAAAAAATACATTTTAAATATTAATGAAGATGAGAATACCATGTGAAATAATATTCTATTAGTAACATTGCAACATTTTTCCTGTCATGATATGAACTCTATTTAATAATATATGAAACAACTTATGATTTTGTAATTTACTAGAATTTTTTTTCTTTTGAACAATTTTAAGATTAAATAAAAATAGGAAAATATTGAATATATTTCATAATTCAAGCCACTGCATAAACAATTATATTTACAAATAATATTGTAAACTGAGAAATTTTGAGTAATGCTGGAAATACAGAACTGTATGAATTAAATGATGCATATTTCCAAATTCACTGCAGGCCGCACCAAAAGAGATACGGAAGATATTGATGAAAATGAAGATGAACTTAATTTCGTAGAGGTAGTAACTGCCAGGAGTAAATATGAAATGACAGAAGGTAATACTAATACAAGTGGAAAAAAAAAGGAATTTTTTTTAAAAAACTTGACTGAAAGTAGCATCTTGTATTCAAAACTTTTTACTCAATGACTTTTCTTTTGCAGATGAAAAGGCCTCTCATGCAGAGTGGGTGGTATTAATCGTTCTCCTTGTTCTTATTCTCTTTTGCTTCTGCCCTACAGTATGTTACTGTTGCACCAAAGATCATCCAATATGGGATCCATGCAGGTTAAAAAAAAGTTTACTTACCTTCTTATACTGGTTAGTTAGAAAATCAGTCTAAAAAGTTTTATTTGCCTATAAATAAAATGGTTCTGAATTAATTTTTGTTGAAATTCAAGTGGAAAAAAATCATAAAATTGTATCATGTTTTTGTGCATTTATCTTATTAAAAACTAATTTCTCTAAACTTTTATTACTTTAATTAGGGTAGTCGTATTTATTAAGAAGCCTTATAAATTGCTTACATTTTTATTTTAAACTAGTAAAATAATGCAAGATTTGTTTTAAATGTTAAAAGATATGTAATACATTTTTAGGAGGACCTTCAATACATGGTATTGCAAAATATCTGGCAGAGATTGTGATGATCTTGTGGAAGACGATTACCTCATGTAAGTCTTATTTGCAAACTACAATATCATTGTCTTGATGTGTCCCGAACCCATACCACCCGCATGGTAGCCATTCCACTACCATCTTAGCTATAGGGACGGAGTGGTCTAGCGGTAGTGAGCTGGATTGCTAACCCATAAGTCTCGAGTTCGAATCCGGGTTCAAGTCAGTAGACCGTCCCTGAGTCCACCCAACTCTGATGGGTACCTAACTCACGTCAGGGAAAGCTAACTCACGTTAAGGAAAGCTAAGGCGGCTGGGGATAGTGCTGACCACACTATCTCTTCATATGCCGAGGTCACAGAAACAAGTGAACTCTACTTCACTTGCCCCATAGACCGTCAGGTTTGAAAGGGAAACTTTACTTAGAATATCATTGGCACGCTTTCTAGACTCTCAAAATATATATTAAAATTTTTTTTTTTTCACGGTTTTGAAAAATATAAACTACAAAAGCTATAATGATAAAGCCTATTCTAAATTGTAGTCTCTTAGAAAGGGTTATATTATTTATGGGCAGTGGAGAATTAAGCGGAAGTTTACAGTTCACTAGGCAACAATCATTAGCCCTATGAATATAAGGGTCCAAAATGCTGTTCTACAACTATTTTTGATCTTGTTGTTAATCGTCAAAGGAGGATATGGGTACTTTTCAACTAGCAACCCAAAGCTTAGGCCACTTTAGTTCATGGGTTGTAATAGTCCCAGGGGGTGTTAAACCATCTGGAGGAAAAGAAAAGTGTGCACTCTAACAATGGAACTGAGATAGTATAAACAGGTTAAGTCCGATAGTGGAATCATAAAACCCTAAGAAAATATTTTCAATTTTGGATCAACATTTTCATTGAGTTGTTTCATAGGTTTTGTTTATAATAACTAAATGAAATTATATAGGATTGCATTAGCTGCCATTCACATTGTCAAAAATATTTTTATGTTATGTTAATTTGCATGTTACATGAAAGTATTAGGACTCTACTTTGTTGTACCTTTCATAATATTGGAGTAAGTATCTGTACATTTATCCCTGCCCTCTGCTATAGCATCAAGTTTTTTTTCATATAATCTAAACAAGGTAATTAAAAAGTCTAGTGACAATTTTAGCGCAATTTCCTTATGTTATCTAAAAATAGCTCTGTCGTAGCGTAAATCAAGAGCAGGGTTAGTAAAACCATTGGTTAAAATACATGTTTTATTTACAATAGAGTTACATGACTAAAAACCATTGCGCGCCTAGCTACCGAACGTGATGGCGCAGCTATTGAACGTGATGACGTGTGTGGTGTGGTTGGATAAAAATGCCTACTAATTCGGTCAAAATTTTAATTAATTCAAAAAAATGTTTGTGACCGAACGAAAGGATATTTTTGAAAACTTTCTTCGGCAATATTGTTCTAAATTATGGCAGGAATCGATTGGTACATGTTTCAAGTCGCTAAATGGTCTGGTTGCCGAGATATAGCCCAAAAACTGCATTTTTTTGAGGTTTTTTGGCTTTTCCTGGAAATACATGAAAGAAACCCGGAATTTTTTTGGCCTATGTTCATCCTCGTAACTTGCTTAACATAATTGCTTTTGGAACTAGTCCTCGATATTGCTTCGTTGAGGAGGAGATACGACTTAAAGCTGCGGACACACATCCATTCATACATCCAGAAATGACGGGTTAATAAACGCAATTCTCCAGAATGGAAATTGCGCTAAAAAAATTTCTTACTGTTTTAAAACACAAAAGAGCGCTATAAAAATAACTTTAACTGTTTTTTTTTTAAGAAAATTTTCTAAAAAGTAGCTTTTATTTTATAATTTAGTTGAAACCATTAATTTTCAAAGAATAGAACATGAGCTCAATATTTTACAGGGAAGAATCTGAAACAGAACCAGAGCCTGACAGTGATGAGGACCCAGTTCCAAAAAGTAAAAACAACATGAAGAAAAAAACACCATCTCCAGCTAAGAAAAAACCAAAGCCCCAGAAAAAAACTGTAAAAGGTAAGAGAGCAAGGTTAAATTTTGTATTACAAATTATTAAAAATTATTTAAATAACAATATTTACCAATAAAACAATCTTTTTCAAAGTGTATAAATAGTTACAGATATCGTTACATTCTTTTCATGTGTCAGTTTAATGTGTCTTATTTAAACCAGTGAAAGAAGGGAAAGCAACCCCCCCACCAAAAGCTGCTGTAGGAAAGCCTGAGAAAAAATCAGCACTCAAGGCTAAGGAAGAAGACGTTAGTCCAACACAAGATGGTAGGAAGGGGCCTAGAAAATTATATGTCTGCAAACAAGTCCCCTATCCTTGTATGCCACCGTGGGCTAGCCCCTGTATGCCACCCGGCATGAGACCCTGTATGACACCATGCATGACACCTGCTATGAGACCATGTATGACACCTTACATGCATCCTTGCATGCAACCTTGCATGCAACCTTGCATGACACCTGTTGCAAGACCATATATGACACCTTGTATGACACCTTGCATGCAGCCTGTTATGAGACCATGTCCAACACCTTGTATGACACCTTGCATGTCACCTGCTGTGAGACCATGTCCGACACCTTGTGCGACACCTTGTGTGTCTCCTTGTGCGACATCAATGGTCAACCCTTGCAGGTCACCATGTGGTTCACCATGTATACAAGGTTACTCACCATGTATACCTCAGCCTTGCATGCCTCAACCATGCATGCCTCAACCATGTATGCCTCAACCCTGCTCACCTCAACAATATATGCCTTATCCATGTAGACCTCAACCTTGTATACCACAACCCTGCACACCTCGACCCTGCATACCTCAACCGTGTAGACCTCAACCTTGCACACCTCAACCGTGTATACCTCAACCTTGTATACCTCAGCCCTGTAGACCTCAGCCCTGCATACCTCAACCCTGCATACCTCAACCCTGCATACCTCAGCCCTGCACACCTCGAGCATATTTTCCTCAATCATGTAGATCTCAACCCTGCATACCTCAACCAAGCCCACCTCATTATTTTCCTCAACAATACAGACCTCAACCATGCAGATCTCAACCTTGTGTACCTCTATCTGGCTCCCGTCCTCAGTCTCACTCAGGTTCTCCTCCACCACGCAAATCAAGACAAAACCAAATGAACAACCCTCAAGCTAGCCAAATTAACAACCCTCAATCTAGCAGAACTCGCAACTCTCAAGCAAGCCGATCTCATAGCCCTCAAACTGGCCACATTAACAACCCTCAAGCTAGCCAAATTAACAACCTTCAATCTAGCAGAACTTACAACTCTCAAACTGGCCAGATTAACAACCCTCAATCTAGCAGAATTCACAACTCTCAAGCAAGCCGATCTCATAGCCCTCAAACTGGCCAAATTAACAACCCTCAATCTAGCAGAATTCACAACTCTCAAGCAAGCCGATCTCATAGCCCTCAAACTGGCCAAATTAACAACCCTCAATCTAGCAGAATTCACAACTCTCAAGCAAGCCGATCTCATAGCCCTCAAACTGGCCAAATTAACAACCCTCAATCTAGCAGAATTCACAACTCTCAAGCAAGCCGATCTCATAGCCCTCAAACTGGCCAAATTAACAACCCTCAATCTAGCAGAATTCACAACTCTCAAGCAAGCCGATCTCATAGCCCTCAAACTGGCCACATTAACAGCCCTCAAGCTAACCGAATTACTAACCCTCAGTCTAGCAGAAATTACAACCCTCAAGCTAGCCAAATTAACAACCTTCAACCTAGCCGAACCTACAACCCTCAAGCTAGCAGAATTAACAACCGTCAAGCTAGCCAAATGAACAACCCTCAGGTTAGCCATACTAACAACCCTCAAGGTATCCAAATTTACAACCCTCAAACTGGCCTAGTTTACGACCATCAAACTGGCCAAACATACGACCCTCTAACTGGCCAAACTTACAAAACTCAAGGTAGCCAAAATTTCAACCCTCAAACTAGCCAAATTTTCAACCCTCAAACTGGCCTAGTTTACGACCCTCAAACTGGCCAAACATACGACCCTCTAACTGGCCAAACTTACAAAACTCAAGGTAGCCAAAATTTCAACCCCCAAACTAGCCAAATTTTCAACCCTCAAACTAGCCAAATTTACAACCCTCAAACTGGCCTAGTTGACGACCCTCAAACTGGCCAAACATACAACCCTCTAACTGGCCAAACTTACAAAACTCAAGGTAGCCAAAATTTCAACCCTCAAACTAGCCAAATTTTTAACCCTCAAACTGGCCTAGTTTACGACCCTCAAACTGGCCAAACATACGACCCTCTAACTGGCCAAACTTACAAAACTCAAGGTAGCCAAAATTTCAACCCTCAAACTAGCCAAATTTTGAACCCTCAAACAAGCCAAATTTACAACCCTCAAACTGGCCTAGTTTACGACCCTCAAACTGACCAAACATACGACCCTCTAACTGGCCAAACTTACAAAACTCAAGGGAGCCAAAATTTCAACCCTCAAACTAGCCAAATTTTCAACCCTCAAACTGGCAAAGTTTATGACCCACAAACTGGCCAAACTTACAACCCTCAAATTGGACAAATTTATGACCCACAAACTGGCCAAACTTACTACCCTCAAACTGGACAAATTTATGACCCCCAAACTGGCCATACTTACAGCCCTCAACCTGGCCAAACTTACAACCCACAAACTGGCCAAATTTATGACCATCACACTAGCCAAATGCACAACCCTAGAGCTAGTCAAGTGCTCAGCTCTCAGGCCAGCCAGATGTACAATGCTTATGGTACCCAAACTAGCAACCCTTATGGTACCCAAACTGTCAACCCTTTTGGCACACAAACTAGCAGCCAATTTGGCATCCAAACTTGCAACCCTAATGGTACCCAAACCTGCATTCCTTATGGGACCCAAACTAGCAACATTCAAGCTACCCAAACTAACAGCCTTCAAGGTACCCAAACTAACAACCCTAGGGGTACCCAAACAAGGAAACCATTAACTAGCTCAACAGGTGTTAATCCAGGTTGGTCACAATCTAGGTCTTTGTCACCTGGTGTCACCCCTCGCCCACCATCTAGTAACTTTAACTTCAACACGTCTTCTGCAACACCCAATGTACTGTCTAGTGTGAGTGCTCGCAGACAGAAAAACTACGATTTTGTTGATCAAATCACTGTAACTATCCCTCCAGCCAGAACCTACAAACCGAAGGTTGAGCGACATAAAAACATGTGCAATTTCTCACACTTTCCATGTCAGCCCTCATACAATCCTTATGCCTTGTGTGCACCCTACAACACTTCAGGGTCTATTGAAGCTGTTGATTTGCTTCACAACCCTTACTTCATGACCCCTTTTGTCAACCAACCAAGGCCAGCTAAAAACAAAAGTCAAAACAAGGATGAGTTGAATTTTTCTGAAAACAATTCCACTCTGGGAGTTAAAAGAGGTCAGAAAAAGAAAGCGAAACAAATTTACCTACACACCAACACAACTTTAATTAGCACAAACCTTTCTGAGTACTCACAAAGTGAAGAAACTGAATGATCTAAGGAGCTATAAATATTTGGTGTGAAGATAGAATATTGTATACATAAGAAACCATGTAAACCACACATTGTTAGATATTATATATACTGTTTATATTATATTTCATCAAAAGTGTACATAGTGCTCATAATTGATGAAATGTTTACACAAATTTACTGATTTCATAATGTGAAAGTTATCAATGCATTCATACAGCTTCATGTTTTATTTTAATATGAATAAATTTATGAGGCCAATGTGTTATGTTGTTTTTCTTTTATAAAAACAAATGCATTTTTAAATTAAATTTTGTAATTGTTTATTACTTTTTACATGTGAAAAAAACCTTTAATTAAGTTCAACAATTTTATCACAAATTCCATTATGGACCTGCTTATCTGTCTTGACAGTAGTCAAATTTTCTTCAATGAAGGACTTGACTGTATTCACCTCCTCATATTCTGAATGTTTTGTCTCTGTATAAAAGTCATTTTTTTTTAAATAATTTAATCAGGCAACAATAAAATAACTCTTTTTTAATAAGCAGTACTGGTTAAGATAGCTCAAAAAGTTAACTTTATTTTATAATGTATTAACTAGAAATACATTTCTAAAATGTACACATTTCTGTTACTAAATTAAAACAAACCTATTTCAAACTGTAATATTGGCAAAAGCTGATGCATTCCCATTCCATACCGCTGAAGCCAGCTCAGTAAGAAAAGCAATTTCTTCTCTGCTTTAAAGACAGCTGATTTTAATGATTTCAAATCTTCCGATGGGTTTTCTTGATCAAGAAGCTCTAACAACAAAAAGTTTTAATATAAATCAATAATTTATGAAACAAATAGTGTTCAGTTTACGATTCTGCTGTCTATAATTAGAAACCAACCTGCTTTAATCACAGTAAGTGATGACTTTAATAATACAACAAGGTCTGACAGGGCAGAAGACATAAATGTGAGGTTTGGTACCCTGCCTGGACCAGATATGATCATCTTCACATCCTCCAGAAGTGTAAAAAAGAACTTAGTTGATGCTTGATCTTTGACTTCTTTTCCTTTCTGCAATTTTTTAACAGTAATTATTTGTACCTTGTAAAACAAAATATATTGGTATGTATCAATAAAGTATCTATGTGTGATAGTTTGTCCATTGCAATATTTCAATTGAAAACAAATCTAATAGTTCTAAAAGCAATAAATACAAAAAAAATAATATTACATAAGTATAAGTGAAAAAGGTAGGAATTTTAGGTTGGATTTTGATTAGCTATTCTATCTTCTCTCCCTTGTACATTACTGCCCTTTCCTACAAAAAGGTAAGTATACTTGATCACCACTGTACTATTTATATTGTTCTAAAGAGAAAGTCAAGCTCTTACTTTATGAAGAAATTCTATTCCAGTTTGAACAGCTTCACCAACACTAGAAAAGTTACTTTGATCTTTTAGAACCTGACACGACTCCATCAAGTCCTGTGATACAAATGTACAACTGACTAATCAATTGCAAACATTTTAAAACAGTTTAACTTAATTTGATCTAATCAGATCTCACATCTTAGTCAAATCAAAGTTTTCTATACATCAATACATATAAGTAGAGCTTATCTAATTTTGTCTAGGCTGTATGAAGCCATTAAAAAATATTACACAGTCAGTATTCAAAAAGGTACCAAAAATGTTACAACTGAGTAGGTATTAATTTCATACTTAGCTATTGCACTTAAACAAACAAGATTACCTGAGCACTATCAAAAGGGCACTCTAAGTGATTTCCATTGTGAACTCTTGTTATATACGCATAAGAAAATAAGATGTTTATCAAGTTAAATCTTAAATTAGCAGAAGGTTTATTTTTCTGTGAATGAATAAAACATACTTTAGTTTGAAAATATTAAAATAATATTAATTTCATTTTATTAAGAAAGAACTATTATTATTCAGCATTGTAATTGTAGGTAATATAGATGTTAAATTCACCTTAATTAAAATTTGAATCATTGCTAAAGCAAATAAAAGGTAGAATTTTAAAGAAGTTACTCACTTTAAGAATATCATTTATGTCAGGCACATCAGGTAAACAGGTGGGCATTTGTTCTTTAGCACTTTTATTATTTTTTTCTTGTTCTGAGATGAGGCTATGATTTATCTAAAATGGGTAAACCAATGTATTGTTTCTTTACTACGTGAAATATTTTTAAAAGCCTATAAATTTAAGCGCCAATAATACTTTAGATAAAATTATTAGACTTATATATATTTAAATATATATACATATATGTATATACAAAAAACATACACACACACACACAAATATATATATATATATATATATATATATATATATATATATATATATATATATATATATATATATATATATATATATATATATATATATATATATATATATATATAAACTACATCAATATGTTAGAGTTTAAACTAACTAAATATGTGACATTGAGCATACACATTTATGCAAATTTCACCTCAGATCTCCACCAAGGTGTCCAAATTTCAATCAAATGAGACAACCGTCCATCTTGAAGTTTGCGCGCAAAGTCCTCTTTTTCTTTTTGAGTTAGTCTACTCCAAACCAAGCTGTATTCTTTATCTATATTGTCAAATAATAATTATTAAATGATTTAAAATATTTTTAAAAATATAACTAATTTTTACTGTTTTTCTTGAAAGATAGACAAAACTTTTTATGAAGTAGCACCAACACTTACCCAGATCTAAGCCAGAAATTCTTTCTGCAAGGTCATCTTCAAGATCTGGAAAGATGTAACATGTCATTTAACTTTAAGTAATCATAATCAGGCTTCAATAACTTTTCACCGAGTTTTACCCAAAGAATCTGGAATTTAAACTCAATGTATACTAACATCTGTTTTAATTTGAATTATTCTTTGAATATTACCTGTGGTTGACTATTGGTATTTACAATGAAGCCAAGTACTAATGAAAGTATTTTAGGTTATAAGTTCCAAAATCTAAAAATCCTAAAAGCATGATTTATAAAAGAGATTTTACATTAAGGAGTAGTAAAAATATTCATTTGACTTGAACAACGTTATTACATACCTTCATCTGATTCATCAGCCTTTTGTTCCAAATCTTTGTTAAGCATGTCCAAAACTTTTTGTCTGTCTTCTGGCCTTTTAAAAAAAAAAAAGAAAACATTAGAAAATATAGGCTATGTATTTTAATAGTACTTTTACTAGCAACAAGTGATTTTAAATAGATACTATTTGATCAAATGTCTTGATAAATGATTTTTAAAATGGTATCAAACTGTAATAATAGCTTTAAAAACTGATACAAACAATTATTGTTATATCCATTATTTTGCCTAAACAGATCTTGAGGCTTATTACCCATTGGTCATTTCTTTAAGCTCGTTTAAGACCCAGTCTTTATAAAAGGCTTCAGAGCATCCACCATGTTTCTCACTTTGATAACATTGAACAGAACAATAACTGATGTTGCAGCGTGGACAAGTGTACTTTGCATCAGCATTTAAACACCTAGAATTTTTAAAAAAAAACATGATTTATTAAACATTTTAGTGCATTACTCAGAATTTAGTTATTGTTTTTAATTAAAGTTTACTTCAACAAAAAAAAAGAAATTACTAGTCTCGGCTGATATTTTACGTACCTAAAACGATAGATTACCCACACTACTAACTAATAATCAAATACCAGAATATTGGAAAAGTAATGTTAGTGGCTCTTTAAAAACTGGGAAATTTTGTAAATTGTAACTTTTGGCTCTTTCGTCTCAAAAGGTTGCCGACCCCTGATCTAGATTCAGGTCTAAGTCTAACTATTACTATAGTTTACTATAGTCAATAAAGATGGATGAGTTTAAATTAGGCTTATGTAAAGATTAGGCTATAGATCTTCGAAATGATTATCATACAATTTGCAAATTATAGATGGCGAGGATGAACTGAATGAGGAATTATTCGCATCGCCTTGAGTAGCCGAAATTTGTAAACAATGTACTTTGTTGTCTGCCATGATGTAGTCTATAAACTAGATCTAGATCTAGAAACTAAGTACCGGAACATAAAATGTATTTTTTCTTTGAAAGGCGGAAATATTTTAATTTATTTTTACAATATAAATTCGACATCACTCGTTAAATCACAATGCATTGATCATAGATAATTCGAAGAGCTTAAAAGTGTAACATTCATTCAGACAGTATTTAAAATTAAACGCTGAACACCTTTCGTTCATTTGCATCTTTGACAAAAGCAGTCGGTAAGTATAGTATAATTAATATTTAATTGGCACAATTTAGTGGGATGCTATTAATATTAATTTTATAAGACAGTATGAAACTATAATATTAATAAACCATATAAATAGATATAGGCCAATAGGCCAGGGGCGGAACTACAGTGCCGCCAGACCCCGCAATGCGGGGGGGGGGCCCACGACATTTAGGGGCCCATAGCCGACCATAATACATTTTTTATAGTAAAAAAAAATAATTTTCTTGGATTTTTGACTTGACTGTAAAAGCTTTTGTAAATAACAAACAGATCTACTACATTAGCGATGTTATACAGTAGATAACAAATGCTGTTGCGGAAAAAAATATATTCGTAGCTGTAATGTGAAAGATAGGCAAACGTTTAAAGCACTTCCATGACTTATTTCCCTTTTTTAAATAGTTAAATAGGGGTGCTCATAAACTCCTTTTAATATATGTGTACTAAACAAATTAAAAAGCAATTACTTCTCTTTCTTATTATTTTTAAAAAAATACATACTAAACATGACAGAGCATAAAAATGAAATATATTTAAAACAAATAATAAAACTACAAAAAACATTAAAAATAAACATAACACGAGAAACCATTACACCTACAAAGCTTTCATGTTTTATATTCTTTTGACCGGATAAAGGATAAAGAGTAGGAAGTATTACATCGATCTAGTTCTAAACCTAAAAAAATAAATTTTTGAAGCAGACTAATGCAGTCACACACATTATTTGTTGTAATTTGTTTAAATTGAAACAAAAGACACTTTTTTTTCAAAAAACGATCAAGCCATTAATGAGTATCCAATGTTTGTATTCTGTGTTTGTATATATATATATATATATATATATATATATATATATATATATATATATATATATATATATATATATATATATATATATATATATATATATATATATATATATATATAGGAGGGGGCCCAAAAATGTTTTTGCGGGGTGGCCCTTTTTTTCTAGTTCCGCCACTGCAATAGGCACCCTCTCTCTCTATATATATAGTGATATAATTATATATATGTTATATATATATATATATATATATATATATATAAATATATATAGGGAGATATAGGATAAATATATGGGCACATGTGGGCAGAGTTTCTTCCAGGCATCTCTTCAAGGGGGGGGGCAAAGCCCCCCCCCCCCCGAAATTTTTTTACCGCCCCCCCCCCCCGAACGAAAGGAAATTTATATAATTTATATAGAAAATATATACTTTTAACAGTGTCCGCTCCCCCCCCCCCCCCCCGAAGAAAGTTTACCGCCCCCCCGAAGATTTCAAGTGCCCCCCCCCCCCGGAGAAAAATGTCTGGAAGAAACACTGCAAGTGGGCCTACACACAGACATATATGTAGGCTATATTTATATAGGCCCTATATATACATATAGCCTACCTATATATATACGCCTATATATATATATATATATATATATATATATATATATATATATATATATATATATATATATATATATATATATATATATATATATGTGTGTGTGTGTGTGTGTGTGTGTGTGTGTGTAGGCTCTCTCTCTCTCTCTCTCTCTCTATCCTCTACTTATATCCCTGTACATATATAAAAAGCCATATAATGATAACTTAGGCCTATATATATATATATATATATATATATATATATATATATATATGTATATATATATATATATATATATATATATATATATATATATATATATATATATATATATATATATATATATATATATGTATATATATATATATATATATATATATATATATATATATATATATATATATATATATATATATATATATATATATATATATATATATATATATATGTAAGCCCTGCTAGGGGGGATAACTATTCTACTGCACTTCTAGGCTTATCTAACTAATCTGGTCAGTGCAACCGTGGAAAAACAAAAACAAAACACTTTAACAATTTATTATATTTATTAAACAAATGGAACCAATAATAAAAAATGAAAAAACGAATAGATTAAATAAAAACTACATACACAAAACAAAACAGAACTTAAAACACGACTAAACAAAACAGACTTTAACGTTAACAAAACACCCAATTTCGGACTACCGTCCAAGCTTAAAAGAAATAATTTCACAACGTTCGACTTTTTGATGGTGCTGCACCGACTTATGATGTCTAGGATGGTCCAGGCTCTGACACACAGAAACCTCCCTTCATCCGTTCTCGACATCCAAAAGTCCACACCAAACAAAACACTACGTACAACCACTACGTACAACAACTACCTACAAAACATTACGTAAAAAACATTACATACAAAACATTACGTACAAAACAATATATACAAAACACCCAGCCATGTTGCACAAGCAACCTCACTCCACGCACGAGGTGCGCCCACAGAAAACTGACCCGACCTACATTATCGCCTCGGGTCAACAAAAAAAAAAGATTACTAGCGGTCAGTAAGTTTTTATACCCGCTCAGGCGGAAGGGGAAACCCCATAGCCGCTGTCTAGTGGACCATTCACGCACAGATTCGCACACAAAAATATAATACAAAATAAATCATCCATTCACCCGCACACACACACACACACACACACACACACACACACACACACACACACACACACACACACACACACACACACACACACACACACACACACACACACACATATATATATATATATATATATATATATATATATATATATATATATATATATATATATTTACAGTGGCGTAGCGAAGTCGGGTGTCACCCGGTGCGGTACTTAATGGTGCTTTGGTGTCACCCCCCTAAATGGTGTCACCCGGTGCGGTCCACTCCCCCCCCCCCCCCCTCGCTGAAAGTATGTTTGTTTGTCTGTCCTTTATGCATTACTACATCCTTCATGCGATCGCCATGAAACTTTGGGAAGTTGAGAATACTCCTGGGGAGGTTTATGCTGGGGGGGGGGGGGTAATTTAAATTTGTAAACGGTCGGTATTCGGGCAGGGTGCGATTTCGATTTGGCACATATTTGGACATATTTGTTTTAAAAAACTACGTCTACTTTTTGAAAAAAAATATAATTTTTATGTCACAATATTATCTACCCCCCCCCCCCCCCCCGGCATAGTTATCTCCATATCTCTCACAGATCCTATCGCTTTTTAATATAAAAGACTTCATCAATTCTTTTTGGCCAGACAGACCAAAGTTGAAAAAAATATAGCATTCGAGTACTCCCAGTTGCTAGTTGATAGACCGATTCCAGTGGGATTTTGCCGTTTTTTTTTTTTTTTGTTTTTTTTTTATAATCCCACGTAGTTTTGATAAGGGGAACATTACGGTCGTGATGAGAGGATCTAAAGTCTCGAACCAAAGTATCGAACTCAGGACTTGTAGGTTAGAATTCACATTTCCATTTACGTCACTACATGGGTTAACGCAGCTAAAAAAGGGTTAATCGTAAAATTAACTGAAAAAGATAATGTTTCAATTAATAAAATTAATGAAATATTAGGGAGATGGGGGACGCTAAGCCAAAAATGCAATGTTAATACGCCTTTAGTTCTGTTTCCTATTTAGTTTAGAGCTAGGTTTCATAGATGCCACACAATATGCTGTATGGTATACTTCACTGTGCCGAATAATACTTATTCTTCCTACTAATGTTTGCAGCTTACCTTTCGCGCCCGAGTGACATCTTAACTTTACCAGCCGAGTTTCTTTCAGGCACCTCTTCATGTGAGGTGTGTGTGTGTGGGGGGGGGGGGGGGGGCTGGCTTAATATTTAACATATTGATCGCTCATAAACGACGTTACACAATTCCATTCCAGATCCACCAGTCTCGCGTTGACATAAACAGGAATAATTCCTCAAAAGAATTTTGATTCCACCCCGAATTAGGGATTTACTGTTAACTGTTTTTCTTTAAGTAATGCATTATGAAATGTATAACCAGTGGCGTAGCGAGGTCGGGTGTTACCCGATGCGGCACTTAATGGTGTCACCCCCCCAGAGGCGTAGCAACCCCCTTCCCGGCGCCCGGGGACAAACTTTCAATTTTCGATTTGCACCCCCCCCCCCCCACCCTCCACCCTTGTCGGGATTAGTCAAATTGCCCTTAAAAGACTTTTTAACACTCGAATTAATCACTTAATTAAGTGGAATTATCATTTTTCTCTATATATTTTGCTATTTTTTGCCTTGGTGTCATCCCCCTAAATTATGTCACCCCCGTCCCCCCCCCCCCCTCTCGCTACGCCTACTACATAGGCCTACTACATAGCTTTCCTTTTACCCTTTTTCAAGTAGCATATTGTCATAGAAGTAGACCCACCCCCGTGATGTGGCATCATTTTGAATTAAGCTGCCTACTCAAGATTTAAAAAAAAAAAATTAAAGTTTGCAAATCACCTTGAAATAAGTATTGATTTCTTAAGGCCTATCATAAAAATCATATTTGTAAGGCTGCGGCTGTAAGTTTCAATGTGCGCGAGCTCATTGCAAATATAACTATGGCCATCTAAATTAGTGATGATTCAACATAACTGTTGACAATGCTGAGCGCTTTTTTCAATTCGCTATCCAGGCGGACTGTATTCCAGTCGTTTCATCGATTTTGTTTTTCGATTTGTCCGGCAAGCAATTTCTTGCATTGACATTCTATTCATGAAAATCATCAATTATATATCTACGTCCGTCGTTGGCTCTCAGTTTTTGAAACTGAATTTTCCCCCATTCTAATGGGTTG